TGTCACTAATGTTAGATGAGCTGGGTCAAATCTGTCCCATCTTCAGGTTGGGTCTTGGTAACTCATCAAATAATGACCTGCTCTTTTTTTGGAAAGCGTCTTGGGATAACGGCTGTTGTGATTTGGCACTTTATAAATAAAATTTGAGTTGATATGATTTGATTTGTTTTGACCTTTTCAAACTAAAATAAAAAATAAATAAATAAATAAAACATTTTCTTGTAAAGAAACAAGTGATTTTTCCACCCTAACCCTATCCCCATAAATGAAGCAGGGCTGCTCAAAAGAGACTAATTTTACAAATTATTTTCTTAGACTTTTAACTCCAAATAATTAACTAGTTTAACGGATAGGGAACATTCTGGAAACATGCCAAAATTGAACTCAGTCGAAAACTGTGGGGAACAATGTTTTCTGTTGAAAACTTTTACAGGTAATGGTGAATTGTTGGTTGACTACACATGCACATCCCTAGTATAAAAGAAGACCAGCTATTTGCTACAAGTCCATGGAAACTGGTTTCCAATGTGCCCTTGGGCAAGGCATTGAACCCCTAGGTAGCAGATTTTAAGTTGTTTGCAAGCCCCCTACTTTGAAGTCGTCTCAAGGTGAAAAATGGAAACTTACTTTCAGGATTGATGAATACCATAGATGAGATGACCATTGGATTTGTAGGAAACATCTTCTGTTGTACAAATGTTGTCGTCAAAGTTGGCGCCACAGTTGGTTGGATTCATCCTCTTAGAGCCACACTTGGCCACACCAAATGTCATGTCAATAAATTCAGCAATGTTGACGTATTTCAGTCAAGGCCTGAGTGATGAACACACTGGCAGACAAGTTATTGTCATGGTCACACATCTCTAGCTCCAGCTCTTGGGAAAAAATATCTCTTCAGTAATTGCGGAAATATAAAAAACAATTTAGAAAGGGGGCATAAATTATAGCATCACTTTGACTGACAGTCTGAATGGTAATGATAGTCCCAGACTGTAGGAGGATGCTGAACTAGATAAGGAGTAATAGGCAGACTGCTGGGTAACTCTACACAGCATACACCCACTCTCTTCCTCCGCTGTGTCTCCGCTGATGTCTATTCTCAGTGGTCGACTTCAAAAGGAGGCCTGGAAATAAAAGGATGAGAGGTGAGGGATGATGAGGTGCAAAGATTCACATTACAATTTCACACGCGTATACTCTTGAGAGAGATTTCCAGTCAATTTTTATTACGGCACTGAAGAGGAAGGTGATGACTTTACTTTATGAAGACTGTCCTCTCCTTCGCCTTTTATATGACTTAATACCGGATGCAAGAGGACCAATAATTATAATTATAAGAACCCTGGATAGAAATGCTGAACATGGTGCCTAATATCCACATTAATTGTAGTCAGTGTTTCCTGCTTGCTGAAGTTAGCCTATCTTTATTGGAAGAGGACGTTTCCTGCAGCGTAAACACTGAACCATTTGCTTGTCTTCCTGTTGCAGTTGAATAACAGATCCCTCTAAGCGTAACACGTTTTAATTTGTTTTGGGTGAGTTCAACACAAAAACATGACACAGAAATGTAATGTTCTCTAATCTGGAGGTGTACTTTGAAATAGAGTCGACCAAGTCCATTTTAAGGCTTGTCCTCACATGGGCACTTGACTATGTCATGTGAGGAGCATTCAGCCTAAAGTTACTGTTTGCTTGTCACTTCCAAGTCTCAAATAACCTATCTAAGGCCTCCAGGAACCACAGACTTCAATTATTCATTCAATTGGGGACTCTCAGCCTGCTGGAAGTCATTTTACGCCGCCTGTGCTGACAGGACAGGAGGGAAAACAAACGACCGCCCCAGATCGGTTTTTAGCTCTCCACGTGTGAAAAGGATAATCTTGTAGGTCCTGATCTTCACTTTTAGAGGGCACCAGCTTCATTTTCCACCTCCTGTATTTACAAAACTTCATCTCGCACAGGCGGAGGAGACGCTGAGGACACTCAGGGGTGTTTTCATTCAGGTAAAAGCCCAAAGTCTGGCAGCTGCTGCCAAAACCTCGGCTAAATAATGAGGCTGGAGTGGAGCAGCATTAGGGTGATAACCGAGAGTCCAATAAATTATGTGTTATGTGACACAAGGGTGCTATCTCCAACGCCTTCATTTCCACCAGCGCTGCGAGGACCTTACAGAAAGCGATCCCACAAAGCTTCATTTAAGGCAATTACCTGCCTCGTATTTTTGTTGATGCACCTCTCACACCATGAAAGCTTTTATATTTGCTGGCCTGAAACCTGCTACTTTAGGTGTTTCTGGGAGGCATTTGCACAAAGAAAATGTGCATTTCCAAGGCAAGACAGGTGCTTGGAAAATGTTCATGTCTATGGTGGCTCATTTAAAATTTTGCAGCTCTCTGCTGGGCTTGGATATTGCACATGCCCTGGAGCCTCCCTGGAAAACTGTAAAACCGAATCTAAATCTGTGTCAAGGCTTCCTCGGTGCCAGCACCATCCTTGTGGTTCATTTCTTTTAGTCAGCTCGCTCTCCCAGAATAATTATCCAACAGAGTACTTTAGCAGGTGGGGTGTTGGTTAAAACTGGGTGTCACACTTTTGTCATCTGTCCTGTTTTTAACTGCTTACTCTGCATATTTCTATCTGCATATGTTGCCATGAGAAAAAAAAAAAACATCTCTGAATAATAAAGCTAAAACATGTGGTGAGATAATTGGCCAACATGAGTAACACTCCTTTCAGCAAGAGCGTGCTCACACTTGCCAAAGGTATCTCCTCTGACTTCTCACACCTTTGATTAGGGCACACCAAGCTCCAATGAGCAATTAAACCTTGTGTCAATCAGTCAATCCTGCAGCTGAACCAGATAATCGATATGAACCTGAATCTAAGGGACCAATTTGGGAAATTGAAAAAACTGTGTGGCCTTTAGTGTATATCTCACTTGAGTTGTTTTAATATTCAGAATTAACCTCAATCAAGTCGTGTCATAGCTGACTATCAAACGGAAGAGTCAGACATGTCAGGTATCTAATAGGAGAAAGTAAAAAAGTAGCCCAGATGAACAGGAGCATCTTATCTCCTACTCTCACTCCACACACTTTCCCCATGAGGTTCAGAAAGCAGAGGCTGATGTATAATCAGGGACTTCTGCTCCACATGCTGGAAAAACTGCCCTGAAAGGAAGATCCCAGAAGGAAGCATCATGTTCCAGTTGCATCATGTCAGGTCTGCAGATGCAGAGGAGCATCTGCTCCACAACAGATACATTTTTCATGTGCTTCAAAAGGTTTGGCAACACTTCATGTGTTTGGGATTAGAAAGGAGATGGGTCTGTTTTATTCATCCTTTTTTTTTATGCTATATGTTAAGATACGCATTATTTTTGAGCATATTGTCTATTTTATTACTCATTTAAATATACTTACAAGCACTAAAACGTGTAAATGTAAAAAATTCAAGTTCTATGCTTACAGCATATTTACACAACAGAGTTAATGGTGACAGAAGTTTGTTAAGTTGGTTGATTTGTTGCTTTTTTATTTTCATGTGTTTGTTCTTCTGAGCTCTTGGAAAACATGATCAAAGGTGTGAGGATCTTGTGCTACCTCTCTGCTGTATCACAGTTTTTCAATGTTTGATTACTTTGTCATGACTTTGAATGCAGCTGAATATGTTACTTAAATATGAATGGATTATAGGTTATGATCCAAAACTGTCACAAAAGACTGTGAACCAAAACAGACTCTTTAAATGTTCACTGACAATGAAGCTTGAAGATTTAGAGCTCCCCCTACTGACTGGCTGCAGTACATGTCATAAAGTCCAATGAAATTAGGAACACGGGTCAGCTGGGGAATTAAAACAACCATACAAAACATTTATTTCTCAAACATGAAATCTATAGTTAAAGTTTTCAAAAGATGACTGACTGACTCTCTTTAAGCATTGAAATGTTTCTGATTGTTTCTGATTTGTTTTCTTGAGTCAACAGCTCCAGATTTTAAAATGATGCATATATCAATCTATCTATCAATCTATCTATCTATCTATCTATCTGTCTGTCTGTCTGTCTGTCTGTCTGTCTGTCTGTCTGTCTGTCTGTCTGTATATATATATATATATATATATATATATATATATATATATAAAAACATGGATTTGACTTTTACAACTTTCATCTGGCCAAAAAACAAAACAAAAACAGCTCCATGGTAACAGAAACTTTATTCTACCAAAAGGCTCAAAGCCAGTTGAATTGAGACATGTCTGTGAATCAAAAAGAATTCATAGCAACAATCACAGGCTTAACTGCACTCCACAGAGGACAGCAAAACTGTAATTTCTTTGAAATAGGGGAGTTGAAGGTGTTTTGAGGTTATTTATTGGAAGTGTTCTCCAGAGTCATTAATGTGACGATTTTAGACTTTAAAAAGTTTAAGGAAGCAGAAAAAAAACCCACCAGATTAAAAGGTTTAAGTCAGGTGAGGAGAGAGGGAGCGTGTCCTTAAATAACCAGCCCACCAGTGTGGACATAACAAAGTGACCGAGTCTGAGATTAATCTTTTATGTGCAGGCTCCTTGACTTAGTCGCAATCTATAACAGGAGCTTTCTGTAGAGCTGCGCTGAATGAGTATGGATACGTGACACGAAAATCCATTTAAACTCTTGGGAGTCCAGCCAAAGAAGCCGTATGTCGTCATTCTTCACCTCAGATATCCTGAAACCTTCATCAATGAGCAGCACAGTCTGCCGACAGAGGTTAGCAAACACAGATAAGAGAATCCTGAACTCTGCTGCTCCGGTCTGGAGGTAGCGAACAGACGGTGTGAGACCCCCTATGCCGACTGAAATGATAAATATAAGCTTCTTCTTGCTACACTCTATAATATTCCCTCTCAATCAAGTCTGATATATCTGTTATTCTGCTTTGCTGTACAAAACTGTCCACATATTTTCAGTTGAAGGTCAGAGTGTCTGAGGTATAAGAAAATAAGCCGCTACATTTTTTGAAAAGGAAAATTTAATTCATTGTTTCACAGGACAAAAAAGCAACTAAAATACAAAAGAGAAGGGAAAAAAAAAAGACTTTAATTCTGCCAGTAAAAGGAACAGACTGGAGAACTACCACGAGCTGAAGTCTCCCAAGGTGGTCTTGCCTTTGGACTTCTTCGCGACTGCTCCACTGGTGGACGGCCCGCTTTCATCTTCAGCCGCCGGGCGTTTTCTGAGGGAGAAGAATAAAAATGTCATAATCAGCTGCTTTCCCTCAGATGTTTGTGTGTGGGCCTCTTGTTTCTTTGTCGGTTTGTCTTCTTTTTGCCAAGCACTCAGAAACTCTTTTTCTCCTCTATGTTTTTAGTCTTTTGTTATAAAGCATTATTTGGCGTCTGGCTTTTCTTCTCTTTTCCTGGAAGTGAAACTAGACGTCTGTACTAGTCATCAAAATGTTTGTTTATGTCTTTGTGGTCTGAAAAGGCCAGAGATGAGTTTGTATAAAACAGAAGCCATTTCAAACAGGATGTGTGACGGTGAAAAGTGTTTACCCTTTAGCTAACATCAACAGGAACAGAATCAACACTCCCTCTTTAATGCTGCTGCTTTCACTCTGTTTACAACAAATTAATCTGCTGATATTCAGCCAGGATAATTCTGCTGGTTTATACAATGTTGGGAAAATAGTACAAATAGAATCCATTACAGAAGGTGACGGGAAGTGCTGTTAAAGTGGGGAGTTTGTTTTCTGGTTATGAAACAGACTGAAATAAACACTGATGACTCTTTGTAAGCAACAAAAACAAACAGAAGATTAGAAACAAGATGGACTTTTTCTTTATAGGTGTCTGAAACCACTACCGTGTGGTTTTGACATTTTCCACAGCAGGGATACTAAAGGACTGATATATCTGACAGTGTAGGATTAAGGTTGCTGATAACCCTTGGTGCCAGATCACAATCACAAGGTGGAACAAGATTTTTGAAAGACTGGTATCAGGGATTTCGACTCCTGGGCGGACAGCCTGAGAGTTTCTATCCAGCTGCCTGCATGTAAAAGTGACCATTTTTATTTTTTCTTCTGTTTTAATCCAGGATTAATCATAATCAACGATTTACATGATTTCTCACAATCTCAGCTTTTAACATCTGATCACCTGCAGCACCTTTAACAAGCCCAGAGAGAGCCCAGGGGTCTTTCAGCATGTCTCCCCTGTTAATGTAGTGATTACAGTGTGGCACCTCGTGCTGAATATGAACCTTCTCATACAGTGGCTTTATAAGTCATGGTATTAGTCTGCTGTCTTCATTTGGATCACTGAGTAACGCTTCATCATTAACATGGATTGTCCACCTGTTATAATAACTGATCATTGAGTGAAACCTTTCACAGCTGAGCTGTTTTGGGGTCTTTATAAAACATGCTGCTCATGCATACGATCAAAAGATCAGACACACGAACAAGCAAAGAGAAAGAGAAGAAAGCACACGAGTGTGGGTATTAGGACAGGAAAGCTTTCAGTGTGTGTGCGTGTGTGTGTGGAGCAAATTAAGGTTGTTTGGCACCACACACAGCAATAAATTGGAGAGCAGTGCCCAACAAATAAACCGGATTAAATATCTTTTCTTCATACTTCTGTTTCATTTTCATCAACAGACGATCTCTCACAGCTGCAAAAGCACTTCTCTGCACACTAATCTAGGAAGGCCATTAGCATGTGCTGACAGAATCCACATGTCACCTTCTAATTGAGCCGTCGGTGAAATGGGCTGACCATTACCGCGGGTACATTAGTGGTAACACGCTCTGAATAAATCTAGATGTAGGAATGTGATGCAGGAGCAGAACAGAAAGGGGTGAATCTGAGGATACAACCTTGACGCATATACCTTCTACCACCGACACGCACCAAAGCAGTTTTATCAGTTAAGTTTATGCACCTTCAATCTGGATAATGATCGTTTTTAAGCCCAGAGCTGCAGGGCGAAACATAGTGTAAAGTACTTTAACTGTAATGTCTTTGTCTAATGTGGCTCAATTCTTCTGAGGTGGAAACACAGACGACTCAAACTGTGGCAGAAAAAATATCCTAAACAAATATAAATGCTGTTAAAACTTAATGCGGCCAGCAGAAATTTATAGGATTCTCCAGGAGCCGAATGTCTCATCTCTTTATCATATTTGATATTATCCTCCATCATAAACTTCCCTTAATGCCAAACAGGTACATAAACTTCAAACTGAAGTGAAATATAGAGTTATATCACAAAATACAACAAGGCAAACCTGGACTGAGAGAAAATAACGTCTGGGTAATAAAGCTGAATTATCCCCGCGGGGAAAAGAGGTAATCTTTTGCATAATTGGCAATTCAGCACTTTATGTCTAAACTCATCCTGTGCTGCTTTGTAACAATCATGCTTTATCATCCATTCATGACTATTTCACTCCTCAAATGGCTTATAACAGAGAGCCAGTCAAAGTGTGAGGCAATTTCTGTAAGTGTCAGGTAAACACTCCAGACTAAACTCTGTCTACAGAGCAGATTCAATGAACTTTGGCTCATTTTCGATGCATGTACGTCAAAGCTATGTCCGTGGGTGAGTCACTGTGAAGCAGAAGCAGAGTGTGTTTGTAGAATAGTAAATAAGTGCGTATGCCTGAATGTTGTTTCCTTACATTGTAGCAGGGTTGATGTATTTCCCCACACCAGCTTTGAAAGTCTTGGGCGCCTCCTCCTCTTTTGCTTTCTTCAGGGCGGCGTTGGTCTGCTGCCTCTCCTCCTCCTGCTTCTGCAGCTCTTTCTCTCGCTCTGCTGCGATCTGATTGAAAAGTCGAAAAATCCCACAAATAAACACCAGATCAGAGGATACAGAGGCTACTCTGACGCTGCAAGATTGCATGCTCTGAAACTGTTAGACCCATGTTCGATGCTCTCGCTTCACAATCCTTGTTTGAAATGCAGGAGAGACAACAAGCTCCAGGTGGACAAAAGCCTTTCATTCTGAGATTACGTTGTCAATAAACATGCCAAAAAGCTTGCTTGTGAATTAGCTTGGCACATGAAAACAATCCCTCTTTTTTCAGCGTTTGTTCTAATCTCAGTTTAATGGTTTGGATCTAAAATCAAACAGCGACTATAAAACTTTAATTCTAGGCTTAAACGTGTAGTAAAAGTTAATAAAGCCTCATAAAACTGAGAAAAGAGTTTTAAGTGTTGGAAACATCTTGTTTCCAGCTGTAAAACTTCTGAAAATTAAAAATACTTTCTCATTTTATATTTGAGGTTTAACATTTAATAGAAAAGGAGTAAAAGGAGTTCAAACCTCTTTTTTTAAAAAGAATATCATCCAAATTAAAGTACCAAGAAGATTAAACAGTATCTCTTTATTATGGAAGATGATCTTTTCTCATTTCGTTCTCCGAACACTATTTCAAATAAGAGATTTTTTAAAGGAACAGTAAAGAGGAGTTTACCCCGAAGCCTTGACCTTAGAGTTAACTTGATATTAATGACTTTAAAACACGTGCTGGTGCAAAAAACATCTACAAATGTGTCACCATCAAATACTAACAAATGTTATGAATGATAAGAACATTCAGGAGTTGTGGCTTCTAGTTTTTAACAACAACAACAATAAGATCTATTAAGAAGTTCAAAAGTCAGAGGGATACAAACCTGAGCATCAGCCTCTTCATACGGGTCAACAAACACAGTCGTGCTTATGATCTTGATCTCCGACTGTAAACAGAGCGGAAAAAAATGAGAAACCAGGGACATGTTTAAAAGAAATAACTATCCCGTGTTATCATTACATAAGTTTTAGATAATGCAGTCATTAACTTATTCTTTCATACCTATCATGTTTTAGTTATTAAAATATTGGCTATCTTAAATATCTCAAAATTAAGTTTGTTCTAACAGTCTAAAAAACTGGAGTTCTATCAATTTGACTGAACAGTTTAGCTAAGTCATGTGATTTGTACAAGTTTTAAACAACATGTTAACTATATTTACTGCTGGTGTCATCTAAGTAGACTGGGACAACACCAGCTTTACCGAGCAAAATAAAACCCTTCATTGGCATTTCTCAGTCATCTCTTCCCAGCCCCCCGATTCATTTCTCATCTCAGCCGCTGACCTTTAGCTGATCCGTGTAAGGGTCAAAATGGCACTATGGCTGAGTCCTGCCCCTCTCAGATGATATTAATGTTAGTCATCGAGGAACTTGAAATGAGTTTGCACTTGAGCTCGGTAATTTGCTTTGGACAGAGGTGTCAGATAAATGTCAAGATAGTGAGAAACAGAGTATTTCTCTGTTTTCAAAGAGTACATGCCCTCTGAAGTGAAGTGAAGACAATCTTTGTCTAAGTATTGAGGCTGGATCAATGACTCTAAATTTAGTAACCTTTTATTTTAAGATTACAATTCAAAAGGTTTCTCTCCCAACACAAAACCTCAACTCTAATGTATGTTTAAAATAGGTGTAAAATTCACACCAAATGCAATGCTTCTCAGTGCAAGTTCACATACACGTTTTTCATCACAGTATGAAGTGTCTTCTTTTACAGTTTGAAGTGTTTTTTTCTTTTTGTTCAGTGTTTATTTCTTGTGAATTCTTCTTCTAACTGTAACACTTCACTGTCCTCTTTTTCTTTCTTTTTTTTTTTTTTGATGAACCTGCCACAAGATGTAACATATAAACATTCCAACATACCTGTACCTGTACTGGCCTGTACCTATGCAAATAGTAAGTAAAATCTATTGTAACAGTTCTCTTCAATCCTTGTCAATACATTGTTTATTTTTTCATTCTATTCTATTCTATCCTATTCCATTCTATGTGATTCACTTTCCATTCTATTCAATGCCATACATTCTATTTTATTTGATTCTTATCTTTAATTTAGTTTCTTTAGTTCTATTCTATTTCATCCCATTCCATTCTGTTGTACTGCATTGGATTCTATACCATACCATTCGATTCTATTCCACACATTCTATTTTATTGGATTCTACTCTATTGATTTCATTTTATTCTATTCATTCTGTGATTCTATTCAACAATTTTACTCCTTTGATTCCATTCTATCCCATTCTATTCTATTCTGTTGTATTGGATTCTATTCTATATCATTCTATTTTCTTCCATTCTATCCGATTCCATACATGCTATCTTATTGGGTTCTATTCTATTGATTAAATTCTATTCTATTCGATTCTCCTCTGTGATTCCATTCCTCTCTATTCTATGTGATTCTATTCAACTATTCTATTCCTTTAGTTCCATTCTATCCCGTTCTATTCTATTCTGTTGTACTGGATTCTATTCTAAACTATTTGATTCTATTTCATTCTATCAATTTCATACATTCTATATTATTGGAGTCTATTATACTGATTTCATTCTATTCTATGCGATTCTATGCTTTTCTACTCTATGTGATTCTATTCTATTCAGTTCTGTTCAATTCCTATCCTTATCCTACCTTTGGTTTGTCTGTTTTGGTATCACTCTCTACATTTTCCATGGCTGTAAGCGTCTCAAATCCACCAACAATCCTGCAGAGGGAAAAAAAAAACAACAAAAAACATTGTTTTATTTTTTGTGATGACAAATCCTCTGTGAGCGCAGGAGAACCCTGGATTCCCCATACAACCTCCAGATTACTTTCATGTTCATCAGGAAAGATAAAACAGGAGCAACACATCCAGAAACAACAAGCAACTGTTGAAGAAGTTTTAACAGATTCACTGCCAGAGAAGGAGATAAGGGACTGTCGAGGGTGTATTATATTTATATATTACATTCATTAATGTAAATATTGTGGCTATTGTGAAGGAGATGCAATAGAAGTTTCTGTGAACAGAAGCTTTATTCCTTTTCAGTTAGTCCAATCCTTTGTCTATTTTATTGATCTTCTTTTTTATCTCCTGACAGTAAAAGACAGACCGACTGAAATTGTTTTAACCTGCTCTGTGATCATCAGTGTGAAACAGAGAGATTTTGTCCCTTTGTGACCTGAGGATCCTCCAGAGGGGAGCTCGAATTTAGCTCTGTTTTTCAAAGTGATTTTTTTTTTCCTGTTACCAAGAGCACAGCCTGTCATTAGACACGATTACGTCTCTGTGCCTTGTTTCTATAGTTCATGTTACTTCACAAGCTATTCTGTATAACTTGATCATTTTGAATCAGGCATGATATGGATTTGACTGACAGGTCAGTATGTTGTGACTGTTTGACAGCTGGTGAGGCCATGGTCTCAACTTCACCTCTATGTTGTATTTCAGTATTTACAGTCAGACAAACGCCATCTTTGTTCTTCACAATATCTTTTTAGGATCTGACGGCTGACATTAACAAGACACTGTCTATATCATATTGCATTTTGTTTATCAGCATATTTATTATAATCATCTTTCTAACCTTTTCTGTCTTTTAGCTCATTTGTACATCAAAAATACAAGGACGCACAGACCTCAGTAAGTGATACATGTGTAGTACAAGTCTGTCGTCCCCAGAGGGAAAGGTAAGTTTAAACTGCACTGAACTAAACAGTGTGGATTTAAAGACTTACATCTAAATTAAGTGACATTCAGAGACACCATCCTCGTTTGAGGGGGTCTGCACAGTGCTCATTATTTCCCTCAGCCGACAGTGAACATGAGTTGCTGCTACAAGAAGAAGTTAAGTCATTATTAAGAGCATAAAAACACAACAGAGGAAAGATGTAGAATGTGTCAAACACTGGAGGCCAAAAGGCCGGTGTGTTATTGCCTCCCCTGCTGCAGAGTGCTGTAAGACGTCGCTCTCGGTTTGCTCTTTAAACTGAAAAGTCTTTATCCAGCTGCTCCTGTGGGGGCCTCCTGGTTTCATGTGTGGGGTTAGAAACAACACACACACACTTTCACACAAACACAGCACAGCCAATCACAAGCAGGGGTTCCTCTCAGGAAACATGTGCCCTGCTGCCACATGTTCACATGAACAGAGGAGCTCCCACAATCCATGACTTCATAAGATAGAAGCATTCAACACTTATCAGTGAAAAACTCTGACAGCAGGATAAATACTGTGATGCCATACTGCAGACTGTCGATCAATCTTTACGACCACAAATGTTTAAAAAGTTGCTCAAACGGAGCAAACAATAAGCCAAAGTATGCCTGCTCACTATGATCGTACCAAGTATAACAGCTTTCCTCTAAATTCTCAACATCTATGATAAAACAAAAATCAATACGCAAGGTGACAAGAGCACTGGTGTTTTTCTTTTATTTTGCTCTGATTAATCCCCATGGTCTTAGAAATGTTGGGGCTTACTGGTGTGGAGAGTTTTTGTCTGTTCGTTCAGCACTGTGGATTTAACTCTCTGTCAATACAAACTCTGTGAAGCCCTGGGTGCTGAGGGGGTTTAAAGCGCTGACTGTGAACCGCGGCGTCACGATTTCAGTCTGGCCAGGGACCTCTGGTTGCATGTCATTTTTTCAAATTTCTCACTCTCTTTATTTTCTGTCAGTTCTCATCTCTCAATCCTGCCCCAAAGGTAGAGAAGATAAACCAAAAAAGGAGAGGAAAACTTAATCAGACTCTTTGTCATAGTTGTAAAAGACTTATACATTTACTTTGTTATTTAAAAAAATCCCCAATTTGTTGATCAAACTTATCTGGGGTCTCAAAACGAAAGAACAAACGAATTTCAGCCAAGAAGTCCTGTTTCGTTTATTTCCAACAAACTCCAGACTACAAATTATGTAGATAACATACTAAATCTGTAAACGGAGGCTATGAACAGAGGACTTTCCCCATGATACCTGTTCTCCAAAGAGAACAAACGACCTGTCTGTGGCCACACCTTAGCAAGTAGACCTCACATTACGTATAGATCAAATGAAGTGTCTTAAATGCAGTCCGGGACAGATAAAAAAAGCTGGATTTGAGGTGAAAGCAGAGGCTTTTAAAGTTTGTTGACCATGTAAAGAATCAGTCGGTTGAAAACAGCCTGCATATTTTTAGACAACAGGCAGGACTTCCTCCAAAAAGAAACCAATTTAGATCACGCTCGGTTCAGCTCAGCTCAGCAGAGAGAGAAAGAACCTTTAGTTCAGATTCAGCAGCTGCTAAATTTTTTACTACTGTCAGCCAGGAGTCAGACTGGAAGTCGCAACACTGTTTGTACTGTCTGGACCTCTGAGGGAAGTAAATATAATTCAAAGAATAAAGCCAAAAAGTGGGAAATACAGACAGTGAGGGGAGAGAAGAGAAAGAGAAAGCAGACAGAAAGACGTGAGAAAAAAAGAGGCTCAGACACAACAGTGTGAATGAATGGCACTAATTGCTAAGCAAGTGTTTGTCATGACAGTCACCCCACTAGGACATCTGCCTCAGCTCCTACATTATACTAAACACCGTCACTAATCCATAGTGCACACTAAAACATTGAGACATTTTGACACCAACAAACACACAAACCTTCAAGTAAAAACAGAAAATTTACCTTCCAAACACTGTGTGCTTTCTGTCGAGGTAGGTGCATGACCGGAACGTGATGAAGCTGAGGGCAAACAGAAGAAATGCATATGATCAGCATATAATAATGTGACTGTATGAATATAGTAAGAAAGGTACTTATGTAAGTGTTCAAACTGTGATTTCTCCTCTATTAATATAGCATGTGGAGATTTATATCAATACACACTTATAAATGCTACATCGGTGAGGTTTGAAGTAGAGTGACCACAAATAAACAAGGTCAACAAGACAATAATAATGTCTAATCACAGTTTCAGTTCAGTGTTTTTTTTTTAGAGAAGTAAAATTTTTCTGTAAGAACCACCAACTTATTTAACGGAAATCTAAACAAATGCACACAACCAAGTCGGTAAATGGCATAATAAATAACATTTTCTGACACCACAGTGATTTTTTCATGTCTTCACGTCCTGTGGGGGACTCAGCAAAGATATCAAAGGATGGAAAACACAGACAAAGAAACAACACATAACTCTCAGCTGACCGGCTTTCCTGCACAGAGTGACAGATGAGGGTTTTGTGCGCTCAAAAACATTTCTTACAACTGAGACTTGTTGGTGTTTGGACCAGAGTTTGCCATACTGAGAACCCCCCGGCCGGTGTGGGACAGGTTGGGCCGAAACTCATCCTTGAAAGGTTTCCCCCAGAAGGATTCCCCTCCTGGCAACAGAGAGAGAGAGAGAGAGAGAGAGAGAGAGAGAAAGAGAACGAGAGAGAGTCAAGTATTCTATCAGATTATTAGTGCGGGTTACATAGAAGTCAAACAGAAGCATCTAACATGAATAGAACTTCTTCTCGATGACCAATCTCTGCCTTTAACCGTGAGCTGATAACTCTCTACGAGTTTGACTGCTGCCTGAGGTCTTCCTGAAGTGCTACATAAACACAAGTATCACTATAATTAATCTAATTAACCTTACAATAAACAATATCAAACTAATAGTTAATTAATGGTAAACACATTTACTCAGGAGGACTCTGTTAACATTTCTAATTGTGTGTTTTGTGTGAATTATTGAGGAAGGATTGGTATTTTATGGGACTATCATCTTTATTAGCCCCTTTTCAGCTAAGTATATCAAGATGGTGATAAATGTATAACAACTTCCTTTTAAGCTATAAATAAACACTAATTAGGAGGTTATTCGGGAAAACCCTTAACTAATGGCTTGCAGGTCAAAAAACATGGTCATGGTGATTAGGTGCCTTATAATGACTAATTAACAGACAGTTATTTGTCATATGCATTATATGCACCAGTGTTTATATACTGATGCAAAATGAGATTGAATGATTAGGCTCTTTATGGATCTTTTATCATGTTTTTACTGATGGCACATTTCTAACTTGCGTTCATCTTAAATGTTCATATTAAAAGATTTGGATGACTTAAAGTGGTCACAGTTATAAATCAAACAGGCTATCAAATAAAAGAGGCCAAGTTATACTTTCTGACAGCTAACATGCTAACAAACAAACACCAACACCAACAAAAGGATCTGAGGACAAACTAAGGCTACAAGCTGATAAAAAGCCTGATTGTAAACAAAAGCGTTTTCTCAGCTCTTCCTGTTGTTGGACAAGGATTGGTAATGCACTGAACTTGTCGGGCTTAAGCAAACACAGTTTTATTCGCTGACAAACCAATTTTAAGAATAAAAGAAAACACCTCCAAAGAGACCCCGTTATGTATAAAGAAGTACATCCTTACAAAGGGAAAGGGGAAATCGTTTAATACACTGTTAAAGGTGAGTGAGGAATGTTTCACCGATGTAGTATCAACACATTCTTAAAAGCCAATCTTGTACTTCTGTTGTTCGAATAAAGAAGATCCCTGAGTCAGCACTTTCCAGCCAAAGTCGCTGACAGTTCACAGTGTTAATACGTCATTTTTCACACCATCTGGGACTATCTGTATGTAAACAAAACTGATTACACTTTGGGGAGTAAAGCTGATAAGACTGGGTTCATACGGGGTTTAATTTTCTGCTCCGCTTTGCACAACAATCCCGAAACAAGTAAACACAGTTAGATAAAGATTTTTTTAGGAAACGGCACAAATTAATAGCCCCATCAGTACATTAGTTTAAATTACTGCACCATTAGAGAGACAGAGTTAAGCGGCTGTGTGTTTTCTTGGGACTAAAAAGCCCCATTTGCCCTTGAACATGGAGCCGTGTTGAGAGCCTTCAGCTGTGAATCATTATTCAGACCGACTTCATCATTAAGGATCATCATGATGAGAATACAGGAATACACTCTGCAGGAGCTTATTGGCGTCCCACAGCGGGGAGAGGATCCGTGGCCCTGAGGTGTGTTTCACTGCGTCACCAGCTGCTGTATGTGCATTAAACAGCCAGGTACAGTATGTACTATATGTGTGTGTGTTAGTGCTGGGGTTTCAATGCATACTGCCAACTGATGGACCAATCAGAGGCTTTCCCTGGTGACATTTCTGCATAATTTATCTCCTCACTGACATTTTACCTCAGCGTGACTCCATCATACATGACAGGAAAGTGACAGAGGAGAATAAAACAAACAGTTTAACCCTCATTATGAGTTTAACCTATTAATTAAACTGCACTGCTTCTAATTTAGAAATACAGAAAGACTTAAAACTTTGTCCTCCTGAGCAGGTTAAACAGGAAAGAAACAAAGAAAAGGTCAAAATCACCTCCTGCTCCTCCTCTTCCAGCTGACAACTGTGAAGCATCTCCACTAAGGAAGACTTTATTTGTATATTTTAAAACAGGAAGTTGTGTGCCTCTAGTTTCTTACTTTCAGTATACTGTATGTCTGGGATTTCAATCTCAAGTCAATGTATAAAACATGGCTCTCTCCAGAGCGTCTGGCTCTGAAGGTTTTAGATCAATGAGGCTCATCTGTACTTGGGGAAAGAGTTGCCGCTACACTGAGCAGGCAGCAGGATGTGTCTTTCTTTCCAGTGTATATACAAGCAATGAAAGAGAGGTACAACTTGAAATGGGAGGGCAATCTCTCAAGGATTTTCTGACACTTGAATATCAAAATTCAAGAGAAAGCTGCATATCATGGCTCACGTCTTATTTTGCCATCTCACTCTCAACACACACACACACAGAAACTGGAGGCAAGTGAATTTCTCTTTGGCAGGAGCTTAGTGTTCAAAATGTGTAAGTAATAGATGCTCACTTCTTAAAGTGATCCTGACTGTTTGGGTCAAAACGATGTTTATACAGGAGGATGGCCATGATTTAAAGCTCCTATAAGGAGTTTTTAACTGCTTATATAAAAAACCCTAAAGACCTACAGCAATCAGACTGACATTCTCCCTGTTACAGTTTTTAGTTCTTTGTAACAATCACCATCAGGTTTTAGACAAACATAGAGAGAAAAAAAGCTTGCAAATTTGTGAAACAGTGTTTAGGAAGATATTATTTGTCTCAAGCTTTTCTAATGTACAGGCAGTCAATCACATAACTACAGGTTGATGTCACTGTACATTGAATAGAAAGGAAGTTAGACAACCTTGCTTTGGCCCTCATACAATCTATTCTTAAAGGGATATTCCGGCATAATTTTAAGTCATGGTCAAACACACTGTAACACCAAGTTAGCCACCCCGTCAAGAGATGAATGTTGCTGACTGCTTGCTTCTCTAGTTATATCAACTACCGCACAATAGCAATACACAGTGGTCTCAGGAGCCACACACAAACCTCAACCAAAACGCCACTCTATAGTCACAAATACTGCTCAGAACAGCACCTAACTTCATCAACAGAACATACAGGGTCCCAGCCATAGTAGCCACCAAACATCCTTACTTTGCCTGATTTCTTTAGCAAAGAGACTAAACACAACTCACCCTCCAGCAGCCGCTTGTTTGTGGGGGGGGGGGGCTTACAAGTTGATCACCGAGTGCAGTGGAGTTTCGCAGCTCAAGGAAGAACATTTATGATAATTACTTAATGGAAATGCAATCAGACCGAGACACTAAGGCAGAAGAACTACCGCGTCTGTAGTGCAAAATGATTAATATGATGATTATTACTTTATGGAAATGATCAGCTGCACTCGGTGATCTACTCATCAGGGCTCCCCCACAAACAAGTGGCTGCTGAAAGAGAGTGGGTGAGTTGTGTTTAGTCTCTTCACTAAAGAAACCAGTCAAAGCTAAAAAGATGTTTGGTGGCTAGTACTATGGCTGGGACCCTATATGTACTGTTGATGAAGTTAGGTGCTGTTCTGAGAATTATTTGTGACTATAGAGTGTCTTTTTGGTTAAGGCTTGCACGTGGAGACGTAGACCGCTGTGTATTGCTATCATGCACCGGAATATCCCTTTAATGGCACAGAAAATTGCATGATGACTGAACACAGGCTCTTTAAAACTCAGCAGAAATCCATTAAAACAAAAACAGCTGAGGGTCTGTTCATGAGCTGTGTGCACACGCTGTTCAGTCCAGGTGATGAAGAGAGTTTTGCCAACAGGTCGGGAATCCTGTACCTCTATAAATCTGTCACAGTGGGTGCAGTTTGCGTAGTGTTCAGAAACGCCCAAGGACACACAGCAGGTTTTGTGCTGCAGACTCTCTGAGCAGCACAGATGACACGAGGGGAGGAAATTAACTGAGCAGTCAATTATACCGAGCTGCCTCTTAAACTGGCTTTTAAAAAAAAAGGGAAATTACACCAAATGCTGGTTGATTGGTTGTTCACCACACCCTTATTCTGGAGCACACACTCATCCCTCTTCCATTACATCACCTACGTTTTTGTATGTGTGCGTATGTGGGTCTCCTGTGCTCCCATGTGCCCTCACCGATTATATTTAGCAACACTTTTGACTTGCATCTTTAGTTTCAAGATGTATTTACTCAAAGCATCCAAAAAGGGGCCATAAATAATTAAACACAGATGGTGTTATGTAATCCCAAATGTGGTTTGAGTGCAGTCTTCATTTTACCTGTGCCGGTGCCAGTGGGGTCCCCTCCTTGAATCTGAAAAACAAAAAACACTCTGTTAGTTTGGCTGACGTCAGAAGGTGCACACTGAAAACCAAAACCAGGTTTGTGCGGCAAATTATGACGAGCAGCTTCTTTCACTTATAATCGGAAAATGTCTGATTGCTGTTAAGTGGTAAAGTAATGCCGGACAATATTTCCTAGTGTCATGTTTCAAACCTGCAGGCATGTTCCTTGTGAGTACTCACAGTGAATTAGCTTGCAGGACACAGGCCTCTATTGTTCATTGTAAAGACTCCACTTTCCTATTATTGTTTATATAGCTGAGTGCTGCTCTGTGCGTTTCTGTGGACCTCTTGTTTTAATATACACAGGGGGGTTCTGACTGCGAGAGCTGCTACGGAGCAAAGTTGAGCTGAGTGGCTCTCTGTACTGTTTGTGTTAATAAAGAGGTGCATTTAACATGACAGCGAAACCACAGGGCTACAGACAGACACAACACCACAAACTCATGTGGACATGTGATCACAATTGTGAATAAAACCTTGACTGTTCACAACAACAGCTTTACACACTGATGCATCCAGACCGTGAATGAGCTCCAGTTGTTGAATCTGTTTCTATTTCTCCCAGCAAACATTTTTGATGTTATATGCTGATTTTCCAGCATAAATGCTGTCAGTTTATATAGTCTGGAATTTGTGATGCATCTGGGAGCATTTTTACATCACAGAATCTGATGGTAGTTTTGTATCATTATGTTACCGTATATCCTCATTTGTATTATAAAATCATCACTTTAGTGCAGAGACCCTTATGACGGCATAACTAGTGCTTGCCTCTGTAACAGAAATATGCTCATGAAATGTCTATACTCTTACTCCGCTGTCCTTTTAAAATCTGCAGGTTGAGTTTGAGCTAAATACCAACTAACATCCTCATGGATAATTTAAAGTCTCAAGGGCAAACTTTTTGGGTTGGGAAATCAAAAATCCCAGATAAATCTGAATGAATCACATCCCTGAAGATGATTTCGACTATTAATACTTCCTCACTCACCGTCTATCTTTCAGATAGAGATCTGTATATGATGACTGCTTTGAAACCACTTTGATGCAGTCAGATTAATTCTAACTTTAGTATGAGCTACCCTAAGATTATAGTGACAAAAAGAACAGCATTTTAGTTTATCTTGGACTCAGTAACAACATAGTACAATGGCAGGTGTTTTGTAGAATATAAAGAACAGCAGACAGACAGAGAAACTGAATTACAGTTATAACACACTCTCAATCACAATAATGAACAATGAAATCACTAGTTGCAGTTTCTTCTTAAACTGTCCAGGCTTAGTCTCTAAGTTTGTTCACAAATAACCAAGGAAAAAAACATAAAAAGCCAAACTGGCATATTAAAAATGAGAGGACGATGTTAGAGAAGAAAGACTTGTTCATAATTTTTTGGTTGAAGGTATTTGGGAGTGTTTATTAGAGCCAGAGGACTATGCTGAAGAAATACCACAGAATCAGACAGACACTACAGTCATGTGCTCCTGGGGTGGCCCCGGTGTGCAAATTGGGAACTGTGGTGTGTTCACGTGCTTTTAATATGAGTTGAACGTTACACATGCCTGACAGGCCTGACTTGTTTTTGAGGGCTAAAACCTGGAAAGCTTGAAATAATGTGCTTGATGAGCAAAACTGGACTGGCTGTTAAAGTAAGATATGCTCAAGCAAGATAGTCTCTTTAATTATACATGTGTACGTATGTGTTAGTGTATACTTGGTTTAGTGGTCTCCTTCTGTTTCATAATGTCGACTTGTTCTGCCCTCTGACTGTGTACTGTGTGAGTTCATGTAAGTTAATGCTAGCCAGAAAAAGCAATATATGACACGCCAATAAAACGTAAACTTTAACCATTAAACTACCACACTCATTTCATATAAATCACCTTTCTTACAAGTTTCTCTAACTCTAAAATTCTATTTGAGCTACACGTTTCCGTCCAATACATGAGTGAGGAGAAAGTTTCTCAAACTTCATCAGGTTGGCAAGTTGGGCACTGAATTCTTTCCCCTAGTTTCAGAGTTGTCGCTCTGACTTGAGCAGGTGTTCAAGAGCATTTTCCAACCTGGAAACTGTTTCTTCCCCCCATATTTCTGACACCACATGAGCACAAGGAGAGACTGTGGCTGTCTACCAGCAAAACACTCGGGTTAATGTGGGCACAGCTGGCAAAGGTCGATTAAAGGAGAGCTCAGACTGAACATGCAGAAATGTTTTTGGACGGACTTAAAAGCATTAACTATTAGGGGCGCATATTTCATATGGTGTAATATAACAGTGTAAGTGTACCTCTTATTGAGTGGTAGTCCAGTGCTATTACTAAAAAATAATAAATAAATAAGGCTGCCAAAATGTTGTTCTGCTGATTTTGTAGGTAGTTTAAGTGAATTCTTGTCAAGTCCTGAGAATGACTGTATGTTCCTGAGTACGCAGAGACAGCACACATTACAGCCTGATGTTAGACTGCGTCATAAAAGTGTGAAACACCTCTTCACTGTTGGAGCCTGAGCAGCAGCAGCCTGTTGGCCTCTCATCTTTTACTGTGAAAGTGTCAAATTCTTTTTGGAGTCATTTCAGGATGTTCAGTTCACTCACAGGGTCCTGATAAAGTGCTTTAAGGAAAGTAAAGGCCACAGCGCTCTTCCTCTGAACATTCTTCTTCAAACAAGTTTGTTGCTATGAAATTATTCTCTCCAAGGCCATGCTGCTCTCCTTTTCAGCTGTGATAAGTCCAGGAAGGCACAAGTGGCCCAGTAATTATGGATACACAATTCACAGTGCGCCACACTGTGTATGAAAACCAGGAGACAGAAGGAAAAAGGTAAGGGTCCTCTTGAGACCAGATGACCACTCAGAGCCACTTTAATTATGGGAGCGGCTTCTGTGAAACGCTCAGAGCGGCAGAAGATCACAGACATCTTTTCAAATTCTCAGTCTGAGCTCAGAGGCTTCAGGTGGAGAGCTAGTCAGAAGACAATGCTGTGTTTATTCATTCAGCAATAACAAGAGAATATTGCGTGAAAATAAAGGTAACAGTAAACTAGTCAACGTGATATTCTAAAAAACTATACATTAACTGGTTGATTACGACTAATCAATGAGTGTGTGTCGTTATTCATACACCTTTATTGAACAGTTTTGCAGAAATCTTATCGCTTTGTTTATTGCTTTGCACCAAAACACCAAGACAAACCCTGTGCTTGTGCAAACCTGCTTATTTTCCTGATTTTGATTTGACTACAAAGTAAAAGCTTGACCAATTCTCAAATTTCAAAATCAGATCCTGTTTATCTTAAGACTAGAACCTGTCATAACATCTCACTAGGAGTTTTCAAATTTCCCTGATTTTGTTTTATACATTATCATCTGTTCATTCATATTTCCCCGAGACGAGGGTGCATGACCCTTGGATGGGACCCTGGGTTATTGCTTTGTTAAAACAATACTCATAGTTCCACGGGGTTCATTAGTAAGCACTGCCCACATTGTGTAGGGACTTACATATAAGTGGAAGGCAGACAATGAACTAACAAAAAACCCAAAAAGCAGAAATTTTAAGATATCCAACACTCAGCTTCAACTCCACTAACAGAGAGCCACCCACACATTTATGATTATAAAGACTGCAGTGTACTGTGATTCTTTCTCTTCTTGAAGGCAATGCTACAAATACTTTTGGGGATACAGGTATTTGTTAGCAAAGGACATGTCTGTCTGTGTATTTGATATGATATGGATGTATGATATGGTGTCAGTATGGTGAAGAGTGGGGGAGGCTAGGAAATACATTTATCTACAGAAGGGGGCCTTACAGAAAGTTTGAAACCACTGAGTTCAAAGCAATTTTTTTACGAAGAGTGCCGCCAACATTACAGCCGTATTAAAAACATTTGTCTTCTGATATACATATGTGACAGCAGCACTGAAACGGACACAAGTAGAGGACCTGAGATTGACCCTTAGGGGGCTCCATGATTAAAACAGTAAACCAGAGATGTATTGGAATTTTAACCAAAAAAAAAAAATTATTTCAAAAAGGTAATAACTCATCCAAAAAGATAACTGACACTGATGATACATGAAAAGCTAATGCAGTCAAGTCTGATTTATGAAAGTCCTCACCATGAAATTGCGTATGGATCTGTGGAAGATCGTCCCATCGTAATAGCCTTTTTTACACAGACGGGTGAAATTCTCTCCAGCTTTGGGAACCTGGAAGAAAGAACATGCTTTGTTAAAGTAAAAAGACCAAAAGCATTCATTTATCCCCTCAGTTTTGTTTCTGACAGACTAAATAGCCCCTCTACAGCAAATAACACGCCTCATGGCCGGGTGTCAGACAGGAGCACAACCAGAGCACAATTGGCGCCATCAGAGAATGTGAATTCTGCCAGTGTAGTTGGCATGCAGAGATATTGGTGTGCATGTATTAACGAAGTGTCAGTATGTTCTCAACAAGCAAATGTCAATATTTTTATACATTATATTTATTTTTAAAGACATTTACATGTATGTAAGAGTCTCACTAGTATCACATCTATGTTCAAAAATCTTGTATTATGAAAATCCTTGTACACAGACCATTAATAACAAACACTGAACAGGAACATCGAGCATGTGAACAACAAAATACACAGACATGGAGAGCAACAGTTCAAATATCAATCACTACTATCCAGTGTATTTGTTATCTGAGCCCAAACAGAAGAGAAAGAGTATAGCCTTTGGTCTCTTTGTACATAAGCTGCCTTGAGGACAATGTGAAGGTGTCGAGCTGCAGAGGCAGGCTGTATCTCAGCTTCCAGGAAGAGTTCCCACAGTTGCAGGTAGCTTTACATTCACGCTAACAAACTGAGACACACGTGCAACTGTGTGACCTGCTTCCAAGTGTTTCCTATATGTTTAAGTCTGTAAGAGGCAGGGTTCATCTGTGGCCTGAGGCTGCCTCATATGCCTCTACAGCAAGCTTAGCACTACAAAGACATCTGCTGGTGTAAAACACACACATCTGGATTTTCTTCTTGCTGAAAGTAACTCCCGGGTCATAAAGAAAAAACTTTGAGGCATCTAGTAAATAATTATAACAAACACCTACTGACAGGCTCTAATTTTGACTGTCTGGCACAATTTAGGATAAGCTGGTATGTGTCCCCCTTGAGAGAGGCGGGGCTTAGACAATGACGCTGGTCAGGTCTACTGTTATTAGCGTCAACAGCCTGGAGGAACACTGTTTAGTGTGTTTGAAAGATGTGCCTGTGTTTGTGTGAGAAAACCAACTTTTTCCCCCTTGACAACAACGCTCGGTAGTTTCCAAGAATCACCACATGCTTTCGTAAAAACCTATTTTTATTCATTGGCCTTTTCCTGCGTGACAGGTCTCTTGCAGGCTTCACTGGTCTTATTTCCACATATGTCTCAATTCTGCTGTTGGGGTTCACTGCTCTGCCTATTTCACTCCTCTATAAAAATAAATCCCTGATTTTCAAAGCACTCTGGTTCAAAGGAGCTTCTTGTTTTAAAACCACCAGACAAAAAGAGGGACTCGCTTTGAACATTGATGGCATAAAATTGATTCTTGGATTGGGAAAAAAAACACCTAGAAGAAAATATGTTACATCAAGTTTTTTGGTTAAAACACATAACTGGTAGATTTAAAAATAAAATCAAAGCACAAGTCTGCTCTATTCAAGTGTTTGCTGCTTTCTTCTGGACTATTTTAACCAGCAACTTTCACGTCAGAGATCTCTATCTGTAACTTTGAGGCTTTTTCCGCCTCTTGACTCGGTTGCTGCCCTGTAATTGAGGTTAATTTAGCGTGTCTGGATGCATGCTTTTGTGTTTGTGTGTGAGTTTGAGCCTGGGAATGTTTAAAATGCAATCCAATTTAGAAACATGCCTACTGGTCTAAAAATGTTATCAGTGATGTCAGGGTGGAAACAATGTTTGCTGACGCAGACAGAAAAACTAATTCATGCATCCTAACAGGCTCCTCTCTTTGTTTAAGTCTAAGTCAGACAGTGAAACAAAACAGAGAAGAATCCAGGTTATGTTTCAGTATTTGACTGAAGTCAATGTCTCAGGAAGTGTTAGTTAAACACAGGTCTGCTGAGTCATTTTAGCAACATCACCTGGTCTGATAAAGTTGAAACTTTGAGTCAAATTATCAAAGTTCTGGTATTTGTAATAACTTTTGGGACTGACAGCTGGGCATCAAGATGACAAACTTGGAGAAGGAAAAGTTGCGACCATCTTCATACATCCATCTAAGTACATGATGGTACGATACCCAATAAGATTCCCCAAAACCTCTGACAATCCAAGGAAAAGGGACAAATTATGCCAACATTATAATTTAACAGGGATGATTTTTTTAAAGTGCCTTTTTGGTCTCAGTATTAAAATCAAATTGTTGCTCTATTTTAAGTCTCTATTTATCGCGGTTTATTGCACTTCTGCCAGAACTGTTTGCTTTTAATGATCACGTGTTGGATCACTTGTGTGGAAACTTTAACTTCATGACAATGTGAGTTTTTTTTAGCTGGTTATGAAACAGACCAAAATAAAATTGATGCTTCTATGTGACCTTTATAAAAATGATAGATTGAAGATTGATCATTTCTTAAGTTTGCTGGGTAAGTGGAAGATGAAGTGAGTTACAGCAGAGACATCCTCTGTTGACATTTCCCACAGCAAAGATCCACAGTTTCTGATAAAAATGACCGTTAAAGAGTCGTTTTAAGAGTTTGGCAACAGGAAACACAACTGAATGACATGAGTAAATGGGATAAGATACACTGCTGTACCCATAAGGGGCGCCAACACTGACCCAGACTTTAAGTTCCTGACAGGAGCTTTGAAAATTTAGAGCTTCTGTCAGGAGTTTTTAACCTTTATAAAATACACTGAAATCTGAATTATGCTTTTTGAAGATACACAAAAGTAAACAAAACTATTGCTGATCAGACTCATGATTTTGTTATTGTAATTTTTGATGTATGAAAATATTGCAGGGAGGTAGGTGACAGATGAAGAGACATCCGTACGTTTACATTTCTGTATAGGATATTCACGATAAATGACACATTTGACTGTCAGGAGGAGGTTGCTTTGACCACAAGGGGTGCCATATACAACACAAACTGAAAGTTCCTTACAGGAGCTTTAAGTCTTCACTGTGGATGCACAATATTTCTGTATTATATCAGTATGCCAATCTGTGCAGCCGATTAGGTGACGCACACGTTGTGCCTCTACAGTGACAAATAATGCACAAAAATGACGAGTTTCACCATGTTGGTTATAGGAAAGTATTTTGAGTGTCAACATAACGGCCATCTGCAAATCTTGTGAAGAAAAGATGATGCAAAGAGGCGCAAAAAAAAAAAAACACCACTTAAACACTCACAATATAACAGTTTAACTTATTTAATTGTGTCTGTTTTATGTCTGTTTCTAAAACAACAGACCATCATAGTAAGAGCAACAGGTAAGTTCTACAGTATAGAAAAGATTTGGTCTTTTTCACAGCAAAGAAAAAGTTTATGCTAATATCTGTTTGAACCAATAAGAGTTTGAAAATGTCAGCATAATGATTAATTGCAAAAAGTCTGATCCCCTGCATCCCTGGTCTTTACCCAAATCTCTAATCCAGTGAATGGAAAGTGTAATTTTGTTCTATCAATCCTCTCTGCAGTAGTTAATTAAGCACCACATTCTGGCTGTTTCCACTTTCAACGTGTTTATTTGACTGAATTTACAAAAGATCCAAGTCCAATACAAACCAGGAGCTGTCCAGAAAAAACTCATTTCATCCCACACAGCTGAAGACTATCGACCATTTCCAGAGCAAAGCTGTACCTCCTTCAACATCATCATGTGTGAATAAGGTACAGAACTCGATCTCCTACGGCTCAAATTGCACCCCAGCTGGGGACAACGACGGCATTGATAATTGAAACATCTTTTGCTAGGTAAGCACTGGGCACTTTAAAAGGGAGGTGGGTTCTGGCTCAGTTTGACTGAGAGTGTATGTGACAGTGAAACAGCACTCATTAATTCATAAACAGCAGGCCACAAATAGAGCTGCAATCTTGTGTGAAAACCACGGAGGAGTAAGGTTGGGGGGGTGGGAGGAGGAGGACGTGGGGCTCAGAGGGCAGGTTGTCTAACCGCTGCAACTTTCCCCTCATTATTCTGATTCGACAGCTCAGAAGCCAATGAAAACATAGCACATGAAGTGCCCGGTTACCGGGGCAGAAATGCATTCCTGGGACTCACGCTGTCTCTCTGGAGCCCCACACCTCACCTTAAAAAAGAGGCAGACAAGAAACACATTTCTGCCAAGACGTCAACCTGGCAACCTGGGGGACAGACTCTGCAAGAGGCTGATTTCAGTGCTTTGAAAATTCACCTTGAATGCCATTTAACCACCTGCTCGGTCCAAACCAACATCACAACAACCTTTAATCAGAAACCTGTGCCAGCAAATTAAATCAGCAAAGTTTGAGGTCCAAAACAGCAGGACTCATTTATAAAACTACACATTTTACAGGTTGGGTTGTTTTTCCTCAAACTTTGATATTTTGGTGAAAATGAGACCAGCTGAGGGTTTGAAGTTTGTGAGCCTGAACCAGACGGCTTTAAACGTTTTATCTTTTCTGATTTCTTCTAACACTCCCTACCCTGAAAATAAATACAGACCAGATCAGTGAATTCAAAGGAACTTCAAAGAACCTTTTCCTTGTTATTTTATCCGTCTGTGATCATGTGGAAATTCTTAAAAACCATAAGGGGCTCAGTCAGTTACACAAGAAAGGATGTGATTTCCTTACTAGAAATCTCTCTTCTCATAAGCTGAGGAAACACAGAAACAAGTGAAACTGAAGCAATCTTGCCCAATCCATAGCAAGCATAAGTATAACTCGGTCTGGTTGTTTGCGTGCAGCAAACATGCATGTTATTACCTTGTCACAGTGTAGCTCCACATTTAGGTCTCCTTTGTTTGTGTGCAGACGGACGTAGCCTTTCTTCTTTACATACTGGTAACGCACGGTGTCGTCTGCAATGGCGTCTGTAACAATAAAACAAAAAGTCATTATTTGACTTCTTTTCAGATTTCAGCTGGTAACTAAGTTGATAATTATTTTTCAAATTCTAATATTCAAGATTGTTCAGGAGACTCAGCTTGATGTGGATGCAGGGGACCTTTAAAAACCAAAAGTCTCTGCATTGCAGGTTGTTGTTCAAAGTTATTAAAGGTTACTCTCCTATAAACAATAAAATAAAAATAAATTAAAATACCCTTTTTTATTTTCCTTTTGATATTTAAACACAAAGGTTTATTAGCAATTTCCATTTAGCCTTACTGGAAGAATAAAATAAACAAAGAATTGAACCGACGTCTTCTGCGTATATAAACGATTTCTGCCGACTTTGCAAAGTCAACTGCAGAATTAACGGCGTTCTGAATGAACGGGGCTTTGAAAAGTCCCGCAGCATGTGTTAGACGTCACCACTACACATGGACCAATCAGGGGCTGCCTTTCCCTGTTGTCCGGGTAACAGTGGAAACACGGTCTCTGATTGGCCCGGTTATTTTCTGATCGGGAATACACGCTCTCTATGGGCTGAAGTCCAGACTGTGGTGGGAAGGAACATCAAGTGATTCACGCAACAGGATGGCCCGGCAAGGCTAGTGGATTATAGCTAGAGGTCAAAAAGAAGATTGTATAAACTAAGAATTAATCTTCTAAGTAATGCTTTGAATTATTCACTAAGTTATTTGATCAAAAAATATCAGAAAAGGTAAAAAGTTCATTATAGTTTCCTAAAGCCAGTTTTGATGTCATACAATGACTTGTATGGACCACAGCCTGAAGATATTCGGTTATTCAGACAGAAGATGATAAAGAAGGAAACTGGCAGGAAAAAAAAAAAAGACACTGGAATCAACAAATTATAACTTTTTTTTTCCTTTCATATAATCAAAAATAGGGATGGGGATCAAAAACTGTTTCAACTGAGGACCCAGCTGCAAAATTTTCAAAGTCTGAAAATCAACAGTGATTCATGAAGCAGTTGGGTCACGCCATCTAAGTGAAATCACTGCTGCACAAACATACATACAGCATTACCAAAAGTTTTGAAGACAATTAATTCCCCGCCTACAGGCAAAGCATTACATAAAGAAGAATTAAGGCAAATAAACGTCTGAAGAGGTCTGAAGTTTTGCTTAATTATCTTTGAGTTGAAAAACCACAAACATGTGGTTGTTGCTGCTGCTGAGTCATCAACCTCCTCCACTGTGGTAATCAAACCCAACCTTTGTTGGAATTAAACATAGTTACCCAATGTTGGACGAAGGTGATGTAGGGTTTCATCATGATGTGTTCAAGGCTGGGTAAGTACAGACTTACTTATATGAGCACGAACAGCTCACTAAAACCACTGATGCTCGGACTGTTCTATGCTAATACTGAAATTAAGATACCAATATTTATTTCCTAATCACTACAGACATCAGTCTTGTCTTTACACCAAATGAAACAGAAGTATTGATAGTGGACTTTCTTTAAACTTGGGTGGTTTAAGAGTCTTGATGATGGTATCAATATAAGTAAAAATGAATGTTCTGATTTGGCTAAGCTGTTGAATCAGACACCCCCTGAACAGAGGCTGCAGACAGGGAGTGGGCGGCCAGGGTTTGCTCTTTGCAGTGTGTCATTCTCCCATTTCCCTGTCTTCATGTTTTCTTTCCCACTGTTTCACTCACCAATTAAAGCATAAGGCTCCAAAAATAAACCGAAAACCAATGAATCATTAATCACACTAGTTGGGAGTTAATCTAAGAGTTGAATAGAAATCCATCAATTTTTGCTGCTCATTTGAACACCGTAAAGCACAAACATACAGTTTAGAAGACTGTTCTCTGGAGCATTTCTCAGTATTCTGGGCTTAAGATGCACATCGATAAAAGTCAGTAAACAGCATTACTGTCTTCTTCAAAAACCTGAACTGGGTCACTAAATCCAAACACTGTCCTCCTCTTCTGAAGAGCACTGAACCTACTATTCAGTTGCGTAACAGCAAAATCTCTCTCATGGAGTAGCCCAGAGACTGACAGGAGAGGAACACACAGTCAAACAGAGCAGCTCCCACATGCAGCTACATTCAACTGAGTGAGAGCGCAGAGCAGCAAAAAGGGCAGGCGTGACCAGCCCGTCTTTTGAGGATAAAATAAAGATTAAAGCTACCAAAGAAAGAAGCGCTGAAGGTTTCTGTCTGCGGGGAATAAGCAGAGGGTTTGTGTGTGTGTGTGAGATGTTCACTTGCCTGCTTCGTGTATTGTTGCAGGAGTCATGGCTGTGGATGTGAAGGAGGCAGAAACTCTGCCTGTCGAGTAGTGGGCCTGGGGGAAACAAGAGACAGAAATAAGAGATAGCAGCTTTTAAGTCGGGTTTTAGAGGCTAACTTTTTGGTCTACTACTTTTTCTGATAATGAATACTCTGTGGTGTTTATTATCTATCAATGATCCTAAAAGCCATGAAACAGAATTGTGCTGCTTTTCCTTTTTCTTTTTGAATACAGTAAGAACAAAGAAGACTTCTATATAAACTCTGGTCATATCTTCACTCGACATTTCATTAGCTTTTCCAAAAATGTATTCTGCATCTCAGAGTCGTCGTCAGTGAGTCGAGCTGTTCCAGTAGTGAGTAATGTATCCATATTTTCCTCTTTTTACCATCATCTCTTTTGTCCATTTTCAAACAAGAGCCTTGGCTCACAAAATCAGCACCTTACATCAACTCAGACGATCCAGACAGAGAGATGTCGGAGTGAGGTGAAGGGGCTGAGGTGGGCACAGCACCTTGAACAGTTAGGAGCCAACACCTCATTTATCGATTATATGGTGAACATCCATTCATTCACTCCCAAAGAAAAGTGAGCAAAACTCCTCCTCCTACTACTGCTAATACAACTGGAATTACTTACAAATCTATTTGCATCTTTGAAAGCTGGTCTTGAACTATTTAAAGTGATTTTATTTGACTGGGATATCCATCCGACTGTGGAAGTTTAAATACTCATGTATTGTTGTCTCATTTATTCAACCTGTAATGTTGTTAAATTATTGCTTTTTGTTATTCGAGTTGTTCTGTTGCCTGAGTAAACTGGGACTCCTCGGAAAGATTAATGAGATCTACTCCTTTATGATAAAACATAAATTAATAACAGCAAATAAAAACTCTGGTTCCCTTGAAAACGTTACATGATGGATGAGATGCAAAACCTTGCTGCCAATGGCTGAACACCGAGAGGAAAGGCTGCAAAGTAGATGACTGGATATGCAAACCCTCCAGTGTGCCTTAGGTCTGCCCCAGGGTCTCCTCCTTGGGAAAGAGCTGTGGAAGTCTCCTGATCAGGTACCTGAACCACGAAGCTGACTCCTGTACTGTCAGCTCAGCCTGGTGTCTGACCTCCTTACACATCTTTACGTCTGAGCCAAGATACCAGACAGAGGAAACTCATTCAGGCAGCGTTTACCCTGTTTCATTCTTAGCACACTACCCGAAGCTTATTCTTCATTATTAGTACTATCATATATATTTTGTTGGTTGGTTTGGGTGTGTTTTGATATGTGATATTCAGACATCATTTAGGCGAGGCTTCATATCAGCTCTCTGAGTTTTCTGTCTCCTCCAGCAAAAGGCAGTGGACAGGATCACTTGTTAAATGCATGACATCATTCTTGTAAAATTACAACTTTACAACTAAAACTGGATAATTTTCTCTTATATAATGTGGCCTTCATAGCAGTCAAATGACTTTTAAAAGGTGCAGTGTGTAGATTTTGGTGGCCTGTCACAGAACAGACCCAGTAGAAATGAAATATAATTACAAGTTTATTTAAGCAAAAAAGTACAAACTGTACTGTACTTTGTACGCATGATTTTATTTAGTGTGTTTCTGCCAAAAAGGCACTGGTTGGAAAAACAAAAAGAAGAGGGTGGTTATTGTACGCAAAAGAACTTGTGTTGATATTTTTAAAGGAAAAACTTTGAGAAAAAAAACTTGACAAATGTGAGATTTCGTCTTGGGAGTTCCTTGTCTTTGAAGGTCACCTTTGCTTCTTAGATAGCAGGGGCGAGGAGATCAAGGGAGTGTTTGCGTTCAGTATCTAACATCTAGTATCTGACTGCTACATGTTGCTGCCACTTTAACGCACTGTACCTTTAACTAAAGCCACATTCACCTTGACAAGTCTAGATGAAACATCTGGCTGTGAAAAATTATGGGCAAAAAGGCCTTTTAAAGCTTGTGAGGGTAAAAATAGCTGCCCAGTAAAAATAAGACATAGTATCTTCTTTAAATCATTGGCAGCTTTTCCACTCTTTACAAGCAATTGTGGCCATTTTTAGAAAGTTTTTTGCAAGTGATATCTTGGAGAAGGACGTTACACCTGGACTTGTAGGGTGAATGTAACCCTTATAAAAAAGTTTGTGACGTGTTTCCATTAAAATAAAACAAAACACCTGGTCAGATTTGGTTCTCCTTTTGCAGTGGTGACTATCTCTGAGTTGGAAAATAGATAAATGGATTCATAAAAAGAGAAGCAGATGAACCGGTGATTAAAAAAAAAAAAAAAAAACAGATGACGTCTTTGCAGCCGCTATTCGTATTTGTAGCTCTGTGGCGAATGATTCCACTGGACATCAGGACCCACTTAAAACGTCTGGCAGGTTTTCTGCTCAGGGGCACTTCAACAGGACAGACACTTTCTCATTAAAACCAGCCTGCAGCTTCATCCTCCAGTGGAGGAATAATCTCTCCACTCAGCCCACACCTCTTTCCAGCCACACACTTGGCTGGTCCCCCTCGTCTGCACTAAGTGGTGCATCAAGTACAAACTAGCTTAATGACAGCCTCTGCAGCTTCAGTGTGATTAAGAGCACAACATCCTCAGCCTTGGGAGATTTAGGCCATCTCATAATTAAGGGGCGTCAGGGATGCTTTAAGGTTCCTTGAGTTTAAATTATAGTAAAACACATCTGCTGCATAGTAATACACAAAATCCAAAAATATCCCTGCTAATACAGCTGGATTGGTGGAGTTATTTAGGTAAACAGAATAGGAGCTCATGGAGATGAAAGAAGAGATGAGAAAAGGGATTTGAAAAGTCTCGACTACAGTCCTGGTTTAGCTTTCTTCTGCTCCAGTTCTTGTGAAGGCGCATGAAAGCATAGACTTTACCTTGTATGCTCTGTCTGACCTATATTCCCCGTTCTCTCAGATACTGTTGGAGCGGCACGTCGACTGTGAACTTGAGATGGAGAGCAACCAAGGAGAAGCTCGGGCGTATAAAAAGCAGACACGGCGTAGCATCAAAGAAGGGCTGATAAGAAGAGAAGTGTTGATACTCTTCGAACTGAATCAGACATCTTCCCCCCGGTCACTCAAGGACACAGTCAGGGTGGTATCTTGGCCGTGGATGACCTTTTTTGTTCCTTATCTGAGTGTTTGTTTCCCCTCCGTTAAACCTGACTTACAATGAGAATAAGCAGACTTGAAGTAATCACACTGACCACCAAAAAGGTTATTATTATTATCAAAGCTGCTCCGTGTTTTTAGAGGCCTTGGTACAATTCCTATGTCTTCCATGTTTTTGAGATTTCAGACCCTGACATTTTCTGACTGACTCGGTCTTTTCATATATCTGCATTTAATCCTATAATGTTGTTCTATGCATCCTTCTAAGAGCGCTGTAAATGCTCTTTGTTCTGCCTCTGGATGCAGTTGTTTATCTTATTGCCCACAGCACAGTCAATGTATGACTGTATGTTTAGCTCCCTCTTGTGGACACTGTAAAAACTACACTTCTGAACTTGTGTTTTCCTTTTTAAGATGCAGCAGCAGCAGCACATCAGTCATGACTGAGACATTTGGGGAATTATGTTTGACTTAATTACTTAAAAAGAAGAATCTACAATCCCTTTGATTAAAAGCTCATTATAACCTTGTTAATTTCATCACTGATAGAATTTTCTTCTTTTCTTCTTTTTATAAAACAGCAGTAATGCCAGGACACATGCATGACAGACGCTGAAAGATCCAGAAAGTGGTCTTGCGAGGCAGTAAGTGGACTCGAGTGAGGACTGTTTTCTCAACAGAACTATTACAAATGTCAAGAATCCTCTTTGATTTTGAAATGTAAAGCCGACAAGACCAAAAAGAGGATTTTTAAAGCACTTTAACGGCAACTTACATCTCATGGAGAAAGGTTTGTCATACGTCCGAAAGCTCTAGGAAAAGGCAGTGAACTTTATAAGGTCATAATTTTGGAAGAAATACCTGTTTTAGAGCAATTATGGCTCAGCCTTTGTACAAGACTCAAAAAGGCAAAATCTTCAACCACACCAACAAACAAATCAACACCATATTCAAAAATTCCCCATGAAGCAAGACAATAACATTTTACAAAGGGATAAAAAAAGACATAATATTTGCTTGCTGATTATATTTTTGTTCACTCTTCTGATTCAACAGCTAGTCATTTGGTCAAAACATACAAGGGTGGGGTAACTAATGCCCATCCCTGTTTTGTGCTGCCAAATTTAAAGACTAACAATGACAAAAACTTAAAGATATCCAGTACATTGTAAAAGAGAACGTAATCAGGAAAAAAATCCTACTCAGGTTGCTAGAAACAGAAATTTGGACTTAAGGAAATAAACATTACAGGCCTTAAAGCAGGTGATGCAAGTTTTTATTCTGGCTACATATCACTCCTTTCTTTCTTTTCCAAATTTCCTGCCCTTTAAAAAAGTTACTCAAACTAGTGAAACCTAAATCAATCTTGGAGACTTAGACTTTAAACTGAAAACAAATTCATTTCTCTGCAGTTTGAATGTCAACCCTTGCCACCCTTTCCTATATTCCTGAGGTGAATAAGTCGTCACTATCAGGTGTTAAACATAGTAGTTAAGATAAGAAAAGATAAGACAGTCCCATGGGGAGAGATTCCAAATTCCAAACATTATCTGATAAAAGACTTGACAGAGACGGATAAGGTATAAATCTGATGATGGCAACAGCATATTCATGCCGGTGAAGCAGTAGCAATGTATGCTACATCAACTAGCAATAACCTTTAGAGGAGAAGCATCTAAAGGAGCTGAGTAGACTACAGACACCATGATGGAAAGACCTAAAAAAGTCTCAAACTAACCTACATGTCAATACAATATAAAAAAACATAAATGCTGATCCACACAGGTAAAAAAAGGAGGGCTTACTTTTTTGGTAAATGGCCAATAAAAATGTTTTAAGTCAACATTTTCTCTCTCTCTCTCCCCTCATGTAGTTAAGAACTAAGTATCACAATTTGTTTTACTTACAGCGTTTAATTTGTCCGTCTTTTTGGCCACAGGCTCTTTCATTGTGGAAGCCAGGAGCTGATCCCCCTTGTAGTCTTTGTACAGCTCAGCTAATGTCTCCCTTGTCTCCAGATTGGTGCTCTTCAGGTGGTATGCTGGGTCCTGCCTGGCCTTTTCCTCATCTAAACAGAGCCAAAGGTAGAAGTAAGATCTGGTTTAACAAAAGCTCCTTTGTTTTTAAAGAGAGAAGAAGAACTCCAAGGAAAGTAGAATTACATGAAAGATAGTCAGGAGACAGTTCAATAACTCACCTGGGTCCAACACCTTCAAATTGTTTTTCACGTGGAAGAAATTGGAAACATTGAATTTATCCAGGTTTGTGGGGTCCTACAGGCACAAAACACAAATGTTCCCATGAGATGTTCAGTCGTTTTTCCTTCACAAAACACTTTTAACTTTTGCAAACAGAATTTAAGCAACAACCAACCTGAAGGGTTATGATGTCCTTTCTGGTGAAGGCTTCATCAGTCAGCAGATCCTTGAAAGTTTTGGTCTTAATGTTGAGTTGTTCAACAGCCTGGGGAAGGGAAGAGGGGGCAAAAAGGCACAAAGATGTTTGCAACATTAATAAAAACAGATTTTGACCAATTGCAAATCCTTGAAATCCAACATTTTAATTCAAAACAGTGCAGATATATCGAATAATGAAAAAAAGTGATTGTTTTATGAAAAAAGCTCACTTCAATTTAATAATAAAAAAGTTAAGACCTGGACAACAAACCCCTGAAAAAGTTATCTTGTGCTGTGGAAACGCCTGGAGGAATATCTCTCGAAAAAGACTAGGATTAACAGGTTAATGACATGACTGGGAAGGAAGCTTTGTTCCACAGAGGTAGAATCTTTCAGGAAAAAATTGACAGGATGAGGTTGGACACTGTGTGAGAGACTTCAAGTATTATCTACAAGACTTAATATAATTAAAAGTTTTAGAGAATCTCAGTACACACTTCCATCAAAACAAGCCTTTCCAGTGAAGATCTTGCATATCTCAGTAAGACAATGGCAAATGATGTCCAGCACGTGTTACAACAGCCTGGCTCTGTAGTAGAAGAGTCCTGGTGCTAAATCTGCCTGCAGTAAGTGAAAACTACTACAATAGAGTCCCCAAAATGTTGAGCAGCCGAAATCCTATATTAGCCAATAATGGGATGTCATTGGCACTGTTTTAACTGTTTTACTGTTTTAATATGTGCTGCTGGAAATGTGTTTTTATTAACCTTTCACACAGTGTCTCAACATTTTTGGAATTAGGGATGTACTTCAGAGGCATGAAACATACTTGGGTGGGCCACCCATGTGCTGTCTATGCGTGGAAAACACTGTAATAGTGTTACAGCCTGAACTCCTGTTTGTTTTCTTCTAAATTGATGGTGATGAAACAAAGTTTGAAAAACATATCTGAAAAAAACAGCAGTTTTTCCTAAACAGAATGTAACCCTAAATTTGTTTAGAAAAACTATTTGTTGTGCTAAACTAATTTGATGCGGTGTTAGGCAGCATCTTGTGAGTCCGTGTGGGCTGAGGATCTGGCTTGTATCTGTAAGAAACTGAATCAATAGCGTCTTTGTGTGTTTGTTTGGGTGTGTAATTTTAGACATCGATCTGTTCCACAAAAGTATCTGTGTGAGGATCAATGCAGGGAAAGTGTGTGATTTCACCCACCTCGTATGAAAAGACGTTGCCTGTGACCTTGTTGGTAACAATGTGAGAATTATTTGTGAAGACGTTGTACATAACGGGGCAGTGATACTTTCCTGGAACAGAATGAAAGAAAATTCAGGAGCGGGAGGAGCAGCTGAGTCCCTCACTTCTGCTTCCACAGGCGCACAGCTCATCTCCTCCAGAAGTCAAGGAGTGCCTCATGTAATGTGCTCCCTGCTGAATTATATCACCTTACCCACACTTCCCTCCTCCTCTTGCTTTAATCTGCTCTCATCCCCTCCTTAAAAATGACCCTCTGACTCTCCTTAAGTGACATTTTCTCTCTAAGCATGAGCCTGACCTTTGCTTCCAGATGATTCTGGTGATCACAAATCTAAAAATTAACCTTGTTTGGCTCTGATGGCAAAAATCAAAACATTGTGCCCCTATCTCCACTAAGTACATTTCACACAATCATTAGGCGTATTTACCATCGCTGTTCTTGGCAAAGTTAAGTTTGATGAGGGACTTTGCTTCCAGTTTCTGTGGGAAGAGAAAAAAACAGAGATTTTACTGCATGATCGTCACAAAATATAACTCAAGATTAGTAAATCGTCCTCTTTCTTAAAGGTCACTGACATAATCAACCAGAACTGACTTTCATTTACAGTTCTATATCAAGATACATGAGAAAGACAAGGTGCTTAACAGAAAAACACATAATAACTAGTTTAAAATGGTTATTACTCTGTAGTAAGGCCACAACAAATTATTTATATGACAGGGAGCTTGTGGCTAAACCTTATTGAATTCATACCTTCCCTCTGTACATGGTTAAAGATTTTGATCCGGGATCACTGACTAAAGATGTGCTAATTGTGGAAGTCAGAGCAAATACTGATAATTTAAAGCGTCACTCAGCTGATGCTGATCGCTGGTTTCAATGCTTTTGTGTTACTTTTTTGTATTTTTGTGCCTGAAATGTTTTATACAAACTGCATGTCGCTAATCTTTCTCGAAGACTGTGTCATATTCCAACACTTCACAAATTTTCTGTCATCTCCTCAATAAAAGTCTTCTGTAAATTGGCAGTGAGGTGCAGTAGCCTTCCAGATTTACATAACTGGGATAACAATATAATTACAGGAAGCTTAAGGAAAAGATAAACACTGGCATCAATGTGTGACACATTATTTGCCAATGTGCCAAAATCTGTCAACAGAGCTGATATTTGCTGATACTGATGTTTAACGGATACATCAATGCAGTCCCATTAGCGACAAACGGGCACTCAGCTAAAACCCACGGGTACACGAAGGAGGAGCAGTCAGCAAAAAAAGAGTTTCTGGTTGTATGATCTGCTTGTTTTCTTACCTCTCCAGAGGCGGGGTTTGTCCCGAACTTCTTGATCCATGGCATGATGCTCCTGTCACACAAGTTGGAAAAAGTCATCTTAAAGTTTAAATGGTATCAAATTACACACTGCAAAGCAAGATTTACTCATCAGGCTTTTAAATTTTAACTTTTTGGTTGCATGTTGTTTTCGGTTTGTGACACCAACTATAAAGACAAATAAAGTTGGATTACTCAAAAGGAAAAGAAGTCATCAAGACGGTATAGTGTAACCCTGCATGCAGCTGCTGCTTAAATAATCTTATTTCCTGATTTAAGAAATCATAATCCTGACCTATGCGTGTCCATGAGTTTGAAGTCATACGGTTGAAACTACATCAGTGCTGTACAGAGTATGTGATGCATCTAACTGTTTATGACAAATTTACCAAGACAAATCAATGCAGGCTGATAAAAATCAGCGCATGACATTTTCTGTGTTTTTTTCATCCAAGGTTGTGTATGAACTGATCTGAATGTATCTACTTACAGCAGGTCAAAGACAACTCCCTCCTCAGTACAGACAGGATACTCAAACGGCTGAAGGGACAAGCTGAAATGTTGTAAAGGAAAAACTTTAGATAAAATGCAACAAGCTGTTTGACATCTCTACACTCATAAGGTAAAACAATGTCCAGCCAGGTTGCTTTTCATTTTGTTACAAACTTTTCTCCATTTATACGGTATAAGGCTACTGAGTATCCTCTTCTACTGATGGTAAAGCATAACCAACATTTGTTTGTGGTTTAAAAGCAAACTCACAAAGTCTTATACAAAAACACATTGTATGTCGCTCTCCTGGGGATGATAAAAATATCTCTTCATGTCTCTTCTCACCTGCAGTGATCAAAAGGAAGCCGTCTGAAGTTCGACTGTGGGATTTCTGGAGAGTAAAAACATAGAGAACCATGATTACAACGAAACATCAGAGGCCATTACTTGCCGTTGCGAAATCTTTTTTACAAATAGTTGTGTGGTCAACACACATATTTTGTGCACATTGACAGATGAAGGCTTAAAGATGAAAAAACACCTCAACAGTCAGATTTTCCAACCTGTTCGGTACAGCACTGAGACTGAATCAGTGTTCTTCAATATTAAATTGGGACACCTAGATTTGATTGCAGTATTATGAGCTGCACGGGGAGTGGAAAAATGTTTACCGTCATGTTTATGTTTCAAACCTTTGTCTTCTTTAGGACTTCTTCAGATCTGCTTCAGTTCTGATCAGTTATTTGAGTAAAACTAGAAAATCTGTCTTTGGTTGAAATTATCACAGCTGGTAAAACTATAACAAGTTTCTCTATTAGTACTTAAAACACAGTGTATACGGAATCTTTACTCCGTTTATGGGTGAATAGCACTTTTCATTCCTTTTCATCATCAGCCATAACATTATGAACACTGAGTCAGAGAGTAAATAACACTGATTATCTCTTTGCAATGGCACTAGGCAGTAAGTGAACATTTTGTCCTCAAACTTGAGGTACTGGAGGCAGAAAAATGAGCAAGTTTAAGGATGTAAGTGATTTATCAAGGGCCAAACTGTGATGGCTGGATGACTGGACCAGAACATCTCCAAAACTGCAGCTCTTGTGAAGTGGTCCACGGTCTGCAGTGTTGAGTATCCACCAAAAGTGGTCTGATAACCTATCAGCCAGTTGCAGGCCAAGGCTTTTGGGTGCTCATGGGAAGCAGGCTGGCCTGTTCCCAACCAGCTGAAGAGCTACTGGAGTTGAAATTGCAGATGAAGTAAAGGCTGGTTCTGACGGTGAGGTGTCAGAACACACAGTGTGTTGCAGTAAGTTGTGTATGATGCTGTGCAGCTACAAGCCTACAAAATATTAGGCAGATGGTTAAAAAGCTATGTGTGACTGATGTGTTCAGATATTAGAGGATGCCAAAATTCACGGACTGCAACAAGAGACATCCATGTCTGTGCTATATTAATGAACATTTTACTAAAAACCATGCAGGTTTGCTTCCCACGCACACCAGTGAGCCTTGGCTGCCCATTACTCTGTTTCTCTGTCCACTTATGATCAGAACTAACCCCTACAGACAGAAAAACACACACCATTTTAGCAACAAATCTGTTAACTCCACTGAAATAGACTATTATCTGCACCTACAGCTCTGCATTATACATATCAGCCTGTTAACTTGAACATGTCCTTGTATATGCACATTTATAAGGTTGAGCTGTGTTTAAATACATCCTACCATATTGTATCACATTATGTTGTATATTGTAGTTATTACTTTCTTCTTATATAATAACTCTAGATGTGTTCTTATCTAGCTTAGTTTATATTGCATATATATACATTCTAGTTTTACATGACTTCTATATTTTCTTTTTTGTTGTTTTAAACAGACTTGCAGTTAAACGAAGTTTTGCATTAGATCAGTGAGCTTTTGGTAATATAAGGGAATAATATAGCCTCAAACACCTAGAGACTGTGAAATGTTTACCTTTATTACTTGATATGTCTCAACGATGGGTAAGATTCATAAAAACTCACCCGCTCGCTTTCCTCCGTAGAAGTGTGTGTATTCTGTACATGTGATGTACCTGTAAAAAGTATAATAGACCTAAATAAATACAGTAATGAAAAAAATAAACATAGAGTAATTCCGTATACACAAACGTTACTCCGAGTTAGCCCGCTAGTGCGTTAGCAGGGCTAACAACAAGATCGTTTAGCTGTATGGTTTGTTGTTCAGTATAACTTCTGACACTTACATTTTGTCTTTTTGGTGCTGTCTCTTCCCCATTTTTAGTTTTTTTGTGGTTTCGACGAAAAAAATCACAATAAAGTAAGTCGTTTAACCGACAAAAACACACAGCCTGCTCGCCTGTGTGACTTCCTGTTTATTTTCTCGCTCGACGGTAAAAACTCAACACAGCTGCTCTCTGTCGACCCCGAGCGGCTGGAGGATCACAAAACACAACTCGCATTTTCAACAGCTTGATTCTGGAGCCGAAATTTCCCTCAACACCTACTGTTTGAAACAACATCTAAACACAAAGTACAGCATTTAAGCTTTAAACATTTCAAGCCAGTCTTTCACTCATAATCAAGCTGATACAGTGTCGAGATCGAGAAGAACAGGTATCAGATTTTAAGTACAGTAATGCCTCAAAGACCATTTTTGCAAAACGTGATGCTTTTAAATTAGTCTTTTTAACTTATTAGTTTTCTTTTACGCAAAAAAGTCAAGCAGAAAAAAAACAGTTACACTGGACACATCAAGAGATGCACACCACATTTTTTAGTTCAGTTTAGTTTATTGTCAGAGTCCAACATACATTAATCTCAGTAAGTGAGAAGTGATGCATTGCACCACATTTAGCTGATTAGCTAGATTCCATCTGCAGTCCCTGTGCAGAGGGCAGTAGCCATTTTTCTTGAAGACACTGTTTGATTGATGCTTTCGCTCCAACCAAACCTTAAAACTTGGCACTACCTCACATTTTCTTTACCTTCCAGGGACTGCTTTTTGGAAGTTTGTATCGCTTTGACTCTACCTGCATATAATTCACAATAACTATAGAGGGGAAAAAAGAAAAACACTTGTGTGTTCTGCATATGAGGCATCATTTTTGTTAATCAAGATAAGGATTCCAGGAGTTTTCTTTGAATGTTTTACTTGGGTACTTCCGCAAATCCGAAAGTATGCATTTTACACATGTATGCAAAAATGTAACCATCACAGTTCTCTCCGAATGCCCAGTATTCCCATCATGTTACATTTTAGAGCCAAAATGCTTTGTCTGTGATTCAGACACAATCCTGTAGTTAATTTGAATGTGATTCTTGCACTGATTGCAGGGTGGAGCCTCAGCCCTTGGTGTGCATGAAGTCAAGGCTCCAGGTCACAAGAGTAAAACGTTTGCTCGATTATTGGAATCCTATTGTGACCTGCAACATTTCCTACTCTGTAAATATAGTTAAAATTAGTACCATGTTACTATCAGGACAAAAATAATCAAAGGAAGAACGCAGGACAAATTAATCTACAATGTGTTTATTTTTCTTGGCATTTGATTCTTTGTAGGTATTCTCACATTTATGGCTAATAATTTACTTCTTCTATCGAGAGAAGGGAGCAAACAGAAACAGTTAGAGGCATGAAACAAGGCTGGGCAGTTAGTAACGTGTAGCAGAAGGTACATTCAAATTTCCTGTTGCACGCACATTCCCCTCTGAAGCTTGGACATATTTTATAGGTATTAACCGCCAGCTTTCCCCCCCAAAACACAAAAAAAGACCAAAACAAAACAAAACAAAAAAAAAAACATGAAGGTGTCGGATTTATCATAAGCAGGGATTAAACTTCAACAAAACCCTTCATGAACAAAGGGTACTGTGGAGTGAGAGTGTTTGTATATAAAAATATAATACAGAGCAGCAACTCTGCCTGCATACCTGAGTTACAACTGGCTGTTTTTTTTTCTCTCGCCACTCAGAGCACTTCAACAGCTTATGAGGGAAACACAACAAGACAAAAAACAACAAGGAGTTGACACCGAACTTCATGTTATACGACAAACAACTCAACAACATGTGAATGATCTTATCCTTGGCACTTAATCTGTCAGGCAGAACCAAACTTTGATGACAATAATAATATAACAAAAGTTGAATTACCAGACACTTCACAGCGAAATGTACATTTTTTTAATAATGGCAAAAAGAGAAAATGAACATTAAGAAACGTGAGCACACACTGACAAAAACAAAGGGGTCCATGAAGCGGATAGATGTTGTTTGCTTGTTGTTGGAAAGTGCAATAATATGTAGATTTCTTTTTTCTTTAAGAGCAAAAAAAGTTCGCCATGTTGTTCCCTTTGAGAACAAATGAAGTCCATATAAATGGTAAACTTGGCCGGCGTCTGCTCAGTACCGTCCTTAAAAAAATGAGTGTTTCCTCCAGGTGAATATCTGCAGTTTTTTTTTAAACAGTCTGTGAGTGTTCTGGTGGAGAGGAAAAAAAAATAAAAAATCACCGCAAATCCATCATGGACACAGTGTTGTCGGTGATGGTGACGTGAGCTGCATGCTGAGGAAGAGAAGCAGATGAGAGTTAAAGTCTGCCCACACGAACAGAAAAACAATCAGAACTGCTTGTAAAAAAACAGCTTTTAAATGTAAACTATAAGTGTTGCAAGGAGGTGCAATTTCAAAGATTTGACGACTTATTTAAGGCTCCTGTGAGGAGTTTTTAGATGGTGAAACTGACTTTATTTGACCTACACAAGCAAACAAGACCACCAGGTGCAAAATCTATAACATTTATTCTGTTTTGGTTTGGGAAATTCGGTTCTATATCTGACTGCCAGGAGGTAGGCATCAGAAATAGTGGGTTACAGGTTGCTGCATACGAAGCTGGAGAAGAGATGCAGTGAGCGATATGACTATTTAAAGACAGCAGGGTGAGATTTTGTTTTATGGTTCATTCCTCACACTGCAACATTTATGGCCTGAGCTTAACATTAGCCACCATGGCTGCTCCAAATCAGCGTTATCTCCAGCTCCTAGATAACTACGGCGTCAATGAGAGTAAGGCATGTTATTAGTTAAACATAGGGGATGCAAATCCTGAGGTGCCTGTGTAAAGTAGACAAACTAATGATGATTCCATCTATCTGACTTAAAGTAAGGAGTATCTCCCAGTGTCTCAAACCCAAAAGAAAGTAAAGCTTGATTAAACTAAACAAGTGGGCCATGTTTGCTTCCAAAAAAATATATATATAAAATAAAAAATAAAAAAAACAGAAAAAAAAATCTGTCTGAAAAACAGGGGGGGAAAAATTCAGATAAACAGAAAATGAAAAAAAAATGTCAGAAAAACATAAAAAATTAGTCACACAGTAAGATGGTGAAAAGGAAGCATAAAATCATATGTGACCACATGACTGAGTCCTCTTTGAAAACGGTTTGATTTTTGGGTTTACATCAGTCAGCTGAACAGAGAAAGCTGCATGTGCAAGTGATTTGAATTTTTGGATGAGTTTTTAAGATTTGCAAAATAAGTATCATAACCAAAACGTTTTTAGAACTATTCACTAAAGAGATTCAGGTATTTAAAACTCAAAGGTCACCAAGAGAACAAAAGCTCTGAGTAGTCCAGTATTCTGTGAGTTATTCGCAGCCTTTAAAAATGATCTCAAGTGTTACAAAAGTTTCCGCTCTGTTGTTCTCAGAGGATTTAAGTTTTGTTTAATAAGACTAAATTAGGCACCAGGCATAGACAGAAATCAAAGACCTGACTCTGGATAAAGTCTGGTTTCAGGATTAAAAATCTTCTGCCTCTCGGCTGATCAGTTCTTTCCCTCAATGTTGGTGGTTTTTAAACAGTCGTACCCTGCAAACCATGACATCAAACTCAAGATCATGAGACTGGTATGCATGTTTGTGTGTTTATTTCAGCGTTTGTGTGTAGCATGGCTCATGATAAAGTGGAAAATTTGAACTGAATTTCCTGTTGGTGCAAAAAGAAAAAAAATTTCCTTAATCAGGGAGTTTTTTTCTGAGTTTAATTCCTGTCCCATTGCTGGCGAGTCTCTAAGTTTGTTCTATCAGTCTTGTTTTATGATCATAAAGATAGGAATGATAGGATTGAGGAAAAATAATCCATGATCAAATAAAGGTTATCACAGTACACAAATGTTCAAGTTAACAACAAATCCTCTGGCGGGGTCTCACACTAGAGCTGTACTTACTGTAAATAGAGGGGGGTCTTTGCTGTGAGGGTGAAAACCTTTCTGTTTACATGTGGAGATCTCCTCTGTTCCTCGATCTGTCAACCTGAAGTAGCCGATTCTGGATCAAACACACAGATACACAAAGTCACACTTGAGTGTTACAGATGCAGGGCCAGATTCAAAAAAAGGATAAGGGATTTGCACCCACTTAATCTGTGCAACTAAGTAAAAAAAAAAACAGTTTCTCTGATTCACAGAGCACACGCAAAGGGTTAAATGCACGATAAAGAGTGCTGCAGTGCAAACAGAGCCCTGCTTGTATTTGCATACAATAAAGCCAGCCATTGCGCCTTGAATTAGGGAGAAAGTGGCCCTGTCTTTACAAATCCACTCTACTGTGAGAAAACACCTCTGTCTGTCACTGACAGCCAGATGCAGTTAAAATAAAAATCTGATCATCTTTTGAGAGTTGATGGTAACTGGGCTCAACATTTTTAAGAGCAATCATTCCTTAACTTTTCATTGATCATGAAAACAATTCTCAGTTCAGCTCTTTAAGTCTTAAAAATAACAAACTTGTACATTTAGGCTGTAGATGTTACACAGGCTGTGCTGTTGTGCAGGCAGGTGTCCCTTTTTCTTCTCTATCTGAACAAGCTGCCTATTGCTGACTCACTGCAGTAACTAAACTGGATATGAATAAAAAAATTGTATAACATTTATCACGAATCAGCTCAACACTAACAGCTTCTCCCATTCAGTCCATCACCAATTTATAGACAGATTTGAGCAAAAACAGGAGGACCCAGCACAGAGCAGCTGTGAGTGTTTGCATAATACTTTTTGAATTAGGCCTTAACACAAACAAGATATTCTTGGTACTTCAAATCCTTTCTTGGGAAATCTTCCCCTCTTCATAATACACTGAGTTGTTTCTGATGAAAGGACCGCAGCAGGTTCCTGACTCACTCATTAAACTTGGGGGAGCAGACGATAGCGATGGCCTCTGGAAGCATCATCTGGTAGGAGCAGTGTGTGTGGAGGTCCACGCTGGACAGGAAGGCCGTCTGTGTGGGGTGAGTCTGGGACACACAAAGGACAGACTTCAGTTCACAAACAGTTCACAAACAGTTCATACTGTGTTTTAATGTACTTGACGATTTACTGGCTTGGCCCCCTAAATGAAAAATTGCAGGGACAGCCGGTACACAGGCTAGGCTACAGTTTTCTGCAGACTTGGCTTACCCCCAATTTAAACATCTGAAGCTGCTCCGATCCGGAACGGCAGCGATTTTCGCCATCCGCCAATTCCTACTGGATCCATTTGTGAGGCAAATTTTGTGGCGGATGATGGACAGCGAGAATCGCAAGAACTCACAAGAACCCACAGATTTACATCCAAACGCGCGGTAACGAGTTGTCTCTATACAGACAGCCACATAACCATATAAGCAGTAGACTGTGTCCTTTTCAGAGGAGGAAATCAACTTTTGGATCTCTAAAATCAGCATCTTCTCATCTGTAGTGTAATCAGGGTGAAACGCTGTCTAAAAACCTTTGACTTGTTCGTTCCCGCCCGTTTGCATGGTGTGAAATATGATCTGCCTAAAACACATAGTGTTCTATTTTAAAAAGAAGCCGGATGTTTTATTTTGTGTGTGTGACCGACTTCCTTTCCGGCACAGGTTTATCTGTGCTCAATTTATGCGGCATGCTCAGGTATGTGGAAAAAATGGATCTCCTACAATGAACTGCAGAGTCCGCCGATCCGCAGAAGCCGGTGGAAATTGACACATTAACTTGAATGGTTACGATCAGCTGTGATCGGCGGATACAGCCTTTTCGTAGCCGTTCCCGATGCTGTGAAAATTGGGGGTAAGTCTACCATGAGACTGAGCTAATTTTGGGAGACTTTGACCTCAAAACCCATCTCAGTTTAAGAGTCCAGTCTACTGAAATCTTTTTTGGTCACACTTGGCCTGCTGTCTTGAACAGCTGATCAGTGCGCTGCATGCAGAAAAGCACATCGGTGTTTCCTTCAGATGGCAAAGTTAAACGCTAAAAGTTTCAGTAGACCATACACTTGAACCCTGATGAGAGCCAAGTTATGAGGTAGATCCAGCCCTCCCTGTAGAAAACTGCAGCCTTGTTTGTGTGCCAGGGGTCAAGCTGACCAGCATCCAGTGTAGCTAATACACTTACTAGTGACATGTGTTTCAAATATACTGAACTATCCCTTTAAGAGAGTGACTGTGTGACAGCACTGGCAAAGGTTTGTCTGCCTCCACTCACATGTATCCAGCCGAGGGTGATGAGATCATACTGGTCTTGTATGAGGAAGAGTTCCTCCTCGTTTTCTGTGTCACAATAGTCTGGTCCCCCACACTGCTTTGGTACGATGACGTGGGTCACTGTGAATGCATTTCTAGTCTGGGAGGAACAAGAAAAGTCTCATAGTGATACACTTTTTTTCAATGATGCAAAACGAAACACCAACTTGTTTGCTGCTGGTAAACAAAAGCTCAGTCAGGGTGATGAAAAGGTGGAAAAGCTTCAAGTAACCTGACTAGGAAAGTATTACTTGAATCAAAAGAAAGCTTGAGCTGATCGGGGACAAAGTGAAAAGTGGCAGATTATGTTCTGGCCCTCTGGCTTGGGAGGTCAGCTGATGTCTCTGTTTCATTCACAACATTCCTCATCAGAGACTGAACAGGGAATTCTTTCTTTAACCCCCTCGAGTTACAGAATTCAACCATGAAAAATTGATAGTAACACCTATGAAAGCTCTTATGAATATCTTTTCTTTGTGCTTCCTGTCACAGATCTATTCAGAGCAGCTGATTCAACACAGTAGCTCTGATTCAGCGTCTTACCAGTTTGCCACAGAGGATGCCACAAGTTTCTACAGCTCGGCTTGTGTTGGCTTCGGCCAATCTCAGAAAGCTCCGGCACAGCTCAGCGGGAACAGCCAACTGCCGAAGGGCATCCACCATTGCATCTGCAAAGACCATGTAGAGGAGTAAACAAAAGCCGAATGCAAAAGTTAGCTCCTCGTCTTGTTGTGAAGCATGGCATGGTTCAAACTGAAAATTAAGTAGGTCAGGAGGACAGAAATCAGCTCAGAAGAATAAATACTTTAAAGCAGGAGCAGGCCAGTATTTAAATCCTCTGAAGGCCAGCCCCTTTATGGCAGAAAAAGATTAACTCACTGTTGTTCCCGGGGCTGACCAGAGAGCCAGGCTTCAGTGAGCGGTCGAAGCTGGGCGGGCCGCTGGTCGTAGTGGGGCGGGGGTAGTGGTGATTGCCAGTGAGGTCCCCCGGGGTCTGCGGGGCGGATGGGGAGACCAGTGAGGGTCCCTCAATGCCTGGGATGAGGGGTGTATCAGGGGAAGGCGAGACAGGGGTAGCGAAATCTAAGAGCACACGCTGGCGCTCCTTCTCCAGCTCCTGGCGGCGAATCATCTCCTCAAAGGCACTGAACTGCTCCTGTTCTCGCTGCCGCCGCTGCATCTCAGCCACACGCTCCCGCTCAGCATCCAGTGCTCGCTGCTTGGACTGCTCCTTTGCCAGGGCCTCCTCCTCCTCTTTCTGAAAGTATAGGAAACACATAACTCACATTCAAGTTGACTTCTGTTTCTGAGCAGTTTTTATCAACAAGCTAGACATACAAGCAAAAACCATGTTTTAGCCTTCAGTTATCTGAGATTCAGGATTCAGGATGTTTTTGTGGAATTATCCACATTAGCTGCAGATTGATTATGACTGTTGAGCTGTTTCACCTTCTGTCACAGAAATGAGACGATTCAAGGTCAGCGTCAGTCTCCAGTCTTAACTCTGTTAATAACTGAACACTTCCTTTATTACAAATGTGGAACTCAGCTGCTGATTAATGTTTCACTTCATTCACTGAACAAACTGTACAATCAAAGTACAGGTTTTATTTGTTGGATATTTCTATCAGATATTTTATTCTGCAACACAGCCTCTGCTCTGGATGCAGTTCTGGTTATAGACCCTTGAGAACTGTGTCCAATAATATTAGTCCAGAGAAAGATGTCTAATTCTGACTCATTTCAGCTCAGCCCTTTGACTCTGGGATTGATAGAGAAAAGGAGGGAGAAAAAACGAGATTGATAAAAAAAAAATGAGACTGAGCAAAAGAGGTGAGAAGACACAAACATGTATCCTTCAGAAAAAGGGTCAAAGTGAAGACTTAACCCTTTAACTGGAGTAGAATGGGCTGCAGGAGCATCCAACGCTGACTTAAGAAAGAGAAAAAAAGTCATCAGACTTCGACAGCAAATAGTTTTCTAGTCCTTTATAAAAACTTACTGATGTGGAGGTAGCAGAGCAAATGTACACATGCTTGTGCTGGCCCTTGCAGAGTGGTTATGCCAGTTGAACCAGACACAGACTACAAATGGATTATTTCTATTTTCCAGATAAAAATACTGCTAAAGCTTGCCTTTGTCACACTATTTGTTATTGTTTACATCCAGGTGGAAGAGCATTATAGAATAACTGCAATCAACTAGAGCTACAGCCTCCGACAGTGGCAGCTGATTGTGCTACAGCTGAAACTTGATACATGACCAGGATAACAGGCCTACTAAACGGTGAAAACTACATCAGTTGACGATGCTCTAATTCTTTATGAAAAACTGAGTGGACTAATATTAGGAAGGCTTCAGAGTTAAATTTTGCTACAGACATGGATCTGTCAAAAGAATAGACTGTATACACCATGGACAACTTGGTTTCGCCCTACACCATTATATGAATTTGAAGTCGAATTACTCTCGGTATTTCCTAGATTTTCTCCATTTTCTGGAACCACCACTTGCGCAGCAACGTTGTACGCATTTGGCGGGAGAGTCACTGAGATGACGCTCGGCTCAAACAACATATCCCTCGGGTGAGCCACGCAACCTTCATAACATGAACCCCCTAATAACTTTTAAAATGGAGCTGCACAGAAAAAAAGAGGACTTGAGCACAAACCAGCCTTACAGTAACTACAGGTCAACATCGCAACAAGGGGGGAGAAAAAATTATGTTCTGGTTAATTAATTTCTAAAGTTTGTCCACAGCTCCATAGGGATTGCGGGAGGAGGCAGGATGCAGCCCGTCACCAAAGGGTGCTGTTCTCGTGGTGGCTTTACCCAGCGAGGAAGCAGACAGCGTCCATTTTATTTACAGTCTATGGTCAGAAGACTCTAACGGACCATTTTTACACTCTAAACTTTTAATTGAACATTTTAACCATAACAGATTTCTTAAAATTCAAAATGCCCAATCTTGAATTTAAAAAAAAGTTCTTTAGGCTGGTAAAACACAATTCTGTTTGTAAGAAAGTTTACCTTTTTGTGGAGGTACTGAGCATGTTCCTGTTCAAATCTCTTCAAAAGAGCTTTTTTCAGAATCTCTGCTTGAGGAAACGCCACATCCTTCAGTTTCTGGAGAGGACAAATAAGCAAAAATATGGGTCTTCAAACAAGGAAAACATGTCACAGATGGTACTATTTATATTTATATTTATATTTTCAAACAGACAGCGTCATTGATTTATGTGACAAAATTAACAAAGGTCTAACTTTGCACATTCAGGAAAATACAAAACAAACTAATCTTTCGCAGGTATAGTAGCTCAGTTGGATCCTCACAGGATCCCAAGTGTCCCCTTGACCTTTCAAAGTTCTCTCTGTCCTAATTGGGGCACCGTGTTTGAAGCCCCAAACAGGCGCAAACGGGGTGCCTTTAGTCTTGGCACTGTTAGCGTACCTTTAGTGTGTCTTTCTTCTCAGGGATGTTTGCTGTCTTGTAATCTTTATGCTTTGGAAGTTTTTCAATGAAAAGCCTAGAGAAAAAGGAAAAATGATAGTTGTTATTCAGTGATGCATGTTTGTCTTCTCTTGCTCTTAATATTCAGAGAAATAAACAATCCTTCTGCTTTCTGCTCACTGTCCATCTTGTGCTTTATAAAAAAGGGAATAAAAACCTGTTGTAATCTCTCTGTTGTAAAATATTACATAAAAGAAGTCTGCCTAATCCTGAGAGAGGTGTCTTGATTCACAGTTAATCAACCTCTGATTTAACACTCACGTGATGTATTTATTGTAAAGGACGAAGGCGTGCTCAATGTTTCCTTCCTCTGTGTACACGTTGGCCATGCGGATCATCTCCATGCCAGAGCGAAAGTAACGGCGTGGAGGAACATCCTCATTGACCTCCACTGAGCTGCCTTTCTTGGTCAGAGCGCGGACTCGCTCCTCCGGCTGCAGACTGACGTCAGTGTGGTCCGCCATCCCGGCAGCTCAATCTGGAACACTGAAAACAAAAGCCAGACATTTATTGAGGTAATGAGGATTTACCACTCAGGTTATAAACCGGAAAAGAGTTCACTGCCAGACATTCATGACTTTCTTTTGATTCAGTTCCTTTTCCTACAATTTAAAAGGTCCCAGCAGGTAAGGGAAACATCAACCATCAGGAATAACAAAAAACAAACTAATATATTATCATGTAGGTTAACTTTAATGGGTTTCCAGAAAAAAGAAAAATAACAGCCATTCACACAGTTATAGCTCAAACATTTCATTTAGAATTCTACAGACTCAGACTATCTGCTGCTGCATTTCTGTTTTTGTTTATCTTGTGTGTGTATTTAGAATAATGATAACTATTTATATAGCACTTTCAAACACAAGGGTTTACTAAGTGCTTTGACAAACAAGTAGTTTGTATTTGTTTTGCATGTAGTCATAGTGTCTAAGGTTTTGCTATTATTTTTGCTTCATCAATCTCCTCTGAGGAGTTTCGAGTTGGTAATAAAATGGCTGTGAAAACAGAAATGCTTTTTTGCCATGACTAGGTAAAGTAGAAAAGTATATATGGGTTGGGTTGGTGTTAAGCACTGATTAATGAAAGATACAAAAGGAACAGCTCTTTATCAGAGACCCTCAAAGCTCTTTACATTGGATACATCATTCATTCGCTCACACAGTCACACACTGTTGGTGGTAAACTACCTTAGTAGTCACAGCTGCCCTGGGGCAGACTGACGGAAACATGGCTGCCAGTTTGCGCCTACAGCCTCTCCGACCACCACCACACAACATTCACAATCATACACCAGTGGAGGACACACACTGGGAGCAAGGTGGGTTAAGTGTCTTGCCCAAGGACACAACAGACAGACTCAGGATAGGGGGGAATCAAACTGTCAACCTTCCAGTTACTGAACAACCACTCTACCTCCTGAGCTACTGCTTGCAGGTATATATGTACATGCCTGTGCAGGTTACACATTACTCTGGTAGATACCTGTTTAACCAGACACAGCCTTCATACAACTCTGCTGTCTGTCATCTGTTCTTGTTTACATTAAGGTAAAAGAGCATAACTGCCTGCTGCAGCCCCAGCTAGTGGCAGGTGGCTGCACTACAGCTTAAACACAACACATGTCCAGAATTTCAGGCCAACAGTAATAAAAATATCTATCTAGTGTTTAATGGATGAGTTCCTTTGGTATTAACTAGCAAGGGTGACAATGTCTGCTACAGGCACACATCCATGATGGGAATTAGCACAGCCTTTTGTATTTAATGACAGAACACTGAAAGGAAACAATGGCATCCAGGAACATCGTCATCGATTCCCATTGAGATACAAAATAGGCTTAGATTTACGGTGAAGCCTTTTAAACGTCCTACAAAAGTAGACAAGACTGTCATCTTTCTAATGTCACAGATCCTTTAATATGGCATTTTTTGAGTTATAAAGCCTAAAGCTTTTATTGTCTCAGCTGTGATTTGAAACTTTCCATATAGCAACTCAGTATACTCCAACCGAGGCTAAAATCTTAACATTTCAGGGCATAAATATGTAAGAAAACCAGTTCTGTTTTTTGGGTACTAGTTAGTAGCCAAATCAAAAAGCACAATATCTAGATACAAAGAAGGAGGAGTACTTAATACAAAAGGTGGGAACTACTGATCTGGAGATAGTTTTTAAGGACATCAATAAAATCATTGAACATTAAGTCTCAAAAATAATAGAGATATTGATTACAGAAATGTGACACCTAAATTCAAAAGGAAATTGTGATATAGTCTAAATATTGTAGGTGTTATTTCTTTTTGAGAGTAACTGTGTGATCAGAAATCAGCCCATGAGGCGTGCAGGATTGATGTTGTTCTATACCAACAATGTCCCTCTCTTCTCTTCCTGCATTTTTCTGACTGTGACTGAGTATATTTAGTTAAACAGTGACTCTGCAGAGACAGTTCATTCAGTCATACTCTAGGTATTTTACTCTCCGCCAGTGGAATGAGGACAAATGTGAGAGCACCTCCTCTGCAAGATGACTAACAGTCAGAGGGCTCACATTGATTATGTCATGATGGCATCTTGGCGAGCCTGAACAGAGGAGTGGACAATGAGTTAACAGTTAAGCTCGAGAGGTGTGTCTCTGATAAGAGTGAGCTGTCAGGAATTCTCTTAGTTGTACTCCCAAAGAAACCAACCTTGCTTATATTTGAGATTTTTAAGCAATTTTAAACAATTCAGAGGAACTGAAAAGTTCCCATTTTTTGCTGCTATTTCTCATTTAGGAAAAATAGTTATTTAGCTTCATTTATTTGTTTATTCTGCTCTTCAAAAGAACTTTCCTCCTCTAGTTGGTGCTCTTATCAGTCTTTCTTTACCACAAGCGAATCATCATCTCATTATTGTGACATGAATTGCAAAAGCTGAGGTCTCAGGGTAAACCTTAAAGATGCACAAAAGTCAAAGTTGAAATAACCTGCCAGCTTCTGAGCTTTATGAAAGCTTATACTTCTACATCATAACACCTTAAAGAATATCATCTTACCATAAACTCTTGTGCTGCCAGAGTCAACATACTAACCACTTCTATATAAAGGTGCACTGAATGCTACATATTAACTGGTTATTAGCAATGCTGCCAAAGACAACCTAAGCACTAATTCACAAATCAACCAAGACAGAATAGTTCTAGTGAACTGATCATAATTTGATCAACTGATCAAACACCTCCTGCTGACAATGCCAAAGTATCATTAATTAGTATCATGTAATATTACTCTTAATTTGTTGGGAGATCACAACAAATTAAAGCAGGGGCTGTCATTGGGAGAGAAATGAGGAGAAACAACTGGAAAAAAGGAAGGATCTTCGAACATATAAGTGGCTCAGTGGAGGAAACTTTGACTAAATTGAAGAAAACAGTGAAAAGACCGACTAAGCAGCCACAAACAGCAACACAAAACAGCTTTGGCAGTGCTATAGGAGTAGTTGAGGGAGACAGAAAGGGAGAAAATAATACTCACAGAGAAGTAAAGGGGAAATGCCAATATGAAAAGGCTAGTGCTTTGATCTTACTAGTAAAATGAGTTTTATCACTGAAAAAGGTAAATATCCTGACATTATTGTGGGGAAAAAAAGTTTAGTTTAATGTCAATTAAACTAATTAAGAAATTACAACAGTCTATAAAGCAGTTGATAAAGTTTATACCTACAACAATGAAATATACCCATAGTAAAATGTTATGTTTCCTTAAATTTTGACCAATAAATAAGTTAGCGGAATGCCGTTGCCATAGAAACGCAAACCGACCTAACGTAGGATTTTTATTTGCTTTGTTTAATGAATAAAATCATTTTTAGATGAATAAATTGTGCAATCTTGTTTTAATATATGGTTGGTAGCCGGGTAACGACGCGGAATAATGTACAGTTTGCTGGTAGTTACGCCTTGCCGTGATCACATTTGGTATAAGCACAGTAAATCATATATTATAACCCTTACTTAACCCTTCCTTCACAACTTTTAATAGAGCTGACACATTTAAAATCTGCAGTTACAATTCCACACCACAAAAGACACTTTTCTCCATTTGCTATTAAAACTTTTAGATCTGATTATACTACTGACATAACAGCTACCTCAAGAAACGTGAACAGAATTAAAATACTAATAACAACTTTCTTCATGCGTACAATAAAAATCAAACAAAATGTATGAAAACATTAAAAAATCGTCTCGATAATGTCATTCAGAAAAAGGTCCATAGCTAGATTAGACATGTTGGAAAACTGTGGGCCCTCTTTAGATAAATACTTAGAGGAACTGTGTTACTTTTACCCTATTTGGTCCGTCTTTTACTATACTTGCATGGTGTTAATGTGTCATATATTGTTTTCCCTCCCCGGGATCTTGTCATCCAGCCTGCCCAGTCACTGAAGTGATCAATGTTTCTGAATAAGATCGCGTTAGCCGCGCTAACTTAGCAAAGCTAGAGTTATTTAGAGTACGAGTTAAAAGATAAAGAAACTAGCGACCACAGAACAACTTCTTCTTCATTCTTACCCGATTGAGCTTTTAACTGAAGCTCCCAGAGGCCTACATACAGCTGGATCAAAACACGATCAAATTACAGGGTTCTGAAGCAGTTTGCAACGGTGGGCAGCGCCTACAGCATCTGTACACTTCCGCAATCGAAACTGCTTCCGCATGACGTATAATCACGTCGGGGGGAAAGACGACGTAATCTAATTTAAACAAGTTCGCCTTCAAAAATCACTGCTGTTGGCTATGTGTGGAGAATAATACGGTCATTTTAGTCGTATATGTAATAAAGCGGGGCTGTAAATTATATTATGTTTGGCATCGAAGGATTTTTTTTTGTCAGTATGGGGAAATCGATGGTAATTTACAGCTCTGAATTACTCAGAAGGTAAATCTGTTTTTACCCACAAGAGTGAGAGTTTCTTGGTAAAAAAAAAAAAAAAAGACTTCCCATTAGTTGGTGCTTTTCTACCGGAATTACCAGTTTTTCTGTGTTTCCTTCAAAAGTTTGCCCCAGGTGATGTCATTTTCTCTCCAACAGCCACGTATGTTCCACTTGCAGTCGCTCTTCTATGGCTGCAAGTGATCCCTCTTCGCAATATACGATCTTATGCGATATTCCTAATTTCGAAAGCCTTCATTATTCCCTAATACTAAACATATAAAATACAACTACACTACTATAGATAAATGGACTTTTAAGTACTTGGCTACAGATCATTTTCCGGCGACACAACGGCTCGTTGGTCTAGGGGTATGATTCTCGCTTAGGGTGCGAGAGGTCCCGGGTTCAAATCCCGGACGAGCCCTTCGTTTGACAGTACAAACTATTAGGCCTTCTGAATCAAAGGGATACCTTTGAAATTTCATCCGCCGCTTTAGATAATGATGAAAATCACCATGAGTGGAGAATAGGAAAAAGTCCACGATCAATAGCAAAAGAGCGTATCATTGAGATCACCTACTGTCAATGATAATGGTCTATTAGTCTGTCTTAAAAAAATTTTGTGATGTTTTTTCTAACTTTAGAAAAATACAAAAATAGAAACTGGTTAAGAGATGGGCCTGTGGAGGAATTACATGGTAAAGTTGCTGTTGTGTGCCTAACTGCATAGTGTCAGTCTACATTATTCAACTTTTGTGCTTAATGTCATATTACAGGATGTTAGCATGTGAGGGGTAAGATATGTACATGGTGCAGAAAACCTGGTTACTCATTCACCTAATGCCATTTGAGGTCAATCCTTTACTGTGGCGATATCATGTCAAGTATGATACGTACAATATCAGGTCCATCTGTTCCTATCAATCTTGGGTGGTGTGGGGATCATTAGGAGATATGTGGTAAGCCATGTAACTGTGGGAATTTCAGCATGGGGGCAAGACTGAATGGATGTGTTCACTCAGGACTTGTCTTTTTTTGTTAGAAAACAAGTACCTTCCATGCACTATAACAAGATATGTGGTAGAGTTTATAAATAAAATGCATGAAACTGGATGGGATATAGTATAGTATAGTAAAAATATGTGCATGGTATGATACAGTTTGAACAGACTCTGTATAAATTATAAAACTTTCTAACACAATTTTTATTTCATTTAAACAGCTGAATTTTATCCCAGCATGTTTTACATTATGAGAAAAAATTGATATAATACAGAAGTCATGTAAAACTCACTATGGTAATCAGAAAAGTAGAAGAAGCAAGCTGTATCCAACACTGGATCCAAAGCGAATGCCCACAACTATCAATAAAAAAATATATAATAAAAAAAAACTTTTACAACATACTAACAAGACACTAGTAGCTCCTAATTCTGCATTCATGATGTGGAATAAATATTTTGCATACTTTTAAAACGTATATCTTTAAAGAGGCAATATGCGGTACAGCATAATACAAACACATCAACATTACACCAGACAACTGAGACAAATATCCCAAATAATCTATATCTGTTATCAGTATTATGTTGGTCTCATAATGCATCAAATTTTTACCACCAACTGTAAATTCAATAAATTACATGTCATGGGTGCCCTTAATTTTTTTTTTTTCCCCCTACGGCATATCCCTTTGTCTGTGTATTTCCCTAAATTGTTTAATGTTATTGCTTAATTAAGTTAATATCATGGGGATGGATACGTTTTCCATTCAGTTTGTTACCAGTTCTTCCACCTCACTTTGTGTTTTTTGCATTAAATATACAAAAATATAAATTAAAATGAAAATGATGTTCCCCTCTTGGTTGTGATACAACTGTGCTGATTTTCGCTTTGCAGTAGCCACTTTCCGCCGCATGAGGGAGACACGGCCATTTTGAAAACGGGTGAACTGTCGACGTCATGAGTGAAGATGACCCCTCCACATCCTCCACGCGCTGCTCCTGTTGTGAGGTTTGTTTGAATGGGAGGACGACAGAGAGGAGAAAAAGAGAGAAACTCGTCACGTAAAGGAGACTATCTGCTCTCCGTGTCTGACATTTACTTTCTCCAAATGTGACGTCTCCTGAGCCAAACGGACGCTTTTATTGAGGAGAGTTGACGTCAGTCTTGGTTTTCTGCTCCCCACAGCATCACCGGGTAAGCTAACTGCCGTGGCTAATAAGAAGCTAATTTACCTGACGCTGCGTTGGCTGGTCACTGTTACCTGTTTCGTTATTAACAGTCTATATCGTTGTGTTTGTATACACAGTGGGGTTTCTCACTCCTAACCCCAACTACTATGGCTGCGTAGTTAACTCAAGGACTTGCTGTTGAAGCTAACCTGGTGTGGCTACATCGAGTCAGAGTTGTTAATTTATCCGATTTACATTCTTATGCATTTGTTTACATGTAGAGATCAATCGAAGAACATCAATATGATTAGGTGAGGGAGAATTGCCTAAATAAAAGCGCGCAGAGTTGACATCTACAAGCAGAGTATTAGAAAGGCAATAGATGAAGTAGTGACTCATAATGTATATTTTTATGTGTTTTTAACAAATTATGAACAATAATTAAGACAAAGCTGATCAGTGCATTACTTTATAGAAGGCAGCCATGAACGCCCATCTGCTGTGCAAGCATTTAATTATGTGTTAAATTGTGTCCAGACATAACGAAACCTACTCACGGTGGACGTACAAAGAAAAATATACAGTTATTTTCAGGCAAAAATAAAAAAAACACAAATACTTTCAGCTTATTATAACCGCAAGAAAGATAAATATAGAAGCATAATGGGTCCACATGATGAAGTGTCAGTTGACGCCAGCCTATTTAGGCAGTCTGCGGTCAATATTACACCAATCAGCCATGAGATTATGACTGCTAATCGTTGAAGAGATAGCATTGATTATCTTATTACAGTGGCTTTTCTCTGTGGCTGTGGCTGTAAAGAAGTTAGTCAGCAAGTGAACATTTTGTCCTTAAAGTTGATGTGCATGCACAATTTTGATTGCTAGACATCTGGGTGAAGGACTCCAAAACTGCTGCTCTTGTGGAGTGTTAATGGTCTAAGGAAAGAGAACATGGTATTAGGCAACAGGGTCATGACTGAGTCTAGGTTTAATGATGCACATGAGGGCAGAGGCTTGCATATTTAGTCCTGTACAGCAGGACTGCTACTGGAGCTCGGATTACTACCAAAGGTTTATTGCGAGGTCAAATCAAAAGGTTTCAGAATTCACATGCAGTTGCATTTGGGACAGCAGGCTAATCGGTGTGCTCTGGTCATCATCAGGAGCACCTGCATTGGGCATGCGAGCATCAAAACTGGACCACAGAGCAAGACAGGAAAGTGTCCTAGAAGAATATGGCAATGGGTTCAAAGCTTTCCTAGGACCTCCTGCCAATGTCTTAGTGCTATGAACAACAGCACACCTCAACAATAATAGTAATTATTGTTATAATAATAACTTTATTTATATAGCACTTTTAAAAACAAGAGTTTACAAAGTGCTTTTACATGCGGGAAAACAAAAAAAGATAAAAACAACAGAACAACAGCAAGAGAACACTTGGGGGAAATGTCGCATTACTGGCAATAAAGAAATAAAATAAACATCATTAAAATGAAGACATTAAAACAAAGACATTACAAGAACCCGTGATAACCAGCCAACACAGGAACCCAATCACAGAAACCTGAGACCAAGGGGACTATTATAAAACATGAATAAGAGGAGTAAAAGGCTTTAACGAAGACAAAATCACATAAAAGCAAGTCTATAAAAATGAGTTTTAAGACATGATTTAAAAGCAGTGAATGTTTCTGCACACCTTAAGGTCTAGTAAAGTCCATGTCTTGATAGATCAGGGCTCTTTTGGTCCTGACCTGATTAGAAGGGGATCTACATCGTATCAGGCAGGTGGTTATATTGTTATGGCTGGTTGATGTAGTTGATTTCAGAGTTTTTGTAAACTGCTTTGGAGAAATGAATAAAACTAAGGTAAGAACATTCTGCTATTTGAATTTACTGCATTTACACTTAAATTGATGTTGAAAAGTCTACAATTTTGTTTTCCTCTGTATCATTTATTCGGCAGTTACAGCTATGAATGAATGAATGAAAGAAATAGTTTCAAGAGTTTACACACATGAGTGGAGCATGTGTGTAAACACGTGTGTCCAGCTTAGAGAAAGTGTTGCGCAACCCAGTCAATGAGAAGTCTTGCAGCCATATCAGCATTGTGGATCTAGACTAGAGCTGGTCCTCTTTTCCCTTTAAAATCACACTGATAACAGAATGGTCAGCATAAATTAAAAACACTAATTCTTTGTATAAATATATTAAATCATGAGCAATAATGCAGCAGGAGAATGAGTCTAAGGTGGACATTTTGCATTAAAAATTTCTGCTCAAAACTTTATTTTTAAAATGTTAAAATAGTATTAACGTTCATGGCCTTTTAATGTCATCACTGAGCTTATCATTTGTTGCGTTGCACAGTTGATATTTTTAGCAAGAATTAAATATGTTCTTGATTAGTCCAAGTACTTTCAAGGTCAGGAAAAGTTTAAGACCTGCAACACTGTTTGACGGCCTTGCAAACTTTTTGTAGCAACACAAAATAGTCTATATTTTTCTTTCATTGTTTGATTAAGATTGCTGTTGGGCTTTTGGCCTTCATTCGATAAGATGGTTTGAGATAAAAACAGGAAAATGAGAGCAAGTTCTAGGGGATGACACAACGCAGATCTAGTTAGGACAGGAAATGGATCCAGTGATCAGTACGACAAGGACAACATGAGAGGCCTGCTCCACCAACTTTGCTTAACCATCGTCTCAGTGGGTCAGGGATTTTATTGTTAAATTTTTGAACAGAAAAGATTTGAGTTCTTGACTAAAAAGTGAGTACAAGCCTTTTAGTCACTTTTTTACAACTCCTGTCTGGCTATCAGGCTGCTCATGTTTGTCAATCAAACTGTAAAGAGCCCCAATAAATATGAATCAAATTCAGGCTGTACGATTTCGAGTGTAAAAAAGTTCAATGGGTTGAATACTTGTGTAAGTTACCATATTACAGACTTCTATTCCCTCCTTTCTAAATCTAATTCTAATGTTGCAACAGTCAGCTTATTCATAATTACAAATTCCCTTTTAATCATTTCACTTTTGTCTTTTCTGTCAGTACTTTGTGTAAAGCAAAGAGTCTTGATTGGCTTGGACTAATGCGCCAATCCTGATTGCACATGTTAATCCCATGTTTGATCTGCATACAGAATTTGCAGATATTCACCTCACAAGTCTGGTTTAACGCCAGTACTAATAAATGGAAATTAATGCAGTGCTGTGTGTGTGCAGACAATGTACTTTTTTAATTATTATTACCATTTTTACTGTAACAATCAGTTGGTTCGGACAGAAAACCCACTGACTCTTTACTCATTTACTTATGTAGTGTGTGGTCCAATACTTCATAGAAAAGGGAGAAATTTCTGGGATTTAAAATCTTGCTCAAGGAACCAAAAGTAAACTTAATTTCTATGTTTGGGGTATTCAGTAAATTATAATGACTCCTGGTATGCTAATGAAATAATTCCAAAGCTTATGAAATGTGGAGTTTGGGTAATACTCGAAACTTATTAAGAGGTTACAGTTGACCAATTATGGATATATGATATCAAATACAGTGAGTTTTTGAGATGGGAGTGGAAAAAAGACCTTTCTATGAGAACTGTGCACTGTTTTTCAAACTATTATCTCCTTATCTGTGAAATCAAACCTCAAGTATAAAACAAGCGCAAACTGTCTATAATTTAATCTGATAAAACTAGAATACTCTCTAAATTAGTCTGAAAAGATCTGATTAGTTTGAAACCATACCACCTATGTTCAGAGAGAACAGGCACCTGACTTTTCTGTCATTAAGCTATATAATGCAAAGAATGCTTTAGTCTTTGGGATTAATGCAGTAATCTAGGCATCACATGATACTCCAATATTTGATCAATGTACAGAGCTTTTCGATTAGTCTTTCACAAGGCAGGTTTAGCGCTTACTCCATACGTACAGATGCCAGGGTTCATGCTCACCTCAGTAGATGCGATGGCCAGACTTTTTGAGCAGAAATGAAAATATAGCCTCCTATTTAAAAATTTGGATTGTTTTGATGTAAATGTTCTCAGAGGGTTGCTTTTCTTTTCGTGGTACAGTTTTATTCTGCATTTGTTGATGAAGTGTGGAGCTATGTTCACAGATTATGGTTTTGGAGGTGATTTCAGGCCGATGCAGTGATTGACACGACAGAGAAATTCTCTTAGCGCATTGTTGCCCTTACCTGTCAGAAATATGGTATTAAAATTACAATAAGCGTATATTTGTCATGAATATAGTCTGTGTTGTCTTTGCACTGTTTGCAAACTGTCAAATGCCGTTTTTGTACAGTGTCCCCCAACTTTTTCAGAATTGGAGTTGTGTATAATGTGACATTGCCAGCCATTTGTGGTGCATCTGGTCTACGCAGCTGTGATGCTCTGTTGTAATTGCTGCAGACAGCACTGGTAGTATTGAGAAAGAATCAGAGGACCCATCCCTGAGCAAACTATGTGAAGAAACCATGTCTGAATCTGATGTTGGCCCTTCCTAAAAAAGACTTGTTAGCTTATCCTGATATACTTCTGTTAGGCTTTTATCAGCCTAGTCACATATAGGCAGACTAATCTGTAAGGTTCTCTAACTATGCATTGTCTGCTGGATCAGGATCTGCTGAGTTACCTGCTGTTAAGTTAAAATAAGTTGAAAAACTTTAACATGACTTTCAGATGTATTTGTATGAAGTTCTTGTTGAAGCGTTGAATCTTTAAAAATGGAAAACAATGAACAATCATCATCACTATAAATTTGTGCTTTTGTGCAGAACTCAAGCACATGTGCTTTGTGGCTCGGTGATCCCTGACCTCTTAGCCAGCCTCTGGGTAAAAGTGGGAGGTGGAGCCAGACCAAGTCCGGTCACGTCCGAACCCTTTAATTTGCAGTGAATGATCCTTTGTAGCACACTCAGGATGAGTGGAGAACTCGGACAATGCGTTCGCTGACCCTACGTCTTATCAACAGCCATCACTCTCTCATGTAATGACAGTCTTGGTTGATGATATCAGATTGAGGACCGAGAGAAACAGTAATTATGGGCCTTGAGTAACGGTTTATGAGTCGATGCACAGCTTAACGTGCTCTTCGCTCCAGCAGTATATAAAGTGACCTGGAGTGCAACAAATGACTGTGCAGACTTAAGAGGACAAACCAGAGGCTGCTTCTGAGGAGCTCAGAGTCCAACAGTAACCACTCCAGGACATTTCTGTAGGAGTCTCTCCATTCACAAGAGGTACTGTTTGCTTGATGCTTCAGAATTTGCAAGATTTTTGTTTCTTCTTTTTTAAAACTGTTTTATTGAAAGGCTGAGAGTAGCACTTAGCAGAACTGCTTCTGCTGCTGTCTGACTTTGAGCCAACAGACAACATATGGCAGACCATCTTTGAGCACTTGTCTTCTTTAATCGCAGGCCAATATGTTAATGGTGTTTGTAGTGACAGCAGCATTACTGCAGTACAACCTTCTGTTGAGGTTAGGGGTGAATGCTCAGACCAGAAGCTACACCAGACACAGAAATATATGACACAAATCTGAAAATATTAACTCTAGCTCTTCTGCGTCTTGGTGTAAATCTGGGAACAGTGTAGTTTGTTTTTGAAAAAACTTGATACTAAATTAGCAGGAGCTTTGCATTGTCATTTTTTATGGGTTCTCCTAGTTTAGAGACCTAACAACAGCTGCCTGTTTTTCTGCTGACCTTTGACAGCCGATGTCTCATTTCTCGTGAATACTTAATGTGGACATTGTAAAAATAGGGTCTGTTTCCACTGCTGCTTTGCTGGCACCTACCCCTTTGCACCAGTTTCAAGCTTTCAAAACTACAACATAAAAGTTGTTGGTCTTGCTGCTGATAGTTTTTGTTAGTGTTTGAGTATTATGGAAAAGGCATTAATCTCAATTTCAGTCTGTTTCATAAACGTTTAAAAACTCCTCTCTGGAGTTTTAAGATGAAACAACTTGGGTTGTTTTAAAGATTTTAGGGGTTTGGCCCTTCTCCTGTGAGTGATGCATAAATCCTAGCTTGACTTATAACTCTGGTTGTCCGTCTGCTGGTGTTTCCAGCCAACCTCAGTTTTCACAGTCACACTAAAAATGTTCCTAAAATTGATTGTTAAAGTCACAGTAGTTTCATATTTAGTGGCAGTATTTGAACCATGATGAATTCACATGTTTTTAAAACCCAAACAGTCTGAGTATGTGTGAGTGAAGTAGTTGTTTTGGAACATAATAAAATACATGCAAAACAGGTAAGTAAACCCACATATGTAAAGGTCTGCTGCAGTATAATCTTTTCCTTCATGTGTTTCTAAGGTGTGTTTGGATTGGTACTGGCAGCATCTCCTGTTGGTAAATCTATAACCTGTTTTGTTGTTGGACCAACCAGAGTTTTTTTTTTCTTCTGAGTCAGCTGCCGAAACTGATGATGGCAGGGAAATTTCTCACCAAGCTGCTGTGTTTATACTGGGCTGCAGGATCCAAGAGTGTGTTGTGTGCGTTAGGTTGGACAGTGCTGATAACACCTGTTGACACCTGATAAAGCCAGGTCATCATTTTTGCTTGTTTAGTGACCTCCAGTGCCCAGCTTGCCTGGTGACACTGAGAGTGGATCCAAGAGGCTTAAAAAAATATATTTTTTGCCTTTACTTCTTTCTTCTCTGTAAAGCATCTGTCAGGAACTCGGCCAATTTAGGCATCTACCTTTGTACTTGATAGTTGATGAATTGTGAAAGCAACTTTGGAGAGCTTCTATTTGGGTTGACATTGGCAGCCCCTGTTGACAAAGCAGGACATTTTATCTCATACCCCATCCCGCTGCAAACTTTGAAGTTCTCTAATGATAAATCTATGCACTGTGTAATTCCACTAAGGAGAAGTTAACCAAGGCTGTTCAGTCTTCATGGTTGTGTTATATTGCACTATTTCTCCTCACAGCTGCTGAAAGTGACATATCAGGTCAGAGCTCTGTACTAACTTTTTCATTTGATAAAATGTGCCAAAAATTAGAGAGCACCACAACTACACGATACATATCAAATTTTCTTTTATTAAAAAAACAACACGGCCTCTGGGACTCGACATTTCCAAGGGCCAGGATTTAAAATACAGCTGCCTACCTCTCTGTCCTTCCTCCATTCATCTCATCATTGAGGCTAAGGTATCAACAGCCTCTAAAGAGGGACCCTCGACACTGTCCCTTCCTATAATTGTGTCTGAAAGTTGAACCTAATCCACATGTCTGCTCTTAAATTCTGTCATGTTGTCTGAAGCGGTCTTCTCGCCTCTTGCTCTGTTTTTCTTACTCAGGCACTATTGGAGCATAATAAAAGACATTACTATTCAGAGTGCCCTCACATCTTGGTTAAAATCTCCAGCGTGCATGCTGTCAGGGGACAATGAAGCACAATAAAAGTGAGCAATGGAAGGAGCTGATATTAACCAATCGAAGATCAATTGAATTGGTTATTTAGGCATCCTTTTTGATGGCATCCTACACTGTGCCTGATAGCCTGTAGGCAGGCATTACTAATCTATCTGTTACTGTATTGCTTTACTTTGTAGAGAATGAAGTAGTGCATTGTTTTCTAAGTTTCCACAAATATTGGGAAATATTGTTTTTGTGTTTTTTTAATTTAGATATCGCCTCAGCTCAGCTCTAGCTTGAATGAGTAGTTCATGAAAGAATCAGGGCTGAAATTACTTAGAAAATGTCAGAAGTCCATGTGTGAAAGGGACTTCAGTCACATGATTGCAGTAGTTTCTCAGAAGGGCTAAAAGTCTTGATGTAAGAAAGGGGGGAGGGTAAAGTTGAGTCAGGGTGAAGTAGCGACTTTCTCGGAACAGAGAGTTATTTGAAAGGTTAAGTACGGCACAGTGACCAGCAAGCATTAAGGACTCCAGTCCAGCAGAGTGAGACCAGACGTTTCCTGTTCTTCTCTTTCTTCCTCTGTTTTCGCTCCTCCTGTGAATCTGTTTTTTCCTCTGGTGCATAAAACTTATTTGACTTCACTGTAGAGGCCTTCACATCACTCTGTCTGCTGCAGACTGCCTGTCTCTTTACACCACCCTTTATCTCCACTGCTACAAATAGGCCTTGGACTCTAACTGCACAGGCATGGTGAGCGACATCACTCTGACCTGACATGCTGACATTTAAAAGCAGCTTTTGCATGTTTTGATTGGATGTTAGCCATAGTAAGACCAAGGCAAAGGTCTGCCATAGAAGAAGGCTGTTTCTTCTTCAATGTTGATTTGAACTCAGCTGTCTGGGGCTGTATGTCTTCAGAGCAGAAGAAGGACTATATAAGGAGTAGTGCTGGACGATAATTCGATAACAATATATATCGATCGATAGACGTGTGCTGCGATAGAAAAAAAAACGGGTCGATAAAAAGTTCGATAGAAAAACACAGTTTCCCTTTCTTTTTCATCATAGCCTATCATGTAGCTTTTGCTACAGTCATTACTTCCTCCCAACCAATCACAAACGCAGACCCAGGTACGCTACGGCACCAAGCCCAGCCCCTATCAAACCACAACAGACAGCACGTGTATTAGAAAAAAATGATACAGCAAGGAGAAGCGGAGGACATTGTCAGTAGTTCACCAGCATGGCAATGTTTTGGTTTTTAGAAGTCTGACAAAAAGCGAACAGCGGTCGTTTGCAAAATTTGCAGAGAATTAGTAAAAACCAAGTCTGGTAACACAACCAACTTGTTTTACCATCTAAACCGGTCGCACCCGCAGGAGTACGAGCTGTGTCGGCCGCGCCGCGGCTCCACGTCGTCGTCGGAGGAATCCTCTGGAACCGCTGCCAGCACCAGCACAAAGCATGTGAAGCAGACCAAACTGGACTTCGTTTCTTGCCAAAATACGACAAAGCGTCCGAGCGGCATAAGGACATCACCCATGCAGTAACATGCTGCATAGCGAGGGACATACTGCCAATAACTACCGTTGAAAAGCCTGGCTTCGACCAGCTTCTAGCCACTCTCGACCCGCGATATGAAGTGCCCGGCCGCAAGTATTTCTCAAACACAGCGCTTCAGGCATGAAAATAGGTCAGGGGTTGAAAAGGTGAGAAGAATGCACCCCTGCATCCCGTCCACTCATTAGCTTCTTAAAGTGGAAGAAAATGAGCTCATATTTTGCAAAGACGCGAGTATTTGGATCATGGCTACTAGCAGGGGGGGCATTCGGCAGGGGTGCATTCTACGACACAACACCGGCGTGGATAAGTCCTGCTTCTCGTGCTCAGTTTGCGTATCAAGTCAATCACATGATAATTAAAAAAAATAAATCTCCCGACCCCGGGAGAAATATTTCAGTGTTCAGACACCAGGCTGTGGGCAGTTTCTCACACAGTTAAAACTGGTAGTATGTTATTCCCACCTAAAGCTATTCTGTTTATTTATATATTTGTTTGTTTTGTTTATTTTCATCAAAAGACTATTTAAATATTTATTTATCAGATTTTCTGGTCACTTTAGTCTTTATGTTTGTCAGTATTTACTGACGTCACTCAGGCCCCTTAAGTTGATTTCTTTTTTTTTTTTAGTTCTTTTTTAAAAAACTTTCAGTTGTGGTAAAATAAAAAAGGTGGTTGAATAAAGGTTTGAATTTGAATTCAGTGCTTCTGTGTTCTTTATTAAAAGTAGGTCATTAAGCAATAGCATAAAACATCCAGGGCTGCAATTAAAATATATGTTAAATAATTATAATAATTATATCGATAATTATCGATATCGATCAATATGATTTATTTTTTATCGATATGCTTTTTTTCTATATCGTCCAGGCCTAATAAGGAGCATAAGTGCATCTGTAGTGCCTGCAACAAGACCTGGGCCACTGTCACAGCAAAGTAAGCAAGGTAATGAGGTTAAAATGATACCTTCCCACTAGTCATGCTGGATAAAGCCCAGCCGGTACTGGAACTGTAGGGAACAGTAACGATACAGGGATTATAAAACTAAGTAGAGGACTGATTTACAGAGAAGAGCATTCAAAAACAATCCAAATAATGATATGAGCATGGATTTACTTCAGTCAGCTGTGGGGTAAGACAGGCACAGTGGCAAAGTGTTAGACGACAGAATAGTTGAATGTGTTCAAGGTTTTGCAGCTATTGTAATTTTCTGACTCATTGCAGTAATGGAAAATAAAAATGTGATCCATAGAGGCATATCCAAGACCTCTGTCAGTGAGACCTTGTTTGGACAAGAATGACTCCATAACAAAGTCTTTCATTTGCATTAAAGAAAAATTTTCATCCATGTAACAACATCACTCAATAAAAATATGAGGGTTAAAACACCAAGCTTTAATGGTAAACAGGTTAAATTTACAATTATATTGGCTTTTGTTCCCTGAAGCCTATATTTCCTAACAACCCACTTGATTTCACAATCCAAAGAAATAAAAATGATTTTTTAAAATTTCATGACCATTTGTGTGGCAATTTGATCAGCTCTGCCCCAAATGTACACATGGCTCTTGGGCATGTCTGACCTTCAGTTTTAAATGAGCTACAATTTAAAGTAATTCCTTCAAAGTTCCTGACACACCTGACCAGGGTGCTTCTGTCTTGCTAAATAAAAAATAAACGTGGAGGAGGAAGAGGAGGAGGAGAGATATATCAATTTACCCCTGCCTGCTTTCCCGCTGGAGGGAGTGGGAGATACCTCATTGTTGTGGACTTATCCACTTCTGTGACGGTTGCTAGGAAAAGCTTTAAGTGGGACCTACTGGGGCAACCTGAGTTGTTGATTTTTCTTCTCCGTCTTTAAAAAAACAAAAAAAGTCGAATTAGGAAGGAAAAAGAAAAAATGCTCAGGACAAGTTTTTATTGTTCTTTTTTTTAGGCGATTTTGTGGTCTACAGGGAATTCAACAGTTTGGAGGTGGAGACTCTACAGAGCCAAATCATTTGGCTGTGTGCTTTGACTTGACCCTGCTGTAGAAGTAGATGAGATCCCCTCTGACCCTGTTGTAATCTTTCATATGTTTGTACATGGCAGCAGTACTTCAGTATAATACTTGCAGCTGAGTAGGACAGTAGGAGTTGATAGTTGTAAGCATGTGGACAAACCAAGGCTTTAATATGCATCAATAGTAGCTCTCAACTGTGACCCTCTGGTGTGACACAGGATGCGATGGAATAATGGCCCTGCTAGTGTTGGCTACCTTAATGTATGTGTTTGTGGGCTGTTCTGTCATCTACATGTAGGGCTGGGCGATTTGGGAAAAAGTTTATCAGGGTATATTTTTTTAAATCGATATTGAATTGTATCACGATATTAAAAAAACACTTCTCAATCCTAAATGTTCCCTGTTACTTATAAATGAAATTTAACATGTACTCGACATAATTTGCAGTGCACATTACTCTGCTCTCATTACCAAAATACCTCCACACCACCAACGTTTTCATGTCAGTGTTGTCAACAATGTCATCATTCATCTACATTTCTGCCAGGGGTAGCACTCATTTTCTTTTTTTCTCACAGACAGTGCTGTCAGCTTCACGTGTGAAAGTGCTATGGTTGCCTGTAGATGAAAATCTTGATTTCTATTATTTATTATTGGTCTTCTACAAGATGAGTTTATTACCCAGCCCTAGCTGCAATGGCTTTTACATTTTGACTTGACAAGTACTTTTCTAACCGTCCAATGTTCATGATGTAGTGTTTTTAGTGTCAAAAAGGTGGAATGTTCAGCTCTCACTGAGAATGACAGAAAAAGAGATAAAAGTACCTACTGTCAGAATTGTTAGCAGTCAACTTTTGATTAAACAACAAATTGCTCCAGCACCATTTTTTCTGACTTTGACTGAAGTTTCTCTCACTGTAATGTTTATCAGCCACTTGGGTGGGGGGGTTCGTTTGAGTTCCTTTGGCTTCTACAAGAAGACCAGTAAGAAAACTAAAAATAGAAGATAAAGAGACTTTGAAAAGATGTTTCGTCTTTCTATATACTCTGTTACCCCTGTTCTCCTCCTCTGTAGACAAGACTTCATTAGAGCAAGTACAGGGCTAAGATTTGTGAGAGTAAATCCTCCAGGAGAAGGTAACTTAGTGCAGAGAAGAGTCTTCTTCTTTTTGCCTCCTGGGCTCAGACCCAGAGAAGTGAAAGCAAAAAGCTGGAAACTGAACTGAAATTGAAAGTAAGAGAAATGAGACAGGCTGACCTTGTTTAAAAGTTGTATTTTAGGTCTGCTAAGCAATGCCATGCTTTTTTTTTTTTTTTTACACTAACATGCAGCTCTATATTCATGTCACATTAGTTCTTCAGATTCCCACAGAACTCCCCTGCAAAGGTAGATTTATAGTAAAGAGTGTCACTGTTGTGAAATTAAATAAGTTTGAAATGCTTCCTTTTGGCTGCTTTTCCAGTATTATGAAATCAGACACCATTTGTGGGTGTTACTTTTCACACAGTATTGTAGTTATGAGGTTATGCCTTAATGGAAAATGTCCAAGACTACCCATAAGTACCCACATGAGCGCCTCGCTGTAAATTAGCTAATATTACATGACCTGCTGTTGAAATGTTTCCACGGCTCGTGTGCCTTCATGGAAGGTCTTTAAGGATAAAGCAGCCCAGGTTTCAGTAACAGTCGAGACTATAATCCAGCTTGTTGTGGCCTTTGTTTATAGAGGAGTCATCAGTGAAGTGGTGAACACAAAGAGCTGCATTGTGGCTGTTAATGGATGGATAACGACTCAGTACTGTTTTCTGGTTTGTCTTTGGGAAGAGAGAATAGCTGTGGCTTTGCATCACAACACTCAGAGCAATTTTCTTAGACACAATAAATCAATAAAGCACGGAGAGAGGAAAAGCCTAGAAAGAGCTGCTGCTGGATTGGCATGTCCCTCCTCAATGCCCTAATAAGATGGCAGGACCTGACATCAGGTTCAGGCCAAGTCTGGAAATGAGCTGTTCAAAGATCTATGTTTTGTGGTAAAGATACCCATTTTTCATGTTCAGAGGTACTTTTTTATCATGAAATGATAGGGCCCCCTTATTTTCTTTAGATCATGAACATAACTGTGATACATGTTTCACTGTAGGGCTGTCAGATAAGAAAGGAAATAGCAGATGCTGTACTTATCATGTCCGTGGTTTTGGGCTCTGGTTCAACTTTGGCGGGCAGGCTCCACTGAAAATTAGCATGAGGGTCAATACCATGTTTCTGTATCAGGAGCAAAGTTTGTGGTGTTTTTTGTGTTTCAATTCCTCAACAACATCGTTAGCATACAACATGTTTTACGTAGTTTGACTTCTCCCAGAAAACTGGTCCATCAATTTACAATGCTGGTGTTACATTGCTGTTGATTTTGTTTTTTTGTATGGCTTGTGGATCTGCCGGCGCTGGGCAGCAGAATCCAAGTTTAAAGACATCTTTGCATCAGATATATTTCCACTTCCTACAGTCTATGGGTTTCCCCCTAAGCTGTGGAGATGGAATTTTTCAGCTGCTGCACGTCTGTGTCTGGCTCAACTGCCAGTGCCAGCTAATTGAATGACTTTCTCTTTCTGTAGCTAAAAAACAATTAACAAGGAATGCTTACTGCTGTAGTTACAAAAAAGAAGATGTGGTTTTGGCTCGGTGCTGGACTTTGTGGCCTGAGACTGTAATTTCAAGAAGTCTACAGAAAGTTTGAGCTTTCTCTTCCTCTCCTTTTTTTGTCGTCTTTCTTCCTCACCAGTTGGTCATAACCCTTATTTTATTCACTTCCCTCTCTGTTCCTCTTCAGTTCACTGCACTCTTGAGGAGCCTGCTGCTCTCTTCAGGAATTTCTTCTTCTTCTTTCTCTCTGCTCGCTATTTCCCGCAACTCTTCCCCTGCTCCCGGGAAACCTGTGGGCTTCCCTCTGCGTTCTTGTAGCCTCGAGGCAGACAGAGTCAGACTCAGGAGCTTTACACGCCAGCTATCATTAGAGGCTCTGTGGGAAAAGGTGAGCATTTCTTTAAGAAATGAATGGGGCTGTGTATCAAGCCAAGCTATGCAGGTGGACCTGGGGGGTTTGCTGAAATGAATCGGCGCTCTGTGAGTTGGAGCAGGGGACAGGAACTCTGCCGTTAGGTCTGTGAGTGTGGATTCACTCAGATTTATGCGGTAGAAATCCTGACATACTATTCCCGCCCACATTGGGTTGCTGCTAAACATGAATGTTTTGAATTCTTGCGAGTGAAGCTGTTCAAGTTTTCTGGGACAAAGAGATATGTGGCAGCACGTAAGCTATATCACTGAAACAGATATCTGCTTCAACAGATCATCACTGGACTTGAGACCAACTGTCCTTTAACGCTGTGGTTTCTGCAAAAGAAGTTGAAAATTACGCTAAATGTTAAGTTTTAACCTGCATTTAGGGATGCAGTTACAGACTCGTCATAAAGACAACAGTTTTTGGAAGGGATTTGAGCCTAAATTGATTTTATGGGCACCAATGCCATGATTCTTTTCTTATCAATTTCTGAGGATTTTCTGTGTGGCTAAATGTGGGAGTCAATAACACACATATCCTCTATGAAATATGTTAACTTTGCTGTTCTGCTGAGATGAAGCCTGGCCTCTGATTGGTCATTTAGAGCTGATTGCCTCCAATTGGTCAGCAGACAACAACAAAGATGGCTGATAACTGAAATCATGCCGCATCACCAAAATAAATACATCGTCAAACGATTGCCATTCCCTTCATTTTAAAGGGATAGGACCTGAACAGTCTTTGAAAACAGAAAATCAGGTTTGGTCCTAGTTTAAGGCAGTGTTACAGTGTTCTCTTGGTGGTGTAGTAAACCGTTGTCACTCTATCTGATAGCGTGTGTTGTTTATAATGCACTAGAATTTTCTGTAATTAACGTCTGTGTTTATCTCACTCGTATCCTGTTCCTCCTGTGTGCTCTGGGCCAACAGTGGGCCTGTGGTGGTACACTTCATACTCGCTTCACCGGCAGTTAAGGTTGGCTTCTTGTGTACAGTACAGTTGGATTTTGATTTTGTTTTTTGTTTTTTTGAGTTTTTAACATAAAGTACAAGAATACAGAGAAAGTCAACCAGACAAATCTCATTTACGTAGTAGAACAAACAATGAACCCTTTCACATTTTCTCAGTATGTCCGGGTTTTTGGATTGAGAAAATCACATACACATGCGTCAGATTTATATTTGTACAATTTGCAGAAATTTAAACCTGATGTGAAAAGATTAAACTGATTGCGAAATGGACTGAAAGAATTACTGATTACTGTATATGACCTACAGAAGTGAAATGGATCACCAACCAGAAGACTGAGTATTTCTCTATGGTAGCATTTTTCAGTCTCTTTTTTGTTGCTACTTTTTACTACACACCCCAAAGGGCCCTTTTACTGTTAAAAGTTATACGTTATATGTTAGCTTGTTAAAGAAAAGGGTCACACCATTTTTCTCTATATAGAACAATACACATGCATGTTAAGTAGAGAATCAACATAGTTACTAACTTTGCACCCTGAGGCTGCAAGAATCAACTCAAAGTGAAATTACCCAAATGTTGATACCAAGACTTAAATGATATAAATTTCAGTCATGATATGTTACAAAGAATGTTTTTTGCTGTTTTTATATTCAGGGGACATGGCTGTATTGTTGCAACCCTCTGTCTTTCTGTGCAAGAATTTCACCTGTCTCTTTCAAGTCTCAGTTTAAAGCTTGAATTTGCTGATGCATTATTAAATATGTATTTTCAATTGTCTGCCAGTTCTGACAAATTCTTTGTCCTTGGAGTTAAAAGTAAGATATAATCCACATTCAAACTACCATACATTATTGGTTTAAGTGTTTCTTCTCTGTGCCTCTTCTTAAACAGATCACCATCCTCCAGCCTGTGAAGACGCCATGCTTATCTGGTCCCCTCATGGCCGTCCCATTATGACGATCAGCCCTCCTCAGCCCCAGTGGATCTTTGTTCTGGCCCTGGCTGTGCTGTTCTGCCCGCTGGGCCTAGTGAGAAGTCAGGGGCGAAGTGAGACGCAGTCCCCTTCCCAGGTGCTGCAGGACCTGCTGACTCGCTATGGAGACAACGTCACCATCACAGTACCCCAGCTGAGGTCTTTACTGGCTCACCTCAGCCAGGATCAGGAAGGAGAAGAAGACGGAGATGGTCAAAATATTGCAGAGACAACTACAAGTGCACCTCCCAAAACCAACCATTCCAAGGTAACTTCAAAGCCTTGCTTGCTGTTGCTCTCCCAGCTTATAGGCTGCTTTGTGGTGGTCCAGATGACAGATAAAAAAATCAGAAGCATCACTATAAGAGACCAATTGTGGAACTTAATGTTTTTCCTGCAAGTATTAATCAGGAAAAACATCATGGAAATAAAATGGAAACAAACACACTCCCCCTTGGGTCTGATAACTCGTAGCATCTGTAACATACTCAGGAAAAAGGAGGGGTCATACATTGCATCCTCCCTTTTAATACTGGAAATTGATATTGATCGTTGTAACGAGACAACTGCTTTCTGCCATCCACCTTTAATTCACCCCTCAAAGGAATGCAGGCTCCCTTGGTTTGCAGAGTAAATTTGGGAGTAACGGTTTACACACAAATTTCCAGTTTACGGGAGGTGATAATGAATCACTAACGCTTCCCAAAAAGACAAGTTGCTTATCAACCACACAGACCAATAAACATGGAGCCTCTCACCCTGGCTGGGAAAGATCAGAATTGACACCTCAGAGTAAACCAGATGACCCAAAAGAAAACAAGGCTGCATTTTGCCAGCCTCGATAATTGACGTGCGTTTGTTTTCCTCCTCTCTCGCTACCAAACACGCTGGATGAGAGAAGAGGTCTCACTCTGCGCATTGTTCTCGGCACCTGGGGGCGTTGGCTCTATAGCGGAATGAACGGAGTTAGTGAACCCTCCTGTCAGTCATTCAGTGTCTTCGTCACGCGGGGGCTGGCGCGCACAGGCACACAGACACAGACTTTTGAATACAGTGCTGCAAGTGAGCGTCGTGAGTAAAAAGCAAGCAAACAGAATGAACACGACAGCTTTGGTGTCTAAACCGAACGCAACAGCCCAAGTGTGGGAATATTTCGGCTTTAAACCAGTTTTGTTTTCGTTAACCACAAAACTCCACGTGTGTGTGCGCGCGTGTGTGTGTCTGTGTGTTGGAGGAGCACAGCAGGCTGATGAGAGCTGTCAGAGCGGACTGAAGCTGCTCCTATATGTTTAGCGTTTAACTGACTGAGTTTTGCAACTCTGTTTGTCATTTTCGTCTCGTCTCATCAACGGAAACGCACTTTCGTCTCGTCACATTTTAGTCATCTCCGACTTATGTTTATCTCGTCAACGTTACGTCTTCGTCGTGGAAGAAGGGGAAATATTTTAGTCAACGAAAACAACCAGTGTTGTTCTTGTTGACGAAAATATTTCCCTTTTTTGACGCTGGCGTTTACGAAAATATTTGACGAAATATGACGAAAACAACACTGCTTTAAACCAAATGAAAGAGGTGAGCCCACAAATACAGACGAGCCGATATGTCGTATTTGTTCCAAAGTTGTGGTGACAAAGAAGGGGAATACGACGAACATGCATGCGCACCTCAAGCACAATCATCCCCTCCATTTTTCTCAACTGAGCAAAAAAAGTACTGCCAGAGGTGCTGCGGAGCCATCGTCCCGAGAGGTACCGCTTACTGAAGCGTTTGGCAAGCAAAGCAAATATAAACAAAACAGCGAAAAATGGTGCGCGCTGACAGAAAGTGGAAATTAAAGTTTATCACTTTTGACATGGTGTACTCGCATTATTATGCCATATAATATCATTATCTATAAATATATTTCCACTTCTACAGTATATGGGTTTCCCCCTAAGCTGTGGAGATAAAATTTTTCAGCTTCTGCACGTCTGTGTCTGGCTAAACTGCCAGTGCCAGCTAACTAAATGACTTTCTCATTCTGTAGCTAGAAAACAATTAACAAGGAATGCTTACTGCTGTAGTTACAGAAAAAGAAGATTTGGCTTTGGTTTGGTTTTGGCTCGGTGCTGGACTTTGTGGCCTGAGACTGTAATTTCAAGAAGTCTACAGAAAGTTTGAACTTTCTCTTCCTCTCCTTTTTTTGTCGTCTTTCTTGTGGAACTTAATGTTTTTCCTGCAATTATTAATCAGGAAAAACATCATGGAAATAAAATGGAAACAAACACACTCCTCCTTGGGTCTGATAACTCGTAGCATCTGTAACATACTCAGGAAAAAAGAGGGGTCATACATTGCATCCTCCCTTTTAATACTGGAAATTGATATTGATCGTTGTAATGAGACAACTGCTTTCTGCTATCCACCTTTAATTCACCCCTCAAAGGAATGCAGGCTCCCTTGGTTTGCAGAGTAAATATGGGAGTAACGGTTTACACACAAATTTCCAGTTTACGGGAGGTGATAATGAATCACTAACGCTTCCCAAAAAGACACGTTGCTTATCAACCACACAGACCAATAAACATGGAGCCTCTCACCCTGAGGCAAAGAAGGGGAATACGACGAACATGCATGTGCACCTCAAGCACAATCATCCCCTCCATTTTTCTCAACTGAGCAAAAAAAGTACTGCCGGAGGTGCTGCGGAGCCATCGTCCCGACAGGTACCGCTTACTGAAGCGTTTGGCAAGCAAAGCAAATATAAACAAAACAGCGCAAAATGGTGCGCGCTGACAGAAAGTGGAAATTAAAGTTTATCACTTTTGACACAGTGTACTTGCATTATTATGCCATATAATATCATTATCTATCATTTAAAAAACGATGTCAATAATATCGTGGCAGAGAAGTGGCAGGTAACATAGGAGCTATTCAGCTCTCTGGCACAATTGTCTTTAGGGATATGATGAAAGTTTATATCATAATTAACTTTCTTATGGGCATTGAAATCCGCACACACACACACTTGGTCCATAAATGTCCTCTCTATTTTTCCGAGTCTGGCCTTCACAGCGGGGCTCAGGGGTTGGAGCTTGGATTTGTGATGTAGGAAGTCTCACTGTATCTGAGTCTGCCGCTTGGGTCTGATTACTTGATTAATCGATGGAATATTCTGTAGAATACTCAATCAGTAAAATATCGGATAGCTGCAGCCCTAGTCAACGTTTTTCAAAGATGTTTCCTGTCATGGTAGCTATGCCAGAATTAACAGCAGGGTTTGCCTGATAAGACTTAGGCACATGGAAGTGTCACTATTCTTTAACATATTGTACTCCCTTTTTGGACCTGCTGGTTGTGTACAAAAGAAGGCAACATTCAGCAAAAGAATAAACTCGAGTGAACTTGTTTCACCCGCCTCACAACTTTGGTTTATTAACCTTTTAGATTATGCCGAATGAGAAATGGAAGCCCATTAGAGCCACTAGAAATCCAAATCTGTAACAGCCTTCCATCTGTGTAATTTGGGGTCCTATTTACATAATAGTAAGTCTCTTAAAGTATTAAAGATTAGTTTCAATTTAAATTTGACTTCTCGTTCAAGTTTGTGAAAGGCTTCCTGATATTGGATTTGAGTTTTGTCCCGCTAAGCTTGGATTTTTATTACAAAAGTGAGTCATGTATTCCTTGAGCAATTATAAGAGAAGTCACATGCTGGCTAAACAGCCTTTTACACCCAGAGCAAGTCCTGTCAAATGTGGGTGATTACTGTCAACTTCACTTGAAGGAGTGTGTTCCAGTTGATATCCGTCACTGGCAGTTGTTTCCCCAGCTGTTCTGTAATAATGAAACTCACTTTTTTTTTTCAGACATCTCTAAGAGTAATGGTGGCGATGGTAAAATAGCTTTGTAAGGCACCAATCGGTGATCAGTTTGTCTTTCAAATAAGGTGACTGCAACTCACTTGTGGAAGATTGTAACTGATTTAGATTTGAGTGGGTAGCAGGAAGTGGCTGCACGGTGGTGATGAGGTGAGCTCAGTCGCCTCACAGCAATCGGTTTCCCAATTCAGCTTTCAAAACTCTAAGTGTGGAAGTTGCATGTCCTTCCTATTCATGCGTGGTTTCTCTTCTGGCACTCTGGCATCCACCCACAGTCCAGAGACATGCTCGTCAGGTTAATTGGTGACTCCAAATTGCCTGTAGGAGTGAGTGTGTCTGTGACTGGTCGTTTTTCTCTACAAGGCAGCCCTGTGATAGACTGTCTGGGGTGTATCCTGCCTCTGGCCCAAACGCAGTTGAGATGAAAAGGATGCTTGTAATGAGACTTTCAACTTTGATATCAAAGGAAAACAGACAAGCCAGTAAAATGTATAAAATACGTTGCACAGACATTTAAGACACAGTCTGTTTTAGGGGGGCTCTCCGGGCAGATAAGGTTTATACATACTGCCATCTTGCATGAAATCTTTTATAGCATTTTTATGCAGGTGTGTAGCTCTTTTTATTACCATCAGTTATCAATACCCTGCCAGCTTCCTGTGCAGTGGTTAAAGTCAGCCTACATTCGTTTTGATAGTTATGAGGTATGATGGTTTAACCGCCTTCAACATGAGAATGTGGGGCTGCATTAAAGTAGTAACTTTATCAAGTTCCATCGTGATCTATGTAAAATGCTGTACTCAACAAAAAAGCTCTTCTTTGCATTTCAATATGGTGAACTTTTCGCACCGCTGTATGGAGGTATGCTTGCATTTTAGATGACAAAAAAAGTCCTAAAAGAGTGTCTTGTAACCAAATTTTATGGCACCTAAAGTCATAACAGAATAACTTTGAAATCATAGTTGTGTTTTTACATCATGGAGCTAATTTTCATACAGAACAGGTCGACTTAAAAAAGATGAAAAAGGTCTTAAACTGGCAATAGCATTTTTTTATAGTAAATAACAGCTGAATAAGAATGACAGATTATTCTAAGATAATATATCGTCCGCTAGCAGGAGTTATGCGGATGTTCCCTCAGCTTTAACATGAAGTCACATTTTCTGAAGGGGTGCATGTCCACGAGTGTCAGGAGGGTAAATCCAGCCTCTCAAGGAAGCAGGAATCACCGGTGCCAAATAGCTGAGATGTTTGGCATATTTCCCATGCTTTGTGTGCTGGATGATTGACTCTCTTGATGACCAGCTTTTGACTGGATTTTCTTTGACGTGACGATCCTAAAGTTTTAAACATCTTTGTGAAATCGAACAAACACTTGACTCTTGTGTGTCAGGGTTGACACGCTGCATTGTGTGTAGCTGTCTTCACCTGTATGACTCTAAAAAAAGGAAACAGGAGAAGTCAGTCTTAAGTGCAGGTGTGTGTGACTCAATGAGCAGAATTCAAAGAGCAAACTTTGGCCTGTAACTGTTACTACACTCCATAACCAGTGAGGCACAGGCACGTGTGTTCAGCCATGTGTCTACTACATATTGTTAAACACCTTCAGGGAGAGGCTTTCACAGTACTCTCACAGAAGTTTGTTCAATGACTGGATGCATTATGTACATCTGTTATCCTGATAAACCAATATGTTGTTTGCTCTGTAAATGTCAGAAAAATGTCAGTGAGCGTGTACCAAACTCCAGTGTACTTTACAATGACTTTGAATGTCTACAGTGACTTTGAATGTCTGCTTTTGTCAAGAGTAACAAACAAGAAATGATTAATAATAAGAAACTAAAATATGACAATACTGGCTTCTCTTCTCACAGAAAAAGGACTCAAACTAATTAATTTGTCCTCCAAAGTTCATGGAAATTCAAAAGTAATTCATGCACTTGTATTATGAGCTGATTCATCCTCTGAAGTCTAACTTTCACTTGTTGTCCTCAGAGATTAAATTCCATCTGGCTGATGTGTCCCACAGCAGAATTGTCATATTTACAGCGCATACAGTTACAGTTTGTCTTTACTTTTCAAAGTGACTTTGGAAGTTTGATATCTCAGACTGAGGAACGGTTTGTTTCTGTGCCATCTGTTTATCCTTTTAAGGTATCTGCTCCTTCTGTGGCCCCTTCCAGCTCTAAATTTTCAAGAACTGTTTTGAAATAAAACATTTAAATGACAATCAGTTTTTTATTGTAAAGTCAGGAGCCAAATGCCAGCCAAAAGATATTTAACCATAAAATTTTGCAAGGTAATATGGATGGACATCTCAATAGTACCATTCAGTATTCAATGGAAGCTATTCATCTATCAATCAAAGAGCTCTCACATGGACTACAGCCATCCTGTGGTGGTTGTCCACATTACAGCCAAGCCCTGGTAAAAATATGGAATACATACTGTTAAGTTGAGATGGTAGTTATTTGAACAAACAGCTTTTTGAGCATTCAGAAATCATGACTCATCTCTAATACACAAATGTTTATTTAACCATACATTTATCTTAGTGATCGTTGAGTATCTAAATGATTTCCCTGACAGTGTAACTGTCCAAACACAACCCAGTTCCATATACAGGGAATGACTGTTGAATTTTCAAGCCTGTCTGTTTGCACTGCTACTTTGTTTTTGACAGATTGTTTCAGCACCATTGTGACTCTGCTGTTCGACTTGCTTGTTCACTGGAAAGAAGATACAGTTTCAGGAAATCACTCCAACAAAGGGAATTTTCACAGAATATTTTCATACTTACCAAACATTTTGCATCTGCATAAACAATGAGTCAGACCATTATCAACCATCCGCCATGAGCTGTTTGATTTCTAAAAGCATTCAAAATTGCTTTGGTTTAACTGCTGGAATCAGATTGGCATAGTTGGATGAATTAGGGATACATACAATTAAAACAATTGAAGATAATTCAATGGCACCATTTTTTCAAGATGTATACATCCTTTGTCATGGCAAGGTGATATAAAAATGTGAACGTAGTGGCAGTAGCATAACCTGCTGAAGCAGAGTTTTAAAATGCTGACTCAAACAAATTTTGAGTCCTTACAGCATAGATAGCTACTTGGCTAATAACTATAGTGTGCATGTCTGTCAGTAGAGTCGCACATGCCCCTAATTTCACCTTATTATACAAAACAAATCACTTTGATTTCCTCAAAATGAAGGAGTTTTTAACATAAATTCACCCACCTGACACTGTACAGATAAATGGACTCTTCAGTCGAAAACTGTATCTTGAACCTGGATATAAACCTGTCCGCTGTCATCATAAGCATTTAAATGTGGGTAATAATGGGGTCTAATGGGCTTTTAGAGCCAGCCTCAAGTGGACTCTGCAGTTTTTAGCACTTCTAGCTTTGGCCTTTTATTTATTATTATTATTTTTTTTTTTACATAAATGGACTTTTACTTGTGTATTTAGAGAGTGCCTTGTATTTTCTTGAGATTTCAGTGTCATACATTGTAGATATTCTATTTGGTGTGCCCCAAGGTTCAATCCTGGGCCCTGTTGTTTTGTGACAAACCTAATTTGTATTTACTGAACAACTTGGCAGCCTATTTGTGACTATTTTAGGCCAACAAACTCATGGGTCTTTATGTTTTCATTCTTCCAGTGTTTGCCTGCAGACACGCTAGCCATTTACAGCATCAGCGAGCAGTCACGCCTAAATGGCCAGGACTTACAGGAACTATGTCCCACCATGCTGCAGCAGCTGGACGCTGGCACCTGCAGGGCACATAAAGAGGAGGAGCAGGCCTCCCCCAGACCCACAGACGCTGAAGGTGAGCATCGTCATTCATAAAAGGTCTGTCTGTCAGTTTATAGAATTTCCTTCCTCCTACAGATCGTCTGAAAGACTCAAAAGGAACAATGAATTAGTCTTACAAATCTGTCTCTTTGAGTTGAACAAAAGCTATTAAAAAAAACACACCAATGAGCCTCTCACCATCACATTGGATGACATGGTTATTTTTTTCATTAAAAGGATCTTGGCAAGTAAATAATTTTTCGTAATCCTACATACTCTGTTTTTACTGCCAAAAATATTCACTCGTGCTGCAAATCTGCAACTAATAAAAGCTCACAAACCAATTTAGGATTCAGGCTCCCTTTGTTAGGGTTAGCTGTACTGTAATCATTCCCTGTTCTTACAAATTATAATTATATTCATGACTCATCTATTACAAAGATGCTATTATTTCTATTACAAAGAAAGCACAAATGTTATGAGTGACTCCTGGGGCCACACATGGGTGGGTTTTTGTCCTCAGATGAGATTTGTTTAGAAAAGGAAAGTGTAAAATACTGCTAACTGTGTCTTTTTACAGTGTAGATTATTGTGTGAATGTAGTCGATTAACATCAAGTGTTGTTTTCTTTTTTATTTACAGTGAAATGTGTTTCTGTTTGTCAAACTTTGCTGTGTCATTTGTGCTCAAAACAATTTTTCTTCTTCCAGAGAGAGGACATCCTGATTTCTGTCAATAACTACCTTGTTTACTAGTTTTTTTCTCAGTGCTATCTATTTTTTTTTTCTGCTACCACATTTTCAGTTCAATATATCTAGCAGAAACCCAAAGGAATGAGACCTTGAAAACACATTTCTCTGTCAGATTTGAGCTCCAAATGTGTGTTATTTGTTGCCTAGAGATAGTGATATCATGATTTTCCCAAAAGAGATGAAAGCCAAAATAAGCATACAGAGATAGCCAAGTCTCAGATTGCATTTCTCAGTTTGGCTTAAAGACCAACACATCCTTCAGATTCAAAAACCCTGCCTCTATCAGCAGGCCTGCTTTGTAGGAGAGGTCTCATCCAGGTACCATCAGCCAAACAGAGAGGCAAACCAGGAATCTTTGGGTGTGCTGATACACACCCAGGTCAATGTCCTTGAGGGCCTCATACACAAGTTTGGCATCTGCATTGGATGTGATGTTTCCAAAAATGTGAAGTGAAGCTCAGGCTGTTGTTTGCAGCTTTATTTAGTGTTTTGAATAAGTCTCTGGTTCAGAAACCTCGCTAATCGAGCATAAGGGAGGTTCTTCTCTGAGCCTGCAGCAGAACTGATTCAGTACTGTCAGAGAGTGCTTCATTACTGTCCTCTATAAATCAGCAGCACTTACTCAGACTTTGCTTCATATTTGAGAACAATATTTCGCACAATCGCCTCGGTTTCTTAGTTTGAATCTATGCTGCCATCCTGTTTGACTGGGTTTCCTACAGTTGTTCGGGTTTCCCTCACTATCAGAAACATAAAATTCACCAGTAATGGCAAGCTGTAGTTTTAATGGCTTCCTGCTGCCTTTGAGTCAGGGTGGGACAAATCCAGTAAGTACATGTTAATCAGTAAAAAGTAACTGGACTCAATTTATGTCCCAGCTGAGTTAGCTTAGAAGATGACGCACTTACTTTTCTTTTAGAAGAGAGGAAAAGTTTGAAGGTCTCTAAAGGTTCTCCTCTGAACGGACAAACATGATATCCTTTATCTTCCACTGATACGCCTGTAGCTCGCCTCAGCCTTGCCCCTGCACCTGAGGCAGTTTATTTTGGCTCTGTAACTGTTTTTTTTTTGCAGAGACTGTTGAGATCTTCAAGCAGCAGGGAGGCAGATGCCGCAGGAATTCCTCTTCACTGCAAATCTCTGTACACATCAGTACTTGTTATCTATCTTGACATTCAATCCAGTGTGTGTGGCAATAAAAGTAAAAAGAGGAGCAAAATTTATGCAAGGCATGTGGAAGTTGCTGGCGGCTGCATCTGCACAGGCAACAATCTCTGTGGTTTTTAATAACATGATTTTATTTTACAGAAAATGTTTTGTTGTTGTTGTTGTTGTTTTTAACCCTCAGTTTCCATTCACAGCTGCATTTTCAGTTATGGCAGTTCGTTTTAATATCCCCTCTTTCTTTTCCACCCCCTCACCTGTCATTTACACCACCAGTGTGGGGCTTTTCTGTCCTGAGTGTCAGTGTGATCAATGCCTTCTCCCTCACTGGAGTTTTCATCGTGCCTCTCATGAAGACGCGCCACATGAAGCATGCGCTCACCTATTTCATCGCCCTTGCAATTGGCACGCTGTTCTCCACTGCCGTCATGCAGCTCCTGCCAGAGGTTTGCCATCCATCCCAAAGCATTTCTGTCTGCACTTCCATCTAGAAACAACTCAGAAACACTTTTTATCTTCATTTTGACAAAGAAATGCCAAATTCCCCCGAATTGATCGCAGTCTTACAAAGCGGTTAACAACATGGGTGCACCTTTGGCCCAGTGCTCCTTTGTCTGCCGTGCAGTCACATCTATTTCCTCTGCTTCCTGCCTTTGTCTTCCTGCTGGGCTCTTTCAGCACTGTGGAAACTTTTGGGGTTTTTGTTTACCGTCATCACCAATCATCTTTGGGTGGAGGGACGTTTCGATTGCAGTTTTGTATCTGCGTTCTGCACCTTTCTCAGAAATGAAATCTAGGCCAGCTATGTGGCAGGAACCAGATCGACCCTCTCTTCTGCCACTGCTGCATGAAGAAAAGCAAAGACAGACTTAAAAAAAAGGGGGTCTTCACAAACACAGTGGGTTCATATCCTTCAGTGAAGCAAAGTGTCCATATTGTAATCTGACCCTTATTAGAAGGGCTCCTTCTGGTACTGAAGGGCTATTTAAAGTTCATTTGACCCCCTTTGTGTCTGCGGTGTTAGCTCATATGCACCCTGAGGCTTGGACGGAGGTACAGATGCACCTAGGTGGACAAGGACAAAATGTGTGTGTGTGCATGTGTGTGTGTAAATTTGCCTTATTACTTCCTCCTTTCTCTTTCCAAAGAAACGCATGGTTCACAGGTTGTTTCAAAAGGACAATAAACTTCTTCTCCTCTGTGCAGATGAAGGGTGGCTGTGGTGTTGATTGATGGGGAAATGAACCTGTTGTGTCTTTTCTTGTTTCCAGGGACTAAACTGATTGGTGCCTTTTTAATTTTGAATGTCTTCTTTGATCTCATGGTGGTTATTAATCCAATAAAATCAGTTCCGAACTAACTTCCTTTTTTCTTTTCCTCCTCGTTTTCTCTCTGCCATCTGTTGATCAGTTTGGGGTTATGGGATCCTGTGTGTCACACTCATCTCTCTGTGTTCGCTGGTGGGGGCCAGCGTGGTGCCCTTCATGAGGAAAACCTTTTACAAGCGGCTGCTGCTCTACTTCATAGCCCTGGCCATTGGCACGCTCTACTCCAACGCCCTGTTTCAGCTCATCCCAGAGGTAGTGTCAACACTGCTGTGACTCACCAAGCTGCAGTTCCTTCACAGAGCCTCCTCTGTGCAGTGTTACTAAGCAGTGTCGAGATGACAGGGAGGAGTCTTCATGTATAGAATTTAGTAACAGGCTGGTGTGCTCTCATTGGCTGAATTTAGCAACAAGTGAATCATGCTACATGATCAACCTCATCAACTTTTACATTGTTAAAGTACACATACTGTCTCAAGAGATCTATACAAATATTATTGCAAGGTAGAAAAGCTGGATTTCATCAAAAGAAGCTGTAGTTTTTGTATACACACACTGAGAGAAGTTAAAAATAACTTTGGTGTGTGCCACAGTGTGTCTGTGTAGACAGTTGTGAAATCCTAGAGGTGTTCACACCCATCAGACCAGGTTTACAGCAGCTGTGTAACTGTAACTGTGTAACTGGCATCAATTTTTTAGCTCAGACATAAAAAAAACCACTTTTCATACTTAGATGATTGATTGTTTTAATCGACAGGAAGTCACTGTTGTGTACTTGATTTAGCTGTTCCCTCATATGAGAGACTTCTGTGAAATATCTTTGCAACAGCCTGAAAATTATTATTATTTTTTTGATCATGGGCAAAGTGAAACCATCCAAGGACATTCAGCTTGGTGACGATTTCCACAAGATTTAATTACTCTAATTTTAGAGGCTGACCTTGAGAGAGGACAGAAAAGCAGCTTAACTCTTCCTACCAGGAACTTCCACCAGATGTGTTTTCAGTATGTCTCTGAGCTGTGGCTTTGCACTGAAGTCAGTATGTGTTGTGTATCTGCGCTGTGGCAGCTCTGGTAATCTGTATCCCTCTGTATCACACATACGCATAACTCCTATATTCCCACGGGTCATTAATTTAGCGCAAAGCAGATTAAGAGAGACAGGAAATCAGACATCGAAACAACAACCAATTTTCTTAAAATTTTCTGAATATATCACTAGGCGCTGCTTTCAGATTTTATTTCATGTTAATACATCAACAGATCGTCATGATGAGAGAAGCTAGGCCTGGGAATCAACAGGTCAGAGGTTTTCACAGGCAGTTAACGAGGGGAAGCTCATCATGGAGTTAAAAAAACGCAGATTTTCTCACTGCTGTGGGAAATCCTCAGTTTTGTGACTCTGGGGGTCTAGCGGTGTTGTTTTTTGCAGCACTCTGAAAACAGCCAGAACATTTGAGTGCACACGCAAATGGTGGAAGTTCCCAGTAAGACAGCTAGCTGTAAAGTCTTGACTCACTTGAGCGCTCTAAACAAGCAGTTCACAGTCTGCTAATTGTTCACGCTCAAGGTCCTGCAAAGTCATTAACCTTCAGTTTGAGAGCAGATTAGCAGACACTCTTTAGAAATCATCATATTCATGCCTACGTAATAACAACAGCTTCACATCTTTTCTTCTGCATTCTAGGCTTTTGGTTTTGACCCCATGGTGGATTTCTACATGTCCAAGTCTGCAGTGGTGTTTGGAGGATTTTACCTCTTCTTTTTCACTGAAAAGGTCCTCAGAGTGCTTCTCAAACAGAAGGACAGGGTGAGTACTCTGAAAAAGCCTCTTCGCACTGCATTTTTAAACCATCGGTTACAGGTAGAGGAGAAAATCAACAAGCAAATCCATACAATATCCTTTTGCAATACACGTGTCGGCTTTACTGAAGTTGTAGTCGTGGAACCAGACAAATCTGTAAGCTCCTGCTTTATTTGTGATGGCAGCCACATCTGGGCCTCTCCAGGTCATTTTCAAAGCATTATTTTTCAAAGCTGGTTCATTGATGGCCATTGACAACAGACAGGAAAGTTGCAAGAAAATCAAGATGCCACCAGACAAATGAAGATTTTTGTAAAGGAGTGCACTTTAAATAATGTCGTGGCATGATGTTTAAACCGTCTACCTTGTAATGGATTAGCCATGTGCCGGGGTGACTGCCTTAATACTGAAGTCAGGGTTGAAGTTGGTTTAAAAGAGGAGGCAAAGTCAAAAGAAAACTGTTCTTCATGAAAAAATCCAGTCTGTGTTTTTCTTCCACAGTTTGTTAACAACAACACAGAAACTATTCATTCAGCTCAGTAAGAGCTTCTTTCAGTTCAGCTCATTTTCATTCTCACTGAAGACCAAATAAAGATCTGCAGTCCACTGTTCCTGATTTATTTTAACAAACAGAGTTTGGTAAACAGACTTCAGAGGGAGTGGACGCCAAAGTAACAAAACATGTTATTAACAAAACTGTTTTATTTTAACCAAGGGGAATGAAAAAGGAAAAGATCACTAACAGAAAGAAACAATGACCGACCAGGACTGCTTTAAGAATCACATCAAACACAAGTAACAAACTAAACATTTCTGACTGGTCCTCTTATCTTGAGAAGATGGTTCGTATGTCTTCTATATTGTTGCCGATATGCTCTGTGTGTGTTTCACTCTTATTATTGATGTTTGTTTTGATTTAATGCAATGACACCAACTTGCTAATGGGACTGGGGATGGAAATTAGCTGCTTGGCTATAATCCCATACATTCACATGTAAATGTTCATTATACATTTTGTCCCAATAAAAGAAAAAAAATCCAAAATCCTAATCTGCAGCACATAAACAAACAACAGGGTCATGTTTAAAGTAGAGAAAAAGATGAGGCGAAGCGATTGTCCTCTTTAATAAAAATAGCGTGAACATCTCCTGTCTGGTCTTGGGGCTGCAGAGCAAGTCTGTTTTCTCACCATAAAAGGAGAGTTAACTGTGTCAGGAAATTGCAGGAAAAGTTCAGAAAAGAGGGAAAGGATGTTGCTTAAAAAATTGACACTTTTTTATGATCTGATCATTTTTCTTTCACCATCCAGTGTTGCTTCAGGCTATTGTAACAAGCCATGAATTAGTTTTAAACTTTAGAAAGCTTAACATTTGTTTAAATGATTAAATACTTCCCCTTTTACCATGCCACTCCCTTTAACACCTCTGTTGTGTCATATGTGTGCGTCAGAGGCAGGTTTAGCAAGTTGCTCAAATGTTGGGATAGGAGGCACCAACTCCTGCTTGAAGTAAGTCAAGTTCACAGTTGTGTCCTGAGGAGTTTACACACAGTTATGTGACACACTCCTCGAAAGTCAACAGGTTATTTCTGTTTGCCACACCAAAGAGTTTTTGTGCTCATTCATTCATTCATTCAAGAACCCAGGCACATAAAATCAGATGAAAAATACCATAATAAGTGGTTAAAACACATTAAAATGAACAAATAAGACAATAAAAGACCTCTCCAGTGTACAAACATGGCTTGTAAAATCTTAAAAAGCCTCATGAAACAGTCTTATTAGCCAAGAGAAGGCCCTTCCTTTATGGTTTGGTCCCACAAAGCAATAATGAAGTAATAACTTTCCCTCACAGGATCTGAGTTTCTGCTTTTTTAGTCTAAATTTAGACTGTTTGTCCAAAAGAAGTCCGTAAAAAGATGCTTGTGTTGTTAAACAATCAGTATCTGCATCTGTAACTGTGATCTGTATGACATTTCAACTCAACCAAGCCAGAGATAACGTATCTCTGTCTGAATACAGTTTTTATCAGCAGCTATTTTATGATATAGAAAGTTAGTATTTGTTCCATTTAAGTGTATGTTCTCTCTATAGGATTGACTGTGAACTGCTCCAGAGTGGCCAGTTTTTGGCACTCGGCCCCTTGGCAGCTGTGCCTGTGCTGCATATTTGTCTAAGTGCAGCAGCAGCAGTGTGTATGGTACAGTTTTGAACAGCTGGAATACTTATCTATATGTCACTTTGTTAAATGGACATCACTGTTCCAGCTTGTAAATTACCCCTATATATACATCTATAAAAAGGCTCTCTTGAAATTCTGCTCGGCACATGTTCATGAAGCTTTCCTGTTCTGCTGGATCCATTCTCAAAAATCCTCTGGAAACGCAAGAAGAACCTGATTTAGGGACACTTACTCCACCTTGTGGTTATGCAGCTTTGTACCATATGGTCCAGCCAACCTACTTAAAAGCTCACTGAGAGATCTGTTGATCCTATTACAGAAGGTTTCTGACCTCCACCCGCTGAGCTGCTTTCATGTTTTAATTTCTGTGCAAAAGAAGCCCAGGAATGACTTCAAATCTGACACTGACAGCCACCTTTGAAACATAAAGGAGTGTGTGAATGTGGTGTAGTACAAAGAAGAGAAAAAGGACAGAGACAGAAAAAGCAACACTGTCCTGGTTTCTCACAATCCCCAGGTTTTGTGTTTGTTTCTCCAGCTTTGCTTTGGAGTTAATGCTGCCTGAGAAGCTCTGCTTGAGGCTCATCATCCAGAGGGAGAGGAATTGTGACCTGATATCTAATTTCTGCTGTACTCTGTGTTTCTGATTTAACCTTTTGTTTATCAGTGAGAGGATAGTGTTATTGGTTAGAGTGGCACATAAAGTCTTTCACTTTAAAAGTGTCAGAAATCAGAAGTATTGTAGGATTAGTACTATCTGCCCTCTCCTCTGTAAATAAAGAAAACACAAACATCTGTGGGAGGAAAATAGATTGAAGAAAAAAAGAGGATCTCTTCAGTCCAACATGTAGGTCTTATCTTATCTGTCAAGTCTTTTGTATTTGACTTGATCGTACTGAGCAACAAGAATTCAGTCCCCACTTCAACTAACACAGCAGCACACGTCCAAAGTTTATTATTAAGACTCCCTCAACCCGCTGCTCTGCCTCTGACTTTCTCTCACTATCCACTGTCCTTCACTTAAAGGCATGTGAAGGACAGATAATGAAATAAATAGAAGCAAAGAAAAGTGTCATTGAAATGAATCCCTGAGAGTAATAAACAAGGAGTAAAATCTGTAGAGTCAGAAAGCTCTTCTGGTTATGAACTGTGTCAAAATTAAAGCCTGAAGAAAACTGGGGTTTGGTTTTTGTAATAGGTTATGTAACTCTGGATGAAGAGACAAAAACAACCCAAAAGCTCCATGGTCACAGAACGAACAGAAGAAGCATTTTTTTTCCCCTCCTATTCTACAACAATAATTTTCAGTGGATTTTTTTGGTTCAAGGTTATTTTCTTTTCAACGATTTTTTTTTTATTGATCCTGATTTCTGTTTTCTTTCTGTGTCTCAGGGACATGGTCACAGTCATTACCCTGGTCCAGATCGTTACTTGACACCTGATGGGGACGTAGAGGGAGTGGAAAAGGAGAAGTTGCAGCAGAACGGAGCTGCCACAGGTCTGGCTCTGGGCAAAGTGGATGTAGGAGAGGGAGAGCTCATGCTGAGTCCAGCACAAACGCCTGAGGTAAAACAAGAGGAGTTGAAACATGATCATGAGTCTGACTGTGAAATCTAAGGTCCTCTTTATACAGACTTTTTTTCCTAAATAAGGCCAACACATTTATTTTGATGGAAGATATTGGGCTCTATTTTCATGCACGGTGTAAGTCAGGTCCGCCGCGCCGACAAGGCGTTCCCAAGCACAATTTGGTATTTTGGTGAGCGGCACAAAACCGAATATTATAATATTTGTATGTAGGCTCAAAGTAAATAACTCATCTGATCACTGAAACAAATCATCTGTTCAGCCCCCACCGCAGCTGCAGCAGGACACGGAGACATGTCCAGGTAGAGCTGCGCCAGAAATAAGAGGAAGAGGAAGAAAGAAAAGGAGGGAGACGAATTACATATCTTGTTAACTTCATCATGTGTGTTTATTTACTAGATATTTAACTTAATTTGATGCGGTTTCAGCTGTGTTGATTCGGTCAGGTGGTGTGTTCAAACGCGTGCCAATCGCGCTCATCAGATCAGATATAGGTCAGAATATATCGATATAGATCTAAATGTATGTGCTGACTAGGGCTGGGCGAACTGAAGCAGTGCCACATGGAAGAGCACGTGCACTGCAAAAGGTTACAAACCCTGAGCGGAGCCAAATCAGCTGACCATTCAGTTCGCTTTCTCTGGCGCAACGCCTTACGACAAATGCCGAAGAGACACAAAGAAACCTGCTGATGAGTCATCGGTGATGTGTGCCGATACGCCGCCAGTCTACCAAAATACCACTAGATCAGCTGTGCTCTGCCTGCGCTGAAAGCTGACCAGGTTTGAATCTGCGAGCTTACAGCGCACTTTACATGCCACCTGCGAGCACGAAAATGTCCCTGCGCCAGCTGATTGTGTGGACACCTCCCTCTGCCATGCCACCACGCCCAGCTTGGTGGACCTTGGCTCGCCTCAGTTCACGATAATACCAAACTGGCTGTATGCCGGGCTCCACTAGACGAAAATACCACTGCTCGGGGTCTGCCACCCTCCGCCGCCTCACCAGCGGACACGAAAATAGAGCCCATTATGTCATTAAATCCACTTACAGTTCTGGGAGAGTACTTTCAGCTGTTCAGACTTCATCAGTGTACTTATCTTGTCACAGACGAGTTGCTCTGATTTGAAATAAACTCATTCATTCATGAAGTAATCATGCTTGACCTTGACACCTGTGAAACATTTTGTTGCCTGATTCATGACCTGTCATTAACCTCTGATCCCTCTCAGGACTCCCAGAGTCCAGACAGCGGAGGGCGCTCCGGCAGCGGCGGCGGCTGCTACTGGCTTAAGGGGACAGCATACTCTGACATCGGCACGCTGGCCTGGATGATTACACTGAGTGACGGTCTTCACAATTTCATCGACGGCCTGGCTATCGGAGCGTCCTTCACCGCCTCTGTCTTTCAGGGCATCAGCACCTCAGTGGCCATCCTGTGTGAGGAGTTCCCTCATGAACTGGGTGAGTCAGGACTGCAGCTCGAGCACTCATCTGGAGGAGAACCACCTGAATTTACTCCTTTTGACATTCAGCTCTAATGAAATTCTGAAAAATGACTCCAGTCATAATAAGAACACAATAATGTCTCCCAAACACAATCCACTTGAAGCTTTAGGAATCTTCGATTGAACATCCTGCAGACAACTTTTGGATTCATTGTTTTTTCTCTTTTTTCTTTTTTCCATTTCAGGAGATTTTGTGATTTTATTGAACGCTGGCATGAGCATCCAGCAGGCTCTGTTCTTTAACTTCCTGTCTGCTTGTTGCTGTTACCTGGGCATGGGCTTCGGCATCCTGGCTGGCAACAGCTTCTCCCCTAACTGGATCTTTGCTCTGGCAGGGGGGATGTTCCTCTACATCGCTCTGGCAGACATGGTTAGTGTTCGGATGATCTCTGTTGGCAAATTATGTGGAAAAAAAGCCAAATCTGTGGACATATGATCACAGATTTAAGAAGTGGCTGTATGCATGTGTGCAGAAAAACAATCCTTGTAAATGAATTTAAACTAAACCATTTCTAACACAACGTTGTATGACCCATTGGCAGTCATGTAACAATGATTTACCTTTAATTAAAAAACAAATTTTGGCATTTGGATGATCTGCATTCTCAGGAACAGACTGCATCATATGTAAATTTCATATGCCATTTAGAGGTTACTCTGTATTCTACTGTAGTGTCTTTAAACACAAATCTGCCTGCAGGTAAACTAGGTCCTTTCCTGATATTACTTTTTCTTTTCCTGTCTGGTATAAATGGCTGTATCTTTCAAAGTCAGACAGCACAGTTATTAAGAAAGAGCGTTTACACTAATTAGACCTTCTGTTTTTCTCAGTTTCCTGAAATGAACGAGGTGAGTCGTGAGGAAGAAGATGCAGGCGGTAGTAGCTTCCTCCTAACCTTCGCCATTCAGAATGCCGGGCTGCTGACAGGTTTCGCCATCATGTTTTTCCTCACCACCTACTCTGGACACATACAGCTGGGCTAGCACGAGACTCTTCTGGACCAACACCAGCTCTGACCAGTCTGAAAGGATATTAAAATATCAGCTGATTTCAACCGACCCCAAGTGGAGGCACTGAGGCAGAAAACCTTTTGACTTTACGTCCCTCCTGTCGTCTCAGTTTTCAGGAACTTGGAGTCAGGGAGTTTGGCTGCTGTGCGGCAGGTACGCACACTCCTCTGTTGAAGATATGAGAGAAGCTGTTGGTGCGCAGTTCCCAGATGCAGTAGATCCCAAGCAGAGTTTGTGGCTGCCTTTTTTCATCCTTTACAAACCTTTTTTTTCTGCTCAGTTGCAGTTCTTAGAAATATCTCCCAAAGCAGGATTCAGCCTAAAGAGACGAGCAGTATAACTCCCTCGGCTCTGAACACTAACCCGCGTGCAATACCCATCCAATCACTAAAATGTAACTCTCTTCTCCAAGCTCCTGCTCATTATTCCTCCTCTCCCTCTGTGGAAGTTATCGAGCCTCAACCGTGGACACTCAGATACAGATGATTTATGCCACTGACCTTCTCAGTGCTTCCTCAGGAGGTGGGAAAAGCACAATCAGGTTTCCCAAGCTGTATTACTGACATCTTTTAATCTTTACCGCTCTTCTCCAGACTTCAAACCCCTCCTCTTTCTTTTTGTCATTTCATACCAAAAACAAATCTCAATGGACCTGAACTGGAATTTTAAATCAAGTGTGAATCGCCAGCTGGACTTTGTTGTACGTGTGTTGATGTTATATTTTTGTATACATGTGAAATGATCCACCTCTGGAAGACCAAATATGGGACGACCATTAAGAATGGTGAAGGGCTACACAGTGGTATTTAGGAGGGCATTGTTTCCCCTCATCTTTCTCCTCCTCTGGATGTGTCCTGATCCCAGCATGCTGTCAGTGATTCCCAAATGAAGCCTGAGGCGGACACTAGGAGCAACATCGAATCCAGAGTTTGTCAAAAAGGGTTTCATCCAGACAGAGCGCAACACCAACACTGAGCGTCCACTTAATCTACCATCTGTGCCCTTCATTAATGTCACATCGAACATCTGATTTATTTTTAATTCCTTGTTCTCTTGAACTCTCTAGTCTTGGTTCAACCCATAGACTGTTTTCCCTTTTACTGTACGCTTACAGTTTTAGTAAAATACCCTAAACTGAAGCATGCACACTTAACCCATGAACCTATGCATACTGATCATACATATTTATAGAATGAATATACTGTATTAGTTAGATTTTACTGACAAACCCATCTATCCCCTGTGAATTCATCTAAATGGCCAGAAGTATGTGGACACACCTTTCTATGCCTGCATGCAGTTTTTGAACGAGTGGACTCTTCCTGATAATATGTTGATAATAACTGATTTTTGTGGTTTGCAAATCTGTTATACCATGTTGGAAATAGTGCTAAGACAACATACGTTAAACATTGTGTTGCATCACCTCTTTTCTTAACAATAATGTAAAATTTCAAAACCAAGAGGACCAGCTTCTTGAGTCTGAAAGTTTAAACCTGTATTTATGGATGCAGTGGCAAACCATGTTCACAGTTAACGGTTTCTGGAAGTAGTTTTAAGTCAGTGCAGTAATGATATTAGATACTGGAGTTGATGAAGTTCCTGAATACTGCATTTTTACACTGAGTAATAACCAAATATGGTTGAGTCATTTACTTACACGGTCTCCCAGAGAAGTGAGCCTTCCCTTTTTCTTACCCTACTGCAATTGAACCCAATGAGCTGAGATGCTTCTCCTCGTGTTTTTATATCATTGTGCAAATTCTAATTGTTTTTTTTGCCCTGTCCCAACTTTTTTGAACTGTCTTGCTGACATCAAATTTAAAATGAGTTTTTATTTGTCGTGAAACAGTTGCATTTTTTAGTTTGATCTATTGGGTTTGGATTCATTGTCTTTGTTTTATTTCCAACTAAATTTAGAGTTTAGTCAAAAACTTGCAAACCATTAAATTCTGTTTTTATCTTTGATTTACACACCGCCCAGACATTTTTGGAGTTGGGGTTGTACTTAAAGGTTGTTGACAGACTGACAAGTACATTTTAGATCATTAGCACTCTTCTTAGTTTTGTTTTCAAACCCCCCTGAACCCCCTACTCCAATTTGGAGTAAAAACTATAAAATTTGTACTTTGGTCTATATTTGAAACATATAAATAAAGAACACACAAACAAACGTGCACTTTGGAAAGGTTATCATAAATGCAAGGCTACAGCTTCACACATATTATACATGATGCTGAAACTCCAACTTTGCCTGCATTGTAGGGAAAGATGAAAGAGGAAAACTACAGCTCCTTTGAATCTTCAGGGAACTTGAGACTAAACCCCTGCAGCCAAGCTTGACAATAAGAAGGTCGCCTTTAACCAGAAGAGTGAAGTAAGATGTTACACTGACATATTTATGCAAGGTTTTGGTGTCCACATACTTTTGGCCATTTTGTACAAAATGCATCTGATGGTTACCAGGTAAAAACACAACTCATGATCTGTAATGTTAGAGGGTTTGTGGGAGTGCTTTGGGGACCACTTTGGTTTTTGGTATTGTTGGAGTCAAACCAATCATGTGACCTTTGTTTTTAACCAACAGCTACAAAGACATTAAGAGTAAAGGGGAAGAAGAAACACTCAATATTACAATCATTCTTACTACTGGAGCGTGTAACACAAATCATTGCACATCTCTCTTTATCCATAGTTACTGATATGAAGATTGGTACATCATAGAGATTACACACCAAGAAAGGTGGTCATTTACAAACCCTACATACTTTTTTATTGATTATAATTGATCTGAAATTAGCACTGTAGCTTATTGATTAGAGATAGAAACTGGAAGCCATGATTGGTTAAATATTGTTCTGACTGACAATGAAATCCTAAACGTAGAGGGCAAACCATCAAACTGGGTACCATGAGCTATAATATTACTGCTGCTTGATATTTGTGATGAATGGGAGATTATTTATTGTCGTTTGAGCCATAAAATATTTATTTTATGCTTTACACCAAGAAACAGTGTTCAGTTTACCGTTACATTGAAAGCCATCATAGAAGGAAAGATTTTAATCTCTCTGTTTTCTTAAATATTATTGTTTTTGTTTTTAGCTTAGATCCATGGGACATCTGCCAGATTATATACTCAACCTTTACAACACTGCACATTTACCTCTATACTGGAGTTAATAGACACAGTTTTATAGATTACTGTCTCTGATAAGGTAATTTAAACCTCATTGTTTCAACATCACAACAACAAGCCAATCAGACAATGAATTCAGGAGCACACAGACGACAAGAAGAATTCATTGGTGTATAAACCATAAATCTTTGCAGCATCAATCAACCAAACAATGACTGACTTTCTGGAGATTTTGATAACTTGTGGCTGTGCTTTTAAAACTGTTAATGCCCATTTTGAGAAAATTGTACCTACTGTAATTTATTGGAAACATCATCAGCCTTCTCTGCGTGTCATGGGACTCTTGATTTTTTTTTTTTATAAAACATCCTTTTCCAAGAAAACTTTCCTGTTTCTTCATTGAGTGAAATCTTTTATCTTCATGATCCATAGAGCTAAAAGTTAAAAGTCTAACATTAAAAATAGATTTGGACTCACTGTAGAATATAAACATTTGTGCCAACAGCAAACACTTTGAAACGATAAAGAAGGTGGAGTCTTTATCTTGCAAACCTAAATGCCAACATTTGATTTTAATGTTGGCACTTGTCCTAAGTTATGTAAGTTATGTAATAAAATAACCAACCACAGCTGGAGTTGGTCAGATCAACCCGAAATTAAGAGGTCAAAACACCCCTTTGCTCAGTCAAGTTAACACCATCCTGCAGTCAATGCTCTGATTGTTATTCCAGTGGGTTGGGGGCCTATTTGAATCCCACTCTATTACAGTTTATGTTTTCCTTAAATATTGATACTATTATAGATCAAATTCACTGAGCATCCAGTGGTTTTGTTAAACACAGTCTAAAACATCATTAAGCTTCGGGTACAATTCGAATATCTCCCAAGGTAAGAGGAACACCCAAGTGGCAGCCTCTGGTCCGGAGAAATGAAGCTGATGTGTGTTCGTAAATTAATAACATATATATGTTTTTTTTTTTTTTTACCATCTTATTTAGCATATACACTCACCGGCCACTTTATTAGGTACACCTGGCCAACTGCTCGTTAACACTTAATTTCTAATCAGCCAATCACATGGCGGCAACTTAGTGCATTAAGGCATGTAGACATGGTCAAGACAATCTCCTGCAGTTCAAACCGAGCATCAGTATGGGGAAGAAAGGTGATTTGAGTGACTTTGAACGTGGCATGGTTGTTGGTGCCAGAAGGGCTGGTCTGAGTATTTCAGAAACTGCTGATCTACTGGGATTTTCACGCACAACCATCTCTAGGGTTTACAGAGAATGGTCCGAAAAAGAAAAAATATCCAGTGAGCGGCAGTTCTGTGGGCGGAAATGCCTTGTTGATGCCAGAGGTCAGAGGAGAATGGCCAGACTGGTTCAAGCTGATAGAAAGGCAACAGTGACTCAAATAACCACCCGTTACAACCAAGGTAGGCAGAAGAGCATCTCTGAACACACAGTACGTCGAACTTTGAGGCAGATGGGCTACAGCAGCAGAAGACCACGCCGGGTGCCACTCCTTTCAGCTAAGAACAGGAAACTGAGGCTACAATTTGCACAAGCTCATCGAAATTGGACAATAGAAGATTGGAAAAACGTTGCCTGGTCTGATGAGTCTCGATTTCTGCTGCGACATTCGGATGGTAGGGTCAGAATTTGGCGTCAACAACATGAAAGCATGGATCCATTCTGCCTTGTATCAACGGTTCAGGCTGGTGGTGGTGGTGTCATGGTGTGGGGAATATTTTCTTGGCACTCTTTGGGCCCCTTGGTACCAACTGAGCATCGTTTCAACGCCACAGCCTACCTGAGTATTGTTGCTGACCATGTCCATCCCTTTATGACCACAATGTACCCAACTTCTGATGGCTACTTTCAGCAGGATAATGCGCCATGTCATAAAGCTGGAATCATCTCAGACTGGTTTCTTGAACATGACAATGAGTTCACTGTACTCAAATGGCCTCCACAGTCACCAGATCTCAATCCAATAGAGCATCTTTGGGATGTGGTGGAACGGGAGATTCGCATCATGGATGTGCAGCCGACAAATCTGCGGCAACTGTGTGATGCCATCATGTCAATATGGACCAAGCTCTCTGAGGAATGCTTCCAGCACCTTGTTGAATCTATGCCACGAAGAATTGAGGCAGTTCTGAAGGCAAAAGGGGGTCCAACCCGTTACTAGCATGGTGTACCTAATAAAGTGGCTGGTGAGTGTATACTTCTAAGTTCAGCGTGGCTGTTTAATCGCATTTGCTCTGTATAATTTAGACACCTTGTCTATGTAATCCACTTTAAACGATCAATTTCTTTAGGAAACCATACCTGAATAAATGTAGACTTTTTTGTGTATGGGAGATTTACTCAGTGATACACAGAAATTTACTCCAAGCTGAACTCATGCAGCACTTTTTTGAAGCATGCATTTATTTTGTTACTATTTGATAATCCTATTTATCAACTTGAACAACTCCAACAGCAACAGTGCTTGGCACCGCTTAAAGTGTCACACTTTCTCCCTCTGTACCTGGATAGTTTTTGCCTGCAGCACTGAAGGACTCCGCTTGAGACATCTGTCTTGTCCTGTAGCAACAGCACCTGACACTGTGCTCTACAGTTCTGTCTGCCCCATCATAAATACCTCGCATGAACATATCACAATATTGGGATATGTCATAGCTGATTGATTTCCACAGAGAATGGGAAAGCAAGAAAGAAAGAGAAAAGAGAGAGGAAGGAAAGAAAGAAAAACCTAATCTAAGAGCACCAGGAGCATCACCACCAAAGGTGAGCTTCCTGCCGGCGAGGTCCCAGACAAGAACCCCTGGGAGTGGATGGCCATGCTCAAACTACAACAGGGCACCGACAGGAGGTTGAGTCTAGCACTGTGAGCGCCAATGCTCACCTGGTACACACAACCGTGGAAACATCAATCCTTCAACCTCCTAACTGCCCTGGCTGTACACCACACTCCGAGGATACGGTTGGAATGTCAGGGTTCTAAATGTTGGTTTTGAAATGTCAGTGTTTGGGATGTTAGGGTTCTAGAATGTTGGTTTTGAAATTCATTTTTTTTTAAATATCAGGGTTCCAGAATGTCAAGTTTCTAGAATGTTGGTTTTGAAATGTCAGTGTTTCGTGATTTCAGAACTTCGGTTTTGAAATGGCTCTGGTGGCTAACATAGGTCCTATATACAGTATATCCTATGTGTGTGTGTGTGTGTGTGTGTATATATATATATATATATATATATGCAGAATGACATCATCCATGACCTCAGAGCTGCAGATTAAAGATGAGAAAGGGGTAATAAAAACTTTTTTACCCCTCTATATTTTATTTCACTATGTAAGAGACAAGTGCAGACATTCATCAAACTTCTTTACCTTCAATTCACAGGTATATATTTAGGAGTCTGTTTTGTCAAGCAGATTTATTCATTAATAATTTGCCCAGGCTTTCTTGGTAGGATGCAATTGGATGTAAAGCGAAAAATATTTTTATTGATATTCTTATTCAAAATGTTTAGTAAATTTGAACTTATTTTAACTAAAACAATACAAAATAAAATGTTCTGTGAGTATATTTTGTACTCTTACTGACACAATATTAAAATTCCAGACATTTAACCAGTAAGAATTTGGTCTAATGTGATAGACTCTTTCCATCTCTGCTGTCTAATAGCTCCATTGTGATAAACTTCTTCAGATTATCCATTTTATTTATTATATAATTTGAAAAAACTGCTACAACTTATAAGTATTAAGTCCCCTTTTTATTTTAACCCTATTTCTGCTCCTTTTCTTATTGTTAATGTAGTCGGTCTTGCGTGAAATGTTTCTTCGCTTGCTCCGCATTCGTCAATGATTTTTAAAGAAAAAGGACACTTCTCTCTGGTGCCCACTAGGGGGCGGTAGAGACAGTCTGCTGTATTTACTGCACCGGCGTCATCCTAACAAAACAAACGTCACTTCCTGGTCCGGCACAGGTGATTAGTAAACGTTGAGAAACAGAAACTCTGGAAAGACGTGACGACTGTGAAGAGATGGCCTAAAAGAGCCACACACAAGCACACTAAAAGGTGAGCTTTTTTATTCACTTATTTTATGTAGAATTATAACAGGATTTCTAAGGGAGTCAAAAAAGGACGGTTTTAGAGTCAACGGCTGGTTAGCCACGTTATATGAACGCAGCTCCTCCATTCATGAACCTGCTGACATTTCAGGTTGATTAAAGGAACTGTGGGTGACTTAGCAAGCTAAATAAAGCGGCAGATCACAGTTGAACTTATATGTAATAACACGATTGAAACTCAATGTCTAAAAGATTAAATGTAAATAAAAGACAGCAAAGAAACCAAGTGGATGTTTATCAGCGCATAACAGCTGTAATGAGGGGCGGCACAGTACACACAGTGATTATACCAGGCTGCTATAGTTGCTTTCTTTTAGAGGAAAATCACAGTGAGTTTCTGATTGTTTTGATTTTGCAGAGAAAACCAGAAAGGGAAAAGTCATGGCCTGTGCTCGAGTGCCCCTGGATGAGCAGCAGGTGACCGAGCCCGGCCCTCTGGGGAAAGAACACACACTGCCTGCTCTGGTGAGCTTCATCAGATTATTACATTCGTTAAAAAAAACACAGGCTGTCAGTGATAGCACCAATCTCTAAAAAAAGACCTGTCAAACAGACTCTTACCCCACCTTTTTATTCCACATCAGCACCCGGCCAGAAAGGAGGAGCGCTGTTTCGTGCCTTACAAGTCCCCACCTGAGGACGGCTCTCCTGCTGAGGTGGAGGAGTTTCTGGAACATGCCAAATTTATCACAGAGGACCTGGAGTGGCTGCTCGCACTGCCTCATGACAAGTTTTGGTGTCAGGTGAGGGACTGCAGTTGACTTTACATCAATCTGGCTTACAAAAGTTAAATAGCTTATAAATGTTACATCATCCTTTGTTCCACATCAGCAGCTAAATAGGTTTCATTTCTCCCTCCATCTCATAAATTTCCTATCCTGTCCTTCTCCTGCCTCCCCCACCAGGTGGTGTTTGATGAGTCCCTGCAGAAGTGCTTAGATTCATACCTGCATCAGGCTCCCCGCGGCCTGGACCTCGCCAGCCTGCCCTCCTCCCCAGCTGTGGCTGATATGCAGCGCTCCATCCACAGAGCCGTCTTCTTGACTTTCCTCAGAATGGCGACACATAAAGAGTCAAAGGTAGGAGCAGTACAAGTGAAACCTAAAAAAAAGAGGATACCACTCCACGGCCTTTGACACTCTGTCTCCTTTGTTGTGCTGTGCTGTTTCATGCACCTCCTCCACAGGAGAACTTCATCACTCCGGCTGTGTTTGGAGAAATTATCTATGAAAACTTCTTGTTTGACATTCCCAAAATTCTGGATCTGTGTGTGCTCTTTGGAAAGGGCAATGGCCAGCTGCTTCACAAGATGATAGGTGAGCTTCACTCTGAATGATCATTCTCTTTAATGGGTTACTGTTAAATTAATACTAATAGACAGATTGTGTTTTTCACCTTTTTTGACCTCTATTCATCACTTTTTGCTCCCTCTCTCTTTTAGAGAACATCTTCACTCAGCAGCCGTCCTACTACAGTGACCTGGATGAGACGGTGCCAACTGTGTTACAGGTCAGGTTCAACAAATACAGTTGAATACTTATAGGAAATGTCTTAGTGTTCTTAAGAAGCTCAGTGCTGAAGAGAAGTTATACTATTTGGGGCAAACATTGTGATGCAACTTGAAAGATATACAAAAACCTCTGAACCGTTCTTTAATTTACCACACCTGTGTCAGTTTGTGTTTATTCTGCGGTGCAAAAGTAGAACCAGCTTCTCTCCATATTGGTCCCAAAATTATTCTTAAAAACCTTGAACTTGGTTTGAAACTATTGTTAGGCAGCAACCCTGTAGATATTGATAGAGTAAGAGTGAGAGAGAGAGTCTTAGATAGATTTATATTATATACCCCATATTGTATTATTGACCCCAAACTGGAGAATTGTGGATTGTCAGGATAATCCATTTGACCTTTCTTGATCAACAGATTTAGAAAAATAAGTAATTAAGCAAAAATGTCCTCTTTCCTTTCCTCCCATCCTCACCTGCAGGTGTTTGACACCATCCTGAATAAATGTGGTCTTCAGTGTGAGGGAGCCACCGCCATGGAGCCCATGAAACTGAATGCACACAAACAGCCTACTGCCATGACCATGAGCCAGCAGGTGAGGCAAACACACACATACAGTTTCCATAAGATTCGCTACAAATACTTGAGACTGAAGGCCTTTCATCATCACAAGCATGTTTCCTTTTCTTAGCAGCACAAATATTGCCATCACCAAAGCCTTAAATGTGTCACCAGTGCTTTAAAGCTGCATGTAATAGAAGTGATAAGGCACATTTTGCAGGCAGAAAATTTTAATCATGACCAGGGGTCAGAATGTTAGCTTTTGGCATCACTCTAGTATGATGAAACCCAAACACAAATGTGTGAGCAGGAAGGATCCTTCTTTTTCTTCCATGAGTCAATTTTTACCCCAGTTGACACCAATGTCGAGTCATTTATCTCGTCACTGTCTGATGATTGCCGAGAGATTCAGTTCAAAGTTCATATCGTCATGAAGGTCAGCAGCAGCTTTAAATCAGGCCACTTCAATAACTGACAGTCTGATCATACAGTGCCTGTTTTTCTTTTGTCTCTCAGGAACTTGTAGACCTTATTCTGTACCTCTGTGACTCCACCACCACCATTCATGCCTTCCTGGACATCTTCCCTGCCGCCTGCACCAGCTTTCACTCCCACGGCTTCCTCGGCAGGTAAGCAGACAAGGTGAAACAGGCGTGTCACAGCCCTACTTCTACTGAACTTCTCTGTGATGATTTAATTTTCTGCACCCGCAGACTGACCTTGTTTTATGAGACCGCTGTGCCTGACCTTGAGAAGGCAGTGAGGAAGAGAAACTTTGATGATAAAAGGTGAGCCTGTCCTGGATCTGACATTAAAACTACCGGCCTACTTGCTAAATAAAGTAAAGAGTGAGCATCATTATTAATCTCCTCAACTGTCCTTCAGTCTTCAGGACGACTTGTGGAAGAGGTTGTCTCACTCCTGCCGCAAGATGGTGGAGATGACTCACCTGCTGCTGAATCACGCCTGCCTGCAGCCCATCCTGGAGGGGTGAGACCTCAAACCATCAACATGCATCACAGCAGACAAACTTGAACATGCACTTTTTGGTGTATAAATGGTGATGTATGGTTTCTGTTTTAAGGGGAGAAAACACGATGTCATTCGCAGAAGAGCTCCTTCAACACTTCACATCCTTTCTACCTGAAAAAAGGTACAACGTCTTACTGAGATCACAGCGCTTCTGAGCAATTTCACAATGAATTGCCTTTTTTTTTTAAGTGTCTGACAGAGGGTTTCACTTTCTTTCAGGTTTTTGTCAGACTACGATGAGCAGTTTCCCATCGCAGATGACATTAGCCTCTTGCAGCAAGCCCTCCCTGTCATGTATCCTTTGAAATTTGACAAAATTACCCTTTAAAAAGTTTTGTTTTAAATGAATTAAGTATTTCCCTGTTGATCAGCAGAGATAGTTCCTTTCCTTAACCTCCCTCAGTGATGAGACCCGGACTTCCTACCTGCTCCAGGGGGTGGAGAGCGCCTGGGACAGCGTGGGTCGACGTAAACCACAGAGTCAGATTCATCCAAAGACAACAGCAGCACATTGGGGAGCAGCTGGTGGAGCTGCTGCTTCTGCTTCAGCAGGATTCAAACCTCAGGAGGTCAGAGAGGCAGAAGGAGGGCGAGACAGTCCGAGGGGAGCAGAGGCCATGGTGGATGTTCCTCAAAAAGGAAACAATGTGAGTTTTGGGATAATTGGAGCTCATTATGAGGAGGTTAGAACAGCTCAGTGTCCTTGACTCTTCATCACAGGGTTTAATGTTTGACTCTAATAAATGATAACTTTCCAAATGAATTGAACTGTTGATCTTTTTGCCATTATCTGACAAAGAAAAGCCTCAACTGGGAAATTTATTATTATTTTTTTGTTTTGATTTAAGGATACTCAATTCATTTCCTGTTTATCCTGTTATCTACGGTAACTGCAGCTGCTCTAACATTTGAACAGCTAAATAGGCGAAATAGCTGCAATATTTTGTGAAAAAGTTTATTTTCTGTAAAAGAGTTTGTAGGAAGTATAGTCAGATGACTCACTTTGACTGTTTTTTCAATCCTTGTCTGTGTGTGCTCAGGGCGCTGTGTGTTCAGTGAGCGGCGCCGAGCTGGAGTCTCTGCTGTCATGTATCCGGGATCTTCTTCCCGATCTGGGTGAAGGTTTTCTGCTGGCCTGTCTGAAGGAGTACAACTACAACTCTGAGCTGGTCATCAACAACATCCTGGAGGACCGCTTGTCTCCAAATCTGGACAAACTGGATCGAGCCATGCCACGGTAGAAAGCTAGATTTTTCTTTGTGGGTGGGGTTGGCTCTTCTAGAATCTTAGAAACCTGATGCATGAATAATTTGGAGTGAACTGGATGATATAAAAAGTGAAGCATAAAACACATCTCTCTTTTTTGTTTGTTTGTCAGGCCGCCAAAGGAGGAACCTGCGGATGTTTTAAACACCAGATCAAACGTGTTTGATGACGATGAGTTTGACGTCTTCCGCAGGGATCAGGTGGACATGTCCCGCATCTGGAAGGGCAGGAGGTGAGAGCACAAAGGAGATCAATAAAAATGTATTGATTTATTCTAGGTGTTATCTCTCTGTTTGCCACCACACTCTGAGCTCAGGTGTAAAAAATCTCCTTGTTGGTTCTTTTGCAGGAAAGGTGAAAACGTCAGAGAAATGTTGAATGACAAGCAGCACATAGAGGAGCAGAAAGCTCGTTATCAGGCCTACGAGACAGTGGTGGACGAGGTCGTCATCCCGCCTGGTGAGAGCGCAGCCGCCTACGGGTTAGATGACTATGACGACGAGTACGATGACACGTACGACATGAACCAAGTGGGAGCGAATGACCTGGATGGAGACAGTCTGCTGAACAGACGGTAAAAATGAGACATTACTCTTTTGGGGTTTGTTCTTCCCTTCTGAACTTTGCACTTTCAGATTTTTGACTTTTTTCTCTGGAGATAAACGTGTCACTCTTTTTTTTTTTCCTCCAGGCCTTTTACAATCCCTCAGGTGCTGAGGAAAGGAAACAAACAAGAGGAGGAGGAGGAAGAAGAGGAGGACGAGGAAGAGGCAATACCGGTACTGACATCAGTCTGAATCAGCAGATCAGACTTAACAGGAAAAATAATCAACTTGCATTTTTACCATTTTTGAAGTTATGAAAAGAGTTTACTCTGAAGTTTTACCCTCAAATCTTCCTCTGCATATAAAAAAAACTATTTTTAGCACACTGGTATATTTATACATGACCTCAAAGTACTATTGTTGACAGTACAAGTGCTGTTTTTACATACCTAAACTTGTTTTTTGTAGTCATACAACAACATCCAATAATTTAAACATATGGCAGTAATGAAAATGATAATTAAAATATGAATAATACAGAAGAGGTAAATAAATAAAATGTCCAAATAAAATAAATAATAAAAAAGATAAATGAAACCAACCAACAAATTACTGAGCAATAAATAAATGCATAAATAAAAAAAAAAGAATAATAATTATCCCTTAACTTGTTTTATAAATAATCAGAAATTATAAAAACGTAAGAAATACCATCTACAAGCTCTAGATAGCTCTAGATATGCGAACGGTCCAAATGTTGTCAGAATTATGTCAAGCTTTTAAATACGTATGTTAATCTCAGATGTGCGGAATTACTAAAGGTTTACTCAGTATTTCAGGTAGTATCAATGTTACTGTTTATTTTTGCATAAAGATACTGTTAAATAGTGTGTTACAGTATTAAATAGAGAGTCCGTTTATTAAATGTTCATTCGTTGTCTTGCAGAACAACGTGAACAGGGACCAGTTTGTGCAGGATCCAGCTCTGTTGAGAGAAAGAGCTGAAGCCAGAAGAGCTGCCATGCAACAAAGGAAAGGGTAAGAGCCACCTTCACTCTGTTCAGTGCGGTTTCACATGATTCTCTGTGATTTCCTCCTTTTGTCTCACTCTGAATGGATTCATCGAGTCTGATTAAAGTGAGGGATTTGCTTTTTAGCTTGCAACCAAACCAGTTCATTCAAGTATTTATCTCTGATTATCAGTTTTTCAGGGAATTTATCCAAATGTAACAAAAATGAAATCAGCCTCTGTTTCAAAAATGACTCCCTGAGGGTTACAAGCTTCTCCCGAACCCCTCTCTTGACCTCCAGGTACAAACCTGAGCGTACCAGTAACGTGGTGGGCCAGCCCAAAGGCCAAGGACAAACCCTGGAGACATTCCTGGACCGGCGCAAGAAGGAGGCCAACAAGAGCCGTGTGTCGAACCACAACCGCCGCACCATGGCCGACCGCAAGAGGAACAAAGGCATGATCCCCTCCTGACCTGAGTGACGAACAGCTGCTCTAAACCAAAACAGACTGACGGTAGGAGGGAGGAAGGGAAAGTAGGAAGGTGTGGGTCAGTGAGAGGAAAGAAAGACGGAGCTGGAGTTATTTGTCCTAACTATCTCACTCTTTCCACAGGGATGCCATCCCTCCTCAGAAAAGAAATCTTCAGGTTTCAGTCGGTGTTCAAAAGTTGAATCAGTTATCAGCCTATTTTGGCGTTTTGTGAAGTTGCCAGCAGCCTGTGAGAAAGTTTGAGACTGAACATCTAGTTTTATTGTTTGAGCCTAAAAGCTGTTTAAGTCTTCGGCTCCAGTAATTTTCTTTTGAAGCAAAGTAAGAAAAACCAAAAGTCCTGAGTGAGATTCAGCGACTGAGGACAAAGAATAACACCTTTTATTTTGCCAAGTAACAAATCACTTTATTATCAAGATCCAGAGTGATCGGAGAGGTTTCTTTGACATCATCATCTTTAAATAGACACATAGGAATAAAAGGAAGAGAAATCCAGCGTTTCAACAGAGTCTGAGGTTTCTCACGTAGCTGGAAGATCAATTACTGACCTGGTGATCAACTCTGAGTAACGCTCTTTCTGCTCATCCTGGACGAGTAGCTTATGTGAAGGCTGCCTTGCATGTAACGTTCAAGTGCATGCATGCGATGTCATTCACCAGATTCAGCCTCATGAAAACAAAACGAGTCGAGAGAGAGAAATACGACTCTTATCTCATATTGATGATGCCACTGTGCTCGTGTATGGAAGCACGTGCTGAAGAGGAGGGAGAGCTTCCTCCTCCTCCTCCATGTTCCCATGCACACACACACTATTTTCTATGAAGAGAACACGTCTATCAGAGCATTTTGTAACAAAAACAAATACACTTGTAATTGCTTTTTGGAGTTGACATTGCAAAAAGAACATAAATAAATATGTTTTGACATCTTTTGAGTTTGAGTCTTTGCTGACAGTGTCAATAGATTATGACTTTCTCCTTTCTAAGTACAACGTGAGGTATAAAACTCTTAAAACTGATGTTTGACATTTAAGAGGACGTTTTTGTCAAGGTTGAGTTAAGAAGATGGAGACTGCTTTCATGTCCTTTTCCAGTTTTCTACTTATCAAACCTTTTAGAGAAGAATCAGACAAAACATGTTTGAAGAAAGATCAAAATTAAACCCAGCTTTGGCCACAAACTCTACAAAACATACATGTCAAACATCTAACCCACTATGAAAAATACAACTACAATAGCTACTGTAACCCACACATTTCAAGTTTAAGTTTAAGTCAAGAAATGTGTGTGTGGTTGGGGTATTTCTGATGGTTTTGTCGTAAGGCATATTGAGGACAAAGTGCAAACACTTTTTACCGTCTGCTTCAAACATTAGACAACTACACAACCTGTACAGCTGACACTGAACAGCAAAAATATGAGCTGGACACCAGATCTCTCACATTAAGACTCTGAAGTCCACTTTAAAGGCACTGTGAGGAGTTTTCAATCAGCTGAGAAACAAACTGTAACGTCCACTGTGATTTTATGACCTTCAAGAGCAAACACTGATAAACTCTGATCAGAGGCTGAAGAGCAAACATTCATAATGAGTGATAAATTTCACTGTTCAAAGACAACAGGAAGAACTTTCACACGAGCAAAAACAGAGGTAAGAGGTATCTTTTTGTCCACAGGGGGTGCCATTACCTACACAAACAAAAAGTTCCTCACAGCAGCTTTAAAGTGGCTTTCTTTGACATCATTTGGACCTAAAGTGAACATTGAATCCGGCCTGTCAATCACGCTGCTGTCATTAAAACCATAAAGCTTTAAATCGTCATGCAGAGACGACTGACCTGCAAATACTGGCTCAGGTTTATCAGAGTTTAAAGCCAAACATACTGTTGCTCCACTCTGCAATAAAACACGTAGCGAAGAGCCACACTGAGAACAAACACCCTCATGAGTCACATCTTCACTGCAGACGAACATGTACAAACAGTATGTCAACAAGTGTACAGTAACATGATCCCAGGAAGAAGTACTGTTTACACACAACAGTACAAGTACAGTATTTCATAGTACTGTGTTCGTACTACCGCTGTATGTCCCACCAAAGGGTCAGAGGTCTAAAACCAGACTGATCAACAGTCCAGACGACTGTGCTGCTGTGAAAAGTCTGTATTTGCTCCCAGAGTCCCAGACGGAGGAAGTGGTGGAGGAGGAGGTGTGAGGTCTGATTGAAAAAGGCTACTGGAGTGTCACAGAGGAAGAGACGGGCCCAGAGCTGCTGCTGCTGCTGCTGCTGCTCCTCAGTATGAATCCTAGGTGGGGCAATCATTAACTGTCTTTGCAGATGCTGCCTGGAGAGAGCAGAGGAAAAAAGAAATATTTAAACGACACTTTATATATTTTTGAAGCTAAAAGGGATATTCCAGCGTAAATTTAAGCTAGACACCCCCTCAAGAGATAATTTTTGCTGACTGCTGCTTCTCTAGTTATACCAACTTTAGTAACGACTGCACAATAGCAATACACGGCAGTTTACGTCTCCATAAACAAACCTCAACCAAAAAGCCACTCTATAGCCACAAATAATGCTCAGAACAACACCTATCTTCATCAACAGTACATATAGGGTCCCAGCCATAGCTCTAGCCACCAAACATCTTTTTAGCTTTGCCTGATTTCTTCAGCAAAGGGACTAAACACAACTCACCCACTCTTTTCCAGCAGCCGCTTGTTTGTGGGGGAGCCCTGATGAGTTGATCACCAAGTGCTGTGGAGTTTCGCAGCTTAAGGAAGAACATTTATGATCATTTCTTCATGGAAATGCAATCAGACCGAGACACTAAGGCAGAAGAACTACCACGTCTGCAGTGCAAATTGATTATTATGATGGTTATTACTTCAAGGAAATGATCTGCTGCACTCGGTGATCAACTCGTCAGGGCTCCCCCAAAAACAAGTGGCTTAGTCTCTTTGCTGAAGAAGTCAGACAAAGCTAAAAAGACGTTTGGTGGCTAGTACTATGGCTGGTACGCTATACTATTGATGAAGTTAGGTGCTGTTCTGAGCATTATTTGTGGCTATAGAGTGGCGTTTTGGTTGAGGTTTGTGTGAGGCTCCTCAGACCGCTGGGTTTTGCTATCGTGCGGTCATTACTAAAGTTGGTATAACAAGAGGAGCAAGCAGTCGGAAACATTCATCTTTTGAAGGGGTGTCTAACTCAGTGTTACCGTGTGTTCAACCATAACTTTAAATTACGTCAGAATATCCCTTTAAAGCAAAAAGGTAACAAGGAGAGAAGGAGAGTCAATGTTGTTGTGAGATGGCTCCTGATGCTGTGTTGTGAACTCACTGAGGATGCTGCGTTTGCACAGAGGACAGGTGTGCTGCAGTAGCAGCCAGGGGTCCACGCACTCTCTGTGGTACTCATGAAGACACGGCAGCACCCGCAGACACTGAGGAGACAACGACACATGATGCTGACAGAAAATCTGACATCACTGCTGAATCACCTGTTCTGTAGAGTCTGTGGAGCTTTTTACGAACAGAAAACAAAACAAAAGCAGAGAAAAACTGATCGACCAGGCTTCTTACTTTGCCTGATAGGAAATATAGACAGATCTGAGACTCAGGGATTGTGGGGTCATTGGCTGACCTGGTTGTTGTTGAATGGTTCCAGACACACAGCACAGTTGTCGGTCTCTGCTGACTGGGTAGGGTCACACCAGCGTTTGGGTTGGCGATACATTTTAGTCTTTAAAGACGACATCCTCTTCAGGACATCCTGTTTGGGGTGAAGCTGTGAAGGAAAAAGCAAAGAGGTACATCATGTTACTTTCATTACCTGATATACGTATATTAGAACTAACTTCCCAGCACTGTGACTAGTCCTATAAGTCTATCAGTTACTTTGTCAAAAGTTTACCTGAAGTTCATCGTGGACCTGCTGGTCCTGGTACTGCCAGCGAGCCTGAACGATGACTCCTGTGCAGAGGATGAGAGCCACCAGGAGGACCGTATCCCACAGCTGCTGCAGGTACTTCTACACAAACATTCACGCATAAGCAGAGAAGAAATCATATTTTCTTATCATCGTGGTTCATGTAAATAAAGTGTCATTCTTTTGTCAATCTCCAGTACTACCTTGCATCAGCTTCTTAAGAAACTTAACAATGGTGCTGTTGGGAAGTTTGTTCTGCACCCCTACCTGGACCTGAGAGTTGGTCTCTCCTGTGCAGATGACCCCCTGCCACTCTCCGTACCGTCCTCCTCTCGACCGCCCGCAGCTGGACCACAGTGTGAGCGTGGCTCCCTGCCCGAACACACAGCAGCATGTTCTGTGTCAGCCTGTCATCTGTTCACTCGCCGCTAGAGGGCGCTAATAACTCAGATACACTGACAGCTGAAAGAGTGAGGGGCTCACCAGGTTGTCCTGCAGAATCGTCTTGTAAGTGATTTTTGCTGTCACTTGAAGACCCCTGTAGAAAGAAAGAAAGTGAGACCGCTGGCTACCCTGCTAAGTTGAGCGAGATAGCTCCAAGGCTATCTCGCTCAGTTGAACTGCTTCGTAGAATAGGCCCCTGATCACAGTAAAGACACCATAAACAGATAAACTGTGTAAACTACAGTTGATGGACAGGTCAGAGATAAAGAGGGCTGGTGTAAATCAGGCTAGTCAAGATTGAGCCCTGTAAAACTTTACATAGCTTCAAACTGAGGAACAGGTGATATAACCTACCTAGCATGGAAAAAAAAACATTTTACTGTTTTGATTTAATATGATTGTTTGTCAACCATACCATTTACAAACACCAATCCATTTTACACCCTTTTAGTCGTTTCTATAGAAGATAATTATGTATTCTGTACCTGAGCAGAGCTCCGATCAGCTTTGTGACATTTTCAGAAGTCTGGATCACAATAATGGGCTTGGACAGCACCTGAGACAGATCCATCTATCGCAGAAAGAGGAAGATATTTCCAATTCAGACACTTTGAACACCATATTGAATTTTTTGAAAAACAAAAGTCCAGGTTGCAAACACCATTTACTCTGTGAAGGTTTACCTCACTGACTGTGTTTTGGTTGAGAGCCAGAATGATGAGGGCAGATGCTCCAAGGACCAATGCTCGCTTCATCTTTAACAAAGAGGATAACATTACTATATTTGCTTGAAGATATCCATAATGTTACAAAATATTTGCAAATTCAGGGCAACATAAACTTCTCACTTTATTGACCATTGCATCAGCAAAAGACTCCTGGTTTCCTGTGGAGGGTTTGCTGTCGTCCATCTCCACAGGTACCAGTCCAATCCACGGCTCCTGCTCTTTGGTGTCATCCTCATCTTTTCCTCTGCTCACTTGTGTCTCCTCATCCTGAACCTGCGGACAGAAAACAGGGCAGAGAGAGAAATGTGGGCAGGCTTTAAGTTTATACTTTAATTACCATGAAGTGAGCTGTGAGAGGGTCTAAACATGCACCAACAGCTCAAGTCTTTCCAGCGCATGCAATAATGAAGCGCCGCTGTTTACTGGGCTTTTTATCTGTGGCTGCAACGGGATTTTTGCACTTTTTCCTACAACTTCTTTATAAACTCAAACCAAACTGTCTCAGCTCATTCCACAAAGGACTTTGCATATTTCAATGAGACAAATGTCAAACCACATTCTGCACATATTACATGACAGAGCTCAATAATGAAAGACCCCAAGTGCTAAACTGGCCTGCCTACAGTCCTGAAAATAATTTGCTACAGAGCAAAATATAAAATACAGCAAAGGGTACCCTGAATTAGTAAGCAGCTGAAATCCTTTATCAAACAACAATGCGACAACATTTCACTCTTAACACCCCGGAAACTGCTGTCTTCTGGTCCAAATCCTTTACATTGTTTTTTTTTTTTTTTTTTTTTTTTTCTCCAAGATGTTATGCAACACGATTGTGAACACGCCTCTCTCCCCAGCTTTTCCACAAATGTGTTGCTGGGATCAAACTTTCAGGTATATTTTATTAAAACATTAACAGTTTTCAGTTTCAATATTTAAAATGAGTCTTTCTGATATTTTAAAGAAATTAGAGTGTAAATAACTTTCAAAACAATCACACAGTTTTACAGCTGCAGAAATGTCTCTTCATGCATGAGATATTTGCCTTTTTTGATATTTATTCATTTTCATTTTTGATCACATTTTGATTATTTGATCAAACTTTGCAGTTAGTTAAGGTGTATTAGATACTGTAGAGGACAGTACTAAGGTTATTAATTTTGGCTCTGGCAGATATTTTTGAGACATTTGCTTTTTCTTAATTGTCTTTTAATCAAAAACACTTGTGAGTGGCCATAAGCAGTCTTCAGATTATTAAAGGTCCACACCGGGTTTCGCCTAATATTACACCTTTGATACACTCACCAGGACCAGCTCCCCCTCCAGCTCCTCTTGCTCGTCGTCTCGGTGCTCGGAGCTCCTGCTTCCCCCGCTGGCCTCCACCAGCTCCCCCTCGAACAAAGCGCTGACATCGGGCCGCTGCTCCAGAAAAACCTCCACCACAGCGACCTGCTCCGCCGTGACCAGCAGCCCTGGACACCGCAGCAGCAGCAGCAGAAGGGGGAGAAGCGGCAACGACAACCATAGACGGGACCCGCTTCGAGATGAAGCCATGGCCGAAGAGATAGCAGGGAGCAGATACATTAAAATACTGTTAAAAAATACATTTAAAAAAACAGCTGTTACCCGTCATTTTGGAAGAGCTTCCAGTGTTTTTTCCACCAGTTAGCTTAATCCAAGAATGTAAACAAGCCAATGCAACTTCCGGCTGTGACCGGAAACATTGTACGGATGATTACCTGCTCACAAATCTGTCAGTGTTTGGGCAGCAGTAAGCTCTGAAGAAATTATTTTTAATACTTTTTTTTTCGTTAATTGTGTGCCACTGTGAGACTTTTAGAGACAAACTTCATTCAATTTGCTGCTCCGCCTCGGGCTGTTATTTAACCGTTGACTCTGTACATCCAAAGAGGATTCTAAAGAACTAAAATTCGCCCAGCCCCGCACTTCCTTCTTCTTCACCTTACCGTTGACGTAGATCGTATGTTAAAGCAGCTGAGGTGGTACTTTCAGACCGGTGTTTCACTTCTGCCAAAAAGGAAGAAAAAACGTCAGCCAGATCTATTCACCAGGTAGATTCTCAAAATGGAAACGCTAATTTAATACGCCTGCTGTTGTGCATCGCAGTAGAATTATTTTGATAGAGAGATCCAACTATTTGTTATGTATCAATCAAATCTTACATGGTAATTGGTGAATTAAACAGGTAAAACACGGAAACAAATTTTAACATGCTGTTGCTTTTTGTTGTATTTGCGCATGCGCGAGATTTGGGGATTAATAACTAATAAAGCGCTAATTTAACTGGATATTGATGAGTCATTGGGTTAAAATTAACTCTTAAAATTGCCTGTAACACCCTCAACCGTAATCAATCCAGATATATTTGATGGGGAAAGACGTACTGGAAGGAAAGTCCAATCATTAATTAAACTCAGACACTTTCACAAAAAAAGCAGACCTTGGTGAGAACGACCGGTTTAATATGGAGTCGAGTAATAAGGGCTCTGACCCAGCAGAAAACTTTACATAAGGCCGCCGTAGGCTCATTTGATATTTGGTTGTTTGTATTTAGATCGTAATGTTGGATAATTCAGTCGATTGATACCTAAGATTATCATGTGTTTGTGAAAAAGTTGCTTTCATGAGAAAAATGGTGCCCCCCAAACGCCCTCAATACTTAATTCAGTTTAAGTATAAGGGGAAAAAACTCATAAAGATACAGGTTGGAGTGATTGATGAAACTTAATTTACTGAATTTCACTATTTTTTTCATTAGTTGGCAACCACAATTTAACAGGCAAACCTCAAGAAAAAGAACATTTTTTTACACCATAATGGCAAGCTGTTCTAATTCAATTATCCAGTAAATATTATGGGTTTGTTTATTTATTGATTGATTGATTTATTATTTTTAATGTATTTAACTTAGACTGTATATAGTACGTGTATGGGCTATAATATTGAGCCATTACTGGTTATAGCTTACAGAAAAGAAAAAAAAATCAAAGAAAAGAAATCGTGGTGAAATTAGCCCGGGGAGAAGGCGGGGCGTTCTCTCTGTTTGGTTCCGCCTTTTAATCACGAGTAAGCCTCTTCTCATTTGTCCCATCTTTGGCCGAGTCAGCTGGTTGGACGGTGCCTGTAAGAGGCGGTGGGATTTTCGTGTTTACATATTTCATCCTTCTGGCCGCCCTTCCACCTGCAGGCAACGGACAGCGAGGATAACGAAGGACTGAAGCCAGGGGGCAAGTGAGCATCGCCGGGGAGACAGAAAGCCGGTTGTGACGGTGAAGAGTGACGGTGCTGTTTCTTCGTCTGTCCGCCAATTCTACTTTAAGCAGCTCCTTGAGTGTCTGATCATCACCTGGTGTCAGAGATGAGTGGAAGAGTGGGAGACCTTAGCCCCAAACAGGCTGAAGCTCTGGAACAGGTACATTTGACTGGAATACTAGTACATTTTGAAGGCTTCTTCCGTATAGATCTCATCTGTTACGTAATAATCCGCATAATCTGCCCTCTTAGAAGACACCGGTAATAATTGCTTTATAAAATGGGAAACTTGATTTAAAATATTAAAAGAATCAGTATTAGACTATGTGAAGGATTAATTTTGCAAAAAAGACTAAAATTAGACTGTTATTCAGTGGTGTGAAGTCCTCAGAGTAATGATCATATATTTTGAGGAACGCACTTTAAGTATTTTCATTGCTGCAAATATACACTGAGTTTTTACTATGTATTTGACAACTTTAGTTACTTCTACTTTAGCTTTGCAATCTAAGAAACAGACATAAAGATGTAGGCCTACATTTTTTACTCTTTTGTGGTAATAAAACGTAGGTGATGCTTAGATGATAATCCACAGCCTCCTCAGCAGTATTTAATAAAAAGCTGCAGTGAACATCAATTCTTTTTAAATTGGCTCTGCCTCCTATAATGTGAAACTGTTTAATGTCTTGAATCAGTCTAGAAGGCTTAGTACAACTGTAGTATCAAAGCAGTTTAAAATGAGACATTAAGCCTAATAAATGTTTTCAATTTTCCTATTTTAGAGCTCATGTGAGGAGTTTTTAGCTAGGTATGAAACAGATGAAAATGATACTGATTTGTGTTTATGACCCACAAAAACAAAAAAGACCCCCAGTAACTACATCCATAATTTGTAAGTAGTTATTTTTGAGTGGAGTCAGTGTCTGCTGAGCATGCTGCACAACAAATACTTTATAGATCATATAATTAGCAGTGGGAGCTCACAGAAAGGTGCCAAGTCCTGATAAGTGATATATTTGACTGTTACAATTAAGACAGATGAGATTTTTGTCTTAAAATATCACTCACATGTACCAGAATTGATAGGCAAAGAGACTAGAAGTAACTGTTGATGGCACATGGCGAAGCTAAAACTGATACTAACCAGCCGCTTAAATGTACCATATTTTTACAGTGTTTTCCCTGAATTATATCTGTAAACAGTGAAATCGTCTCATATTCAGGGTTTAGACCCTCTGGGATCAGTCCTGTCATACACAATGTAGTGGTGTTGTGTTTATAATATCAGCCCAAAAAATTGATCAGTCTCACATAGGAACAAACTGTAAAATCCACTCGCATTATGAGAATGCCATGTGTTTCTTCAACATCCAGGGGAATCTCCCAAAGAGAAGATCGATATGTTTTTCACAAACTGCCCAGATCCAGTCCCTTAAAAATGATGGTTATCTGTGGAGACTTGTATATTAATTTCAGATACTGTTATTTCTGTTTTTGGCTGGCTATGCTCCATATCTGTACAGATACAGCCTTAATATAAAAGCTGTATCTGCTGTCAGCTGACCACTAAGAAGCCAGTGTAGCCTAAGACAACATGACCTGCTTATAGCACAGATACAAAACAAATTAGCCCTCTGTTTGACAAGGATTCATCCTACTCTCCTTTTCATTTCTTATAGATGTGTATAGACAACAAAGAGCTCTGCATAACTAGATTTGGTCTTCAAATTGTGCTCAATGATACAAACTGATATTCAGATTGACCACAGCTCTTTGTTATCTATTCACATAGCTTGTCTGACCAACAGTCCAGACCCTCAAAACATCAGTTTTTCTATCAGACAAAATCCAGAAAAGCTGCAAAGCCTGACACATGACCAGCTGGAGCCAGTCAGCTTTTACTTGATAAAACATACAACAATTTATGACCCATATGTGGTCTATAAAACATTATCAAATTTGTTTCACTAAAAGTAAAGTTACTTTATAAAAACAATTAAACTCTAAGAAGGGTTCTTGGAAATAAATATCACAGATTTCCACTGAGAAGTCAGGGGACATAGCATGATGAGATCATGTTTTTCATGTCTGGTACAATAAGGCTAAAGTATTCATATTTCAGAGTAGTTCTGCATTGCTATTATCCGAAAATAGAAAAAAATTTAATGGTCCTTATTCTTGAAAAAAATGCTCAGAGCTCTTGCTCAAAAGACACCATGAAAAGTCAAGTCTCTTTGTAAAATTTTGTGTCTTTTTTTGCTGTTTTGTGGTTGTATTTTAAAAATGCAAACACACCCTATTCCCGACACTTTGCTGTAATATGAGAACCTGTTTTTCACAGTACAGAGATTCAGTCCTTTCAAAGGGATCAAGTAAAGATATCCTCACTTCTTTGGCGGTGCTTTGTAGTTCCTCCCACATCACTGCCTCTATGCAGACTTATGAATAGGTTTGCTGTGATTCATTGTCATACTAGGGTTATTATAAGTTAAGGGAACTCTGAAAGCCGCCCATTTAAATAAAGGGGGGGAAACGTGAGATGAACATATTGTAGTGTTTGTAGCTGGTTTGGCTTGCAGAGTCATACTGAAGGAAACCAGTATGGGAGTGATGTGAGACCATTTGTTGGACTAATAGAGTGCCCTTGCATTGATTTCTAATGATTGAGAGCAGACATGCTAATGGAGATGAAGAGAGCATTACAGTGATCAATGGAGATTAAGACAAGGGCGTGTATGACCATTTTTAGGTCCGTACTGTGCCACAGACTTTGAGCTTGTCCCTCTTTTATTTTGCACCTGTGCTTAGAGTCATTAAGAAAATGGTTTTTTAAGTTAAGTGTCAAGAACAGTACACAGAGTTGCAACACCTCAGAGCTGTTGACCCTGACCAGAAGCAAACATGTCACCAGGATCTGAAACAAAAGCAAACATCTTAACTCAGATCCATTATTTTGCCATTATTTTGTTTGAGGCAAAGATGGGCTGTAAGGATGCTGGTTTGCAAACTTCCTATTCTCAAACATTTAATTTGATTCCTTTGAGTTTTGACTCTTTTCCAACAAAACAAGCTGCCCAAACATGTTGATCTGAGTTGGGCAAATAAGTCACTCCATTTTTTTTAATATCAAAAAGCCCAACATGATCTCTTAGCATAGCAGCCCTAATACTCAGGAATCCTCATCCTTTGGGCCATGTACTGTGAAGGTAACCTTAGACGTGGGCTGTTTTGTTGACTGTTTTACCTTGCCCTAAGTTTTCAAGTCATCTGTTATTGAACACCAGAGGCCTGTAAAATGATTAGTCACCCAGTCTTATATTTTAGCAAACCTGCTTTTGTGTTAAACAAAGAACTACACTGTGTTTCGTGTCTGTTTTGTAACTCTAGGGTCAAAACTGCAGGCGGAAAATTCAGCGAATCATTTCCCTGAATCTCTTCTATAAGTTTTGAATCCTTGTTTTTGACTCATAAGCATCAAATCAATTACTTCTTCTTGTCCTTTTTTTTCTGATCGCAGTTTCGAGAGAGGATACAAGACATTCTTCCTCTGCTTCCTGCTCAGCATGACCACTTCTTGTTACGCTGGCTCAGAGGTGAGATTTCCCCTGACCACAGCTCGCCATGCAGAAAACAACAAACACTTCTCAAAATATCTGTGTTCTTCATGGTAAATTTGCGCTTATTTGCCTCGTAATTGCCTGTATTCACAGGGGAAAATCTCTCGCTGTTGTTTTAACGTGAAAAAAACAGAAGCTGCAGTGGTTTATTAGAGGACATGGTGAAACTCATGTAAGCAGCCCCGTTTGCAGTGGTTGAGAAAGAGTCTCACATGGTTTAAAGCGTGAACACAAACCACAACTGAAACCCAAGCTAGCTCTGTGACAGATTACTCAGCAGTCCCGCTAAAAAAGGAGAAATTAGAGGTGATTTGGTGATGACTCATTCTGTAATGCTGATTTGATCTGTCTGAAACAACTCCTGATAAACCTTACACTTTTTCTGTAGTCCTCTGTAAGCATCAATGTTGGTTATAAACTGAACACCTTATCATCACAGTTCCATAAGACTCCACAGTGAGAACTCACCATGATTACAATGTTGAAAGTTAGTTGACAACAGGGCAACATGTGGACATGTAAGTCATTTCCCCAAAAGTTTAGGGGAATATGTTTTTCTAGTCCTGAAATGTTTGTGCAGGTGACCTTCAGGGCCACCGTAACTGGCCCAGTCAGCGGCGGGCTGCAGTAGACAATGTCAGCTGATTGATTTCCAGTAAAGGAAAAAGTTTTTGAAAATTAAGTTTGAGTTAATGTGTCAGTTTTCCATAGCGATAAAATCCGTGACAGTCAGGCTCTGGGGAAAATAAGAAACACAGATAAAAGGAGGCTTTGTGCTGATGAGTAGTGCAGTAGAGGTCTAGCACGCTGTGTATCAGGCTAATCCAGGATAATCTCATTAAAGGAGCACTACGCAGGACAGCAGACAGTCTGCCAGGAGACACTCTTCTGCTGTGCTCCTGTTCCCAGACTCCTTCCAGATTCCCTCAAGAAGAGTTTTATGAATGGTTTCAGAGTGACAGTGAGAGCTTGCAGTTATCTATAGACCCCACAGGATAAGAGTGGGTCTTCATTGTGCTGTGATGGACATTGTTTTATTATTTACAGGGAACTTACATTGGTCCACTTTGAGCAAGCCTTTCGCAATATTTGGCAACGTTTACGAGAAAAATCTTCCCTCCAACAGGTAGAAACAAAGACTCGTATTGTCTTGCAGAGCTGAATGAGCTGATAAAAATTAGTGAATAGGAGCTGATGGCACCTCTCAGACTGTTTGAGGACATCAGTGTAGGTGAGGCTCTGCAAGTCCAAAGGGTGGATGTAAGGATTCAACTCAAGTGTTGCTTATCACATTTTATGACCGAAAGTTTGTGCCCTGAATTAAACAAGATGCAGCTTTCTCTGTGTTGAAGCGTGACTGATATAGTTAGACTCTGCTCCGTGCATATGATAGAAGACGCCTTGTACTGGAGGTTAAAGACCCTCTTCTTCTAAACAGAAACCACCAAGCAGATGTTTTCTCAGTTTGCCCTAAAGATAACTTTCCCTCCAATGTATTTCTGAGAAACTCTCACTCAAGAGACAAGAGCAAGTGAAAGTGACACCTCTTTATAAGAGGTCATTTATAGTCATCTGGATGTTGAGCTCAGTGAAACAGGTCTTGTGTGACAGCAGCTCTTGCTTCGTATACTCAGAAGACAAATTTTAGACTTAAGGCATGTTTCAGTTGTGTAAGCTACCAGTGAGGCACAAGCTATCACAAGGTGTAACTGGTCTTTCTCTGACCTCTGGTGCGGTTATAAAACTGCATAAGGGTTGGGTGAGATATGGACGCTTGTGTGAGGGTACTATAATGGATGCAATTAGGTATATCTCAATGGGCCCTCTTTGTACCATGCACCATTACCCCATCTTGAGATAACACTGTTACAGCCCTCTGATTCCCAGAAACAAAGACGTGTCACCTCTGCATCTCTTTGTATGTTTTAACCCTATCTATGGTGTACCTCAAGGTTCTATTCTCAGCCCACTTTAGTTCTCCATTCACATGCTGCCTTTCAGCCAGACCATCCAGAAACATGGAGACTCTTTTCATTCATGTGCAGATGACACACACATGATGAACATATACCTCCATTACAATAATACTGACAGTCTTGGTCATTCATTCAATTGCCTCAGTGACATTAAATGAAGGATGTCACATACTGTAACTTTCTAAAAAACAACCAAGACAAACCAAAGTCATATCTTTTGGTCATTCACGCTTTTCTTTTTTCTTGTTTTAATCAATGTAATGCAACAATTGAGTGTAGTAATTATTGATTTATTTAGTGGCCTGTAAAGCTACCAAAGGAAACATGTTTGTGATAAAACACTGGGATTTCTGACCATCTTTCTTTGTCTGCCATTTATGTAAGTAGTAATTATAGAGTTACAGCGAGGAAAGACACCATAACCATTCATTGAGGTTGTCTCTTAAAGCATAACACTTATTATGTCTTAATTTCTACTACAAGGCCTGGTCATTTTCCAGAGTCTGTTTTTGTAATGCTAACTCAGTATGCCTTCGATGTCCCAGTTTAAGGTGCCAAGTTGTTGCATTTGGTACAGTGAGTGTAATTCTCTGCTTTCATGGCAGCAGCTCTGTTGTTGTTGTTTTTTTACAGCACTGTCTGCTGTGGAGCTTATTGCTTTGGACAGAGAATCAGTCAGTAGAATGGGTGTCTGTTTTGGATGTTTCCAGAGGCCATCTATTAACATTATTGAAGATTCAGCTATGAAAGTCTTTTCTAAAGATAGTCTCACCGTGTAATTTGTGGTTGGTCTGGGTGCGTTTCTTAGAACCTTATAAATGTTACCTTTCATTTTTATAAAATACATTTGGTTTATTACTGATTGTTTCTAGATTCATCTTTCTTGTTTGGATCTGGTTTTTTTTTTTTGGTCAGTGGTTCAGTAGCAGTATAAAACAGAAAATCAAGTCCAGCTCAAAGACCTGTAGTGTCTTAGTCACCCACTTGTAGAACCTCAGCAGTATCCTCCATGTAGAAAACAGCAGTTCCTTGAGAGTCCACTACAGGCTGGCACAAAAAGTAAAGTAATCCCCAATACTGTCTGTATAAAAAGGCATTTTAACAGCAGAATTGGTATGTTCAAAGTCTGGAACCAACATTGGTTTTGGTCTACAAACAAACAACACGATGATGACTATCAAAATGCTAGACTCAAGGGTCCAAAAGGTAGTCAGAAAAAGCACTTTTAATGTACAGTTTATAGCTGGAAAATCAACACTTAACTAGAGCGCTTAAAGACAAAACAGCAAGACAGGACAGCTTGAACCTTGAAGGTGTGCTTCCTCCAGATCATGCCCCTAATTGTTTAATTCAAGTGTTTCTGGGATTTCCTCCATTAAGCTGTTCTGGGTCAAAGGTCAGATGTTTCCAGCCGCTCCTATACCTGATTGATAACACCATCAACTTCTTTTAGCTCTTAAAAGGATTTAAATATTCACTTTTAGCACAACTTATCACAAACATGCTTGCATACATTTTTAATATGATTGTTAGTGATACAGTGGTCTGAAATGACGTCTCAAATCAGTCAAAGTATAAAATAGGTTTGCTTTTTTTACACAGCTATTTTTGGCTGCATTATACAACTTAAAACATACACCCCTCTTTTGTCTATTTTGTTTCCATCCATGTCTCTCTCTCTCTTCTTCACAGTTAGATCACTGACCTATTATCATCACTCTTGGATATCTGTATTTACCCATCTTTTTCCTCTCTCACTTTTTTCAGCCAGAAACTTTAACGTCCAGAAGTCTGAGGCTATGGTGCGAAAGGTAACACCTTGAACTTCTCTGTGTGGTAGAAAAGGAACGTTTTATACCCTCTGCATGTGTGTACGAAATCACGCACATCTGAAACTCATCAGCAGTGCCTTTTTTCCTCCAAGTTGGTGTTGCGTAAAAGTTCAGTTAGCAGCAGCACAGACTGTTCATCTGCAGATTAGAGCGGAGCTGTGTGGTAACCGTTTACTGTAAGTCATCGCTGCAGCCTGAGGAGATAAGATATGGATGACAGAGATTAAATGAGTATTGTAGCAGACAGAGTTGTACAGTAAATGAAACTAAATATATATAGACAATGATTCTTGTCCACTAGGAAGCAGATAAGGACACATCATCCACTATTTATTAACGCCCTTTATTGTTTGTGCTCTTCCAAATCATCATTAAAAAACCCATCCTGTTCCACTAATATCTTGGCTCCTTAGGAGAGGTTCTGATTGTTCAAACAATCAGTATCAGTATCTGCCCTGGAAAACCAATAGACGTTGACCAGTTATGTTATTTTTAAAAATTTTTCAACAGGAGTATTGCTGTTGACTTGCCCTCTACTTTTTTACTTTGCAATGTCATGATAAAAAAAACCCACCACAACAAATTGCTTGTAAATGCAACCCTTCTATTTACTTGGAACAGACTTCTATGAATCTATGTTACCCTAAACTTAACTTAACTTAACTTAACCCAATTAAACTAAACTAAATTCAACTAAACTAAACCAAATTAAACTAAACAAAATTAGATTAAAATAACTAAACCTTCAACACAGTTAGATTGTCAAGGTACCTTTACTATTTTTTTCAGTGTTTTTTTACGATAAGTAATTATTGGCTTAAAATCATCTCTTAGTTTTTAAATGTACCGCCAGGGTGGCACAGTTAATCACAATATCATAGTCATCATAATATCAGCATTTGCAAAAGACACATTAAAAATCCTAATTTATCACAAGCATAGGGGAAATTTGATGTATGTTATCAGACAGTGTGCACATTCTTACCATTGTGGATGCAGTCCTGTTGAATGACCATGTTTTTATAACATTTTGATGCAGTAACAGTTAGATGAAGCTTGAACAACCTTTGGCCACCTGTAGAGTAATCCTGGTGACAAATTTGTACACTTTTATTTTTGATTATTCATCATACTGCATAATGTTCTGGTAGTGTTAAACAATGGGATAATACAATGCAAAGTCTTATCGTATCTTGCAGGCTGACTGGACACACCAGCCTCAGAACAAACATGCATATTCAGATACTAAAATGCTCCAACAGCCATGTGTAAATCTGCTTTCCATTGGCTGGTTTTGCTCTTGGTTGTAAGCATGTTTGCATGCACGTGTGCACTGTAGTGAGTACTGTAGTGAGTACACAGCGGTATATCATGACTGATCCTTTTCCTGCTGACTGTCAGATTTACATCAGCACCTGTCTGACACCTCCTAATCCATTTCAATCACCACATTGTGCAGGAGTGTGTCCGCAGCAGTACAAGCTGTCTATTAATGTGAGGATTAAAAAGTTGCTATGACGTGTTACAGTAACTGAACTTTGTCCTTTCTTTCAGCATGTGGAGTTCAGGAAAAACATGAAAGTTGACACGATAACCACAGATTGGCGTCCACCAGAGGTATTTAACTTTACAACCCTGCAGTATATTCAGTGATAATACAGCTGTGTTTTAACATTTAAACGACTGATGTGTGCAGGTGATAGAGAAGTACCTGTCAGGAGGCATGTGTGGTTATGACCGGGAGGGCAGTCCTATCTGGTACGATGTCATCGGACCTGTGGATCCCAAAGGCCTCTTCCTGTCTGCCTCCAAGCAAGACTTCATCAAGTCCAAGATCAGAGACTGTGAGATGCTGCACAAGGAGAGTGCTCTTCAGTCAGAGAGGGTAAAACAGCCCACACCTCAAAATATGGGACAGGCTGACACTGAAACTTTTGAAGAGGACAACTCTTGATCCTTTTGACAACTTTGTTTCATACTCCACCCGCCTAAATCACAATACTGATCCCTGAACTCGCTCACATATAGACACAGATCCACAAATCTGACAGAACTTTCACTCTGAGTGTTTTCTCAGAGATAAATAAAAACAAACAAACAAACAAGCAAACAAATATAACTTTGAGAAAGTTTTAAAACTTAATTTTGGCTCAGATTTGGGGTTGAGTATTCTTCTTCAATTTTAATATGTGGACAGGAGGAACAAAGAATTAATGACCAATGATTTAATGTAGAAACAAACCTGTAAATGGGTTACTTTATGATTTCACAGACAAAAGATTCCTGTTTTTCTGTTTTCAAACAGCTTGGGAAAAACGTGGAGTCCATCACTATGATCTACGATGTTGAAGGTCTGGGTTTGAAACACATATGGAAGCCTGCGATAGAGACGTATGGAGAGGTATCGACAGACACATTTACACTATAGACTGAACCCTCACAATACACATGAAGAAGACTAAAAGGTTCAATATATTGCATTATTTTGTGTCACCAGATCCTCCAGATGTTTGAGGAAAACTACCCAGAAGGCTTGAAAAGACTGTTTGTCATTAAAGGTAACGTGCAGTTTTTTTGTCCTCCAGTAAAAGAACAGCTGAGGTTCAGGGCGTCTTTGATTGAATTTTTCTCTTACAGCTCCCAAACTCTTTCCTGTGGCTTACAACCTCATCAAACACTTTCTGAGTGAGATCACGAGACAGAAGATCCACATCCTCGGGGGTGAGTCACCTCATATTGCTGCTTTTCATTTTAAAGGAATATTCCACACAAATATTATAAAGCTTTCTCATGTGATGACTCTTCTTAATTCTGTTGTTTGGCAGCTAACTGGCAGGACGTTTTACTGAAGTACATTGATGCAGAACAGCTGCCGGCGATCTATGGTGGCAAAATGACGGATCCTGATGGAGATCCTCGCTGTAGGACGAGGGTGAGTTAAAACCAGATACACAAACCCTTAAATTATAGGTGCTGTTTTAAGGAGGGCTGATGATGACTTGGAAGATATGAGTATCTGCTACATATCTTCCTTTGCTGGATGAGATGTTATATAAATAAAACTTAATCTGATGAGGCTCTCTACAGTCGAGTAGGTATGAGGTAGTCTAACTTAACCTGGAAAGAGATACATAAAATAAGTCCAGTCTTGTCCAAACTTGAACAATTAGGTGGGGCTCATGCAGGCTGGCTCGGGTTTAGTGTATACTCTTCTCTCTCAAATCACAGTTTTACTGTGCCTGGTGGGAATCTGACTGAATAATTATTTTAAACACAGTCTTGGATTTAAATAATTTGCATTCCTGTTTTTTTGATAGTAAATTAGTTGGAGTAAGTAAGTGTTTGGGTATGTCGGTTTTTACAAGTTAGAAATCGCATAAGGGGTCTTAAAATTTTGTCTGACCCTTGTTCAAAACTTCTCCTGGTCTCTGAGTGACAGGATGACTACAGATTCAACGAATATAAGTTTGATTCCAGCTTCATCCAACAGCCCTCCAGCAGCCCTGTGCTGAAACAGGCGACAGCTTCCTTGCTTTTGAGTATTTACGTATAAACTGACTTTGTTTTAATATCCATTTCAGACCTGCTTGGTAGTGTTATTGGTTTGCATGCGCTCATCGGCTCACAGCTTTGCATGCTGTATGACCGGTTTGCTTGTTAACATACCGCGTGCACCTGAGATGTTATGGGTTTGTATTTGACAGGCAAACCACTTTGATGCGAGCTTTCATCCCACTGGTTTTTCCTGTCTGAGAAGACATAATTTGCCCAAACAAGAACAATAATGAGTCTGACTGATCACAGAGGGTGAAATGTTAGTTTGAACACCAGGTCATAAAATGTTAATGGTGTTTGTAGCTAGGATCATGTTACAAATGAATGAACCATGTGATCACAGCTGGTCAATAACAATGAAAGGACTATTTTAGACCAGCTGTGCAAAGCAGAAAAATCAATACAGCTGCCCACACACTGAACAATCTCTCCTGCTTCACAGACGAATAAACACCGCACATAATGAGGGGCTGTTTAAGGCTGCAGATGGTATTCAGTGGGATTAGCGGGAAGTGGGAGATAGTCAGTGGAAATGAAGGAAAAAAAACGTACTGCATTTAAGGAACTCAGGTAAAACCCGTCATCATCCCTGCTGCCGTCCCACCTCGCTACGTAGAAATAGCAAAAGGCTGAAGAGAGGTTAGTACTGAGAGATGCTACAGCTTGAGTAGACACGCTTACAGATAAGACTTTACACTAACTCTGGATGTTGCTGTTTCTGTAGATAAAAAATTGGGCGAAGGACAGATGAAGAGCAGGAGGACACAAATTCATTTTGGCTGCATTCAAGATTCAAGGAATTGAGATGCTAAGCCTCAAAGTTTTATCCTTGTTTTACCTCTTCTTTTCTTTATTAGTTAGCTAGTTGTGTGTCCTTTAACCTGTACTGTAATGATATGTTACTGAATAACATAAAAAGACCTAACCTAACCTAAAAAAAGTATTGCAAAAAGGGTCATCTTTGATTATTTTACTGTGTGTGCACAAGACAAGTCATACAAAAAAGTCACATACTCTCACTTTAACAGAGGTATATTCAGTCTGTCACTGCCATCTTTATTAGCCACAGAAAATGCTTGAACAGGGGAAGCAATAGTTCAGGTAACTGTAGGATAATGTTAATTAATCACAATTACTGACAGGATAGCTGTGTGATGCTAGCAATGAGTGACATATTGCATGTTTACATGGTATTCAGGGGTTCTGCCTTTTTTTGACTGTTAGATCATAAAACTGATACCACTCTGATGTGTGTACTGTAGGACAAGGCTTAGCTCAGCACACACAGTGGAAAGCAGGTAGACAGCTAATCTGGAGGTTCATCAGAGAGGTCACCCAGCTGGAAAAAAGCAGTTTTCACACCTATGCGGATTGTTGGATGTTGGTTTTTAGTTTCCACCAGGTAGAATCAGGTTACATTTGAGTCGTGTTTTCATGTTGCATGCTAAAAAAAAACTGATCCTGTTTCTCTTTGGCCTCTGGTTTTTTGTTGTGTCGGGAGGATTCTGTAAGTTTAAATTGCAGTAATGGACTATAGCAACTTTTCCTTTTTTTCTTTCTGGTAGTATTTCTGCATCTTCTCTGTTTGTCTGTTAAAATGTCTCAATAACGGCTCTGTGGAGACCCTCAAGGTTTTAGAGAAGTGTTTTCACAAGCTCAACTTCCCCAATAGAAAAACTGTTATTGTGGACAGGTACAGGAGTCATTCCTGCATGAACACTCAGAGCCCTTTGTTCTTTGTGTGTGTATGTGTGTGTCTGTATAAACCGTGTCAGTCACCTCACTCATGCATAATGTTATTTCTCACCTGCTGAATGGAGGACACAGAATTAAAATCACCTGGCTTTTCTGAACTCTCATTTGGAAACACTACCCTCTGCTGGTTAATTTTGAGACTGCAGTTTTGTGAATTGGATATTTTGGATGATAACAAACAGAAAAGTGTTCAGGATAGAGCACTCGAAACTTTTTTTATACACACATTTTAAGTTACAAGCATTCAGACAATGTCACAGTAAGTGAGAAGTTTCTCTGCTATCTTTCACTCTCTTTCAACATTTTCACTAAATTCAATTTTGTTGCGCCTTTTTCCCCAATTCTGTTGATGTTTGTTGACTTTAGATAAACCACGTCGGACCAGTTCCTACCTCATACTACGTGCGGGACCATGTGAAGGTGGACTATGAGCAGTGCATGACTGTCAATCGAGGCTCCACTCAGCAGATGGATTATGAGATCCTGTTCCCGGGCTGCGTCTTAAGGTTAGCAAGAAACAACAGGGTAACAAATAAGCTGTAACACCAGAGACATAAATGGTTAATCAAACAAATAAAAATAAAACTTTATTTATCTATGTAAAAGTTTAATTTCAGGAAGTTGTGATTGGCATGTTATTTATTTTTAAAGACCAAATAATCCAGCTAGGCTTTAAAAAAAAAAGATAGAGTCAGGAGATATTCAAAAAGGCATCTGGAACAAAATCTTTTAAACTGCCTTCAAACCAGAAATTTCAACCCAAATGATCTTTGGTACTTAGACAGCAGAGGCAGCTTAGAAAAGGACAGCAATAATGAGGGCAGTCGTGCATTTAGCAGACATGGCATCAGGAAAAAAAGAATAAAATCAGACTAAGAAATCATATTTCTGTAATAAAATCCCTCATGGGAAGCTGTTTTTGCTCAGTTGCAGCCCCACTTGCAGAGGCTGCAGTCTTTATTAAACTGGCTGTAGGATTGACTCCTGTCCTGATAGTAATTGGTGCATGTTATCCCCCCCTCTTTACATTTTCAGTCTCTGTCCTACCTGATAAAGGCAAAGGTTTAAAAGAAATCAGTGAATCAGTGAAAGGAAATTTGGTTTGGGTCTATTTTGCTCCCTCTGGACTAAACAGTCACTCTTACCTATTTACAATACATGATCCGTGCGTCTGTACACAAAATAAAGCTAGTTTAAGTAATTCAAAGATACCTCTTATTCTGTGTAGGTGGCAGTTTGCCACTGAGGGTGCAGATATCGGTTTTGGTGTGTTCATGAAGGCTAAAAAGGGCGAGCGGAAGAAGGCTGCACAGATGGAAGAAATCCTGCCGAGTCAGAGATACAACTCCCACTTAGTGCCCGAGGACGGATCACTGACCTGTGAGCACCCGGGAGTCTGTGAGTAGCCAGATCTGGAACAGCCTGAGAGCAGACAGCTTTACGCTGTGTAATCATCCTTCAGTAGAGAAATAATGAGTTTTGTGTGTGTTTCCTAGATGTCCTGAGGTTTGACAACACTTACAGCATCTTCCAGGCCAAAAGAGTCAGCTTCAGTGTGGAGGTCCTGCTCCCTGACAGCCTACAGACTCCACAGGTCAACGGAGGCTCCAGCCACCATCTTCAAGCTGAAGCAAGCAGCCAATCATAACCCAGAAGAAGACACAGTGTCCCACCTCAGTGTTACTTGAACCAGTGATATTTAGCCGCCATGAGAAAGCACAGCCTGAGAGACTTGATATGACCAGGAACTGCAACATGCTGCCTCTGCAGTGAACCACAATGATAGAGTTTATCAAATTATTGATATTGATATATTTTATTTATCAAATTATTTGAGACTTTATTTCAGACCCTATGAATGTGGTACCAATTACAGAACATTTAGATGTTCAAAATATGACCAAAAGTATGTGATCATCCCTTAACATGTAGCCTTGTAGTCCTTTAGTCAGGGTTTTGATGGTTTAACTCAGGGCTCTGAGGTCCAAGTGAAAGAAATGTTTGTGCTACTTCTATTCTCTGATAAATTAGAGGATATAAGCTCATTAATCAGGAAGTAATGAGATAATTCGTATTTCATAATGGAAAGGCCAGCTCTCTTATTCTAAAGCAACAAAGAAAATAAATCTCCATCTCAAAAACAGTGTTGAATTATCTCAGAAAAAACGAGTAAATTAGACATAAAAATGAATGTTGGATGCAAAAGAACAGCTGCAAACTTTAAAACAGATTTGAGGATTGTGAAACTTTTCCTAGCTTGAAGGAGAGTTTCAAAAATAAAGTGCCTCAAGTGAAATCACACAAGTCTAAACTGATTTGAATCTGATGACTTTACTGTTTTAGCAACATACAATTAAAACGCACTTGATTTTCAGACTGACCAAGCTGGTTGCTATGCATTTTGGGTAATGTAGGTGCACGGTTTTAGAAGGCATAAAACTTAATTGTCAGATAGATTGAGTCTTTCATGCAGAACGCTGACAAAGTAGCCAAACAAATCAGGTCAGTTGTACAACAACTTGCTGGAAAAGCCATCAAGGAATAAAATAGACCTCCACTCCTATGAAATTTTCACACAAGTGATTCTAAGTCATCAGTTCTATGCATTGATTTCACTAACCGGGTACAGTGTAAAGATGTTGGTCGGTTTAGTTTTAAAAGTAAGTTTTACTCTTGTTTTTTAAATCGTATACATTCATTTTACATAAATGTACCGCAGCTGGTCTTTTTCTTTCACTTTGCAATTAAGAAAACATTCCTTTAGATATTTATTTCAATGTTTTTAATTTATTTCCAATTGGTACAGGATCAAACAACTCTCTATTTATGTAATTAGAAAAGTCTGTGTGTCTATATATTCTGATATATTCAATATTTGTAAGTGAAGAGCACTGATGTTTCAAAGGATTTACAGAATTAAATCATATTTGTGTTAACTCAGTGGCAGTGAGTAACATATACTAAATGATGATTGTGGCTGATTATTACTCACATGTTTAGACTGTAACAGCAGACAGACAGCTGATAAGAAGTTAATAAATAACATGCAAAATGGCAGCTGTGTTTGTTATTACTGCAGGAAAAGGCTTTATAACACTGACTGATGATTCATATAAAAAGCACATATAGACATACTTTGTGTTTAAAGAGGAATTATGCAAAGCCAGGTGCATCTAATTGTGCTCATGTGATACCTGTACCAATCAATTCACTTTAGTGCAATAAACAGGTACACAATATAGGCCACCAGGTGTGCCCAGTTTAGACAACGAGGTAGCACTGCAGAGAGGGAGCAACTTGATTTTGAGACTATCTATCTCAAAACTCAGAGGAAGTCTGTTTGAGTGTGAGTTTGCAGGCTAATTACTGATAGCACAGTTTTATAGTTAGTGCTGTTTGTGATCTCACCACATGGCGGAGCTCTCTTACAACATGGGGGAGCTCTCTTACAAATTAACTAAAGTGCATCCGGTCCACTTTTGGAGGATAAGTGACTAGACCCTGAACAATGTTAAAAGGTTTTTAATCTACTTTTTAGTAGTCCTCTCTTCAGACTGATATAAATGTTTTAGTCATATTTTCGGTATCTCTAATTCAGTTAACTTATAAGAGAGGTAAAGTCAGGTATTCACCCCCTGAGTCATGACAGCAAAGCTAAACCCCAAAGCATTTATGTTCAAAGTTATCACCGTGTGTATTTTTAGGCTTTAATAATCACAGCTCATCATGTATTGTTACTACAGAAGTTTGTGAATTATTCAATAAATGAATTAACTGAGAATAAGCCAGACCAAAGAATGAATCCAGTCTGGAGAAGAACTTCAAACTTATCACCCCCTCAACAAGGCCCCTTTCACTGCTCTATAAAAACATCTCCCAGATGTGCAAAAGTTTATTAATTTACAGTATTTGTGTTTGGACGTTGTCAGGTGGAGACTCCCCCTGCTGGGATTGACAGGTAACTGTTCTAGACATGTCCAATCAGTCCCATCTCAGTAAGATTATTTAGGATTCAGCACCGCACTGTTTTATACTGTTAGTGAGCCGGGCATGCTTTTCTTTACTTCCAACATCATGTAAAGACAGCCCAGGGAGAAAAATACAAGAAACCAAGCATTTAATCACCATTTTCAGCCCTTGTTGTATCTTAACTAGTGAGGATATTTTAAAGTTAAAGCTCCTGTACAGAAGGTTTTTGTTTGTTTATGAACTGCCTTTTTATGACATAGAAATGCAAATGCATCAGCAATAAGATTAGCTATTTCAGCACTGTCATTTTATTATCACAAACTAGTGTGTGTGTGTGTGTGTGTGTGTGCGTGTGTATCTGAGCAGCCGAAGAAACAGCCCTGTTTTACATTTTTCACATTAAATATTCACATTACATTATACATTTGATCATCAGAAGTCAGCAGGATGAGATTTTTTTTGTCAAGAGACACTGCTCAAGCACGTAGAGGTCAGCAAAGACTGCTTTGCCAAAATTACACAAGCCAAAAGTTCCTCAGGAGTTTTAACCATAGATACAGTCTATGGTTTTAACCTGCTACATCATAGTGCAAGTAGTTCTTTTTATTCACCAACACTTATAAAAGGTTTTCAGGTTTCAGATGAGCCTTTTATTATGGTTAGGTAGAGTAATACAGTATGTGTGTGTGTGTGTGTGTGTGTGTGTGTGTGTTCAGATTAAACAAAAACAACCCGTGAGTAAAGGAAAACATTCATGTTGCAAGAGTTCAGTGATAAAGTATAAATCTGAATCTGAAGAGAACAGAGAACAGACCGTGAGTTATAAGTTTAGTGAAAAAGTACAGGTCTAACATTAGCAAAGTGAAAGACAATTTTAACACTTACATTTTCACCATTAAGAAACTGTACTTTAAGAAATGTAGCTCAAGTGTCTGCAAAACAAAAGACCAAGGGCCAGTGCTTTGATTCATAAATAATTTATATACAAAATATTGTTAGAATTATATTCAACATATCTCACATTAGATTAATGATAACTATATTTTACATACATTTGATCAATCTCCTTATTTCACAGTACGTACAAGAAAAAAAATCACAATTCTAGTAGACTTTGTATACAATAAATACATGCTCTGGCATTAACTTTCCTTTTTTTTTTTTTTTTTACAAACTTACAGGTTTTTTTTTTTTTAAACAGAGTGCAAGAGCTCAGATTTCCCTACATCTGTGGTCATCATATAACATCCCATATTATGCACTTATGACAGACAGACCTTTCACTAGTTTCCTTTGTCTGAATTCTAGCAAACACATCCTCTAGATTTGGGAATCCACAGTGCAGATAGTTAAAAATAGGGAGATTCACAACGACCACATCTGTCAGCAAAAACCTATGTAAATTACCAGTACGAGAGGAGAGCATGATAAACAAGCTCCCCGAACACTTGCGTTCCTTGGCACATAGTAAACACGAATATGGATTTAACCCAGTCACACTTCAGTAAACTGAACAACCTGCCAGCATGTTTTCTTTTTCTTCAAGTCCAAGTTTTTAGTGTGCCCAAAGCAGAAAACCAATCAGGTAATTAGTATAATGTAGGACCGGCGCAGGGACTTTGACATGCATGGCGAGGCTGTGGCATCTCTTTGTTCTCATTCAACTTAAAGTTATGAAAGCAGATGAAAAGAAATTCTTAAGAGTTCCATTTCTGTTGCGCGGTAGGTGTTGAAACTATTTATTTGTGAAAACATGTTGTAAACTTGTGGATGTTTCCATTCAGAGCAGGTCTACAAGTAAACAGTGTTCAGTGTCACAGTTTGAAACTTGGCAAGAACAGAAGAGCATGTCTTCTCCATGGAGAGATACTGCACTTTGTTCGCGAGGCTGGTGATTCTCAACCTCTCAGCACTTACACACATGGAGTCAGGACCCCGAGGCTGAGAATCACTGGTAACAACTCAAACTACATGAAAACCTCCTGAAAACACAAATAAGTGCCCTTTTGCTTCACAAGTTAATGTTTTAAAACTCATTCCTGTATTAAGTGTCTCTGAGTGCTGTAAACTTGCTTTGTTCCCTAGCTCTTTAAGCTAGTCCAGTTGGCTAGCTCTGTTGGCTAGCCCTTATTTTAAGGCGACTTTGTGTCATCTTTTCTTTATTTTCCAAGTTTAATCAACTTAGCTTGGAAAAACTACCACCAATGGTAGATTACTCTTAAGTAGGCTACACAGACACACACTTTTTTGGGTTTAACACATCATGGTATGCTCCAGTGTGAGAGCACTTCTAAGACGTAAACTTGTCTCATAATGGTTCAGGTTCTTGCTACTTTCTCTTGCTAGCAGTTGTATCTGTTGCTGATGGTGCTATTTTTCATAAATATAAAAACATGGCCATGGTTTGTTTTTAATTTTATGAATAAAAAACAGTTTTCCTTGGTCCCTCAAAATATGGATCCATGAACTTATTTTGTCGTTTCCCCTTGTTGGGGGAAAAACTTTCACTTAAAAGTAGAATAAGATGAAATACCCCCTGCATATACTTCTGATCCACCACAAGTGTGACTATTTGTGTCAGCCTGCACTCGTTCAGTGAGTTTCTGAGCTTTATCCCACAGCGGTCCTAAATACTTGGTTCTGATTGGTCAGTTACAACATTCCAAGGTCTGTTCTTTCTCTATAGCAGACTGTTGCTCTGATCTGGTGGACCAACTGTTATCATACCAATCTGCAGAAAGAAGTCTGTTACATCTGAGGTTAGTTTGTTGATGGTGGAAAAAAGGATAGGATTTTAAGATGCTGCAGGAAGCAAACATTCAGAGTAACCTACAAACAGAGTTCATGATGATGGTTTTCACATCAATATTAATGCTATCAGATAAGATAAAGTAAGGTAAGATAAGAAGAACTTTATTGATCTCTGAAGGGAAATTTAATGGTATATGTCCTCTATATATACACTCACCGGCCACTTTATTAGGTACACCATGCTAGTAACGGGTTGGACCCCCTTTTGCCTTCAGAACTGCCTCAATTCTTCGTGGCATAGATTCAACAAGGTGCTGGAAGCATTCCTCAGAGAGCTTGGTCCATATTGACATGATGGCATCACACAGTTGCCGCAGATTTGTCGGCTGCACATCCATGATGCGAATCTCCCGTTCCACCACATCCCAAAGATGCTCTATTGGATTGAGATCTGGTGACTGTGGAGGCCATTTGAGTACAGTGAACTCATTGTCATGTTCAAGAAACCAGTCTGAGATGATTCCAGCTTTATGACATGGCGCATTATCCTGCTGAAAGTAGCCATCAGAAGTTGGGTACATTGTGGTCATAAAGGGATGGACATGGTCAGCAACAATACTCAGGTAGGCTGTGGCGTTGCAACGATGCTCAATTGGTACCAAGGGGCCCAAAGAGTGCCAAGAAAATATTCCCCACACCATGACACCACCACCACCAGCCTGAACCGTTGATACAAGGCAGGATGGATCCATGCTTTCATGTTGTTGACGCCAAATTCTGACCCTACCATCCGAATGTCGCAGCAGAAATCGAGACTCATCAGACCAGGCAACGTTTTTCCAATCTTCTATTGTCCAATTTCGATGAGCTTGTGCAAATTGTAGCCTCAGTTTCCTGTTCTTAGCTGAAAGGAGTGGCACCCGGTGTGGTCTTCTGCTGCTGTAGCCCATCTGCCTCAAAGTTCGACGTACTGCGCGTTCAGAGATGCTCTTCTGCCTACCTTGGTTGTAACGGGTGGTTATTTGAGTCACTGTTGCCTTTCTATCAGCTCAAACCAGTCTGGCCATTCTCCTCTGACCTCTGGCATCAACAAGGCATTTCCGCCCACAGAACTGCCGCTCACTGGATATTTTTTCTTTTTCGGACCATTCTTTGTAAACCCTAGAGATGGTTGTGCGTGAAAATCCCAGTAGATCAGCAGTTTCTGAAATACTCAGACCAGCCCTTCTGGCACCAACAACCATGCCACGTTCAAAGTCACTCAAATCACCTTTCTTCCCCATACTGATGCTCGGTTTGAACTGCAGGAGATTGTCTTGACCATGTCTACATGCCTAAATGCACTAAGTTGCCCCCATGTGATTGGCTGATTAGAAATTAAGTGTTAACGAGCAGTTGGACAGGTGTACCTAATAAAGTGGCCGGTGAGTGTAGACGATTGATGTGCAGACATCTAAGCTGTTTAATCTCAAAAATTCTCCTTCTAATGTTTCTATTCATCCTGTTTTGTGTCACTCCTCCAGGTCTGCACCAGTTGCAGGATATGTCATCACTCCCACCTGCTTGCTCCTAAATATTTCACACTGATTTCTTCTTTAAATTCCTCTAAGGGGCTGACAGAAATAGCTCGGGTCGCATCAGTGTTGATTTATACAGCTGCAGAGTTTTAACATGTTTAATGTATTTGACCAATTTTTAGTAAAAGTCAATTCTTTTGAATCAATAAAATGTATTACGGTTAAATTTTGTTAAACAGCAGCAGCCAGTATCTTGATCCTTTTAATTTGAGCAACCCTCATTCACCCCATCATATGTGCAGGTGTGTATTTGAAGCACTTATTCTACTGCTGTCATGCTGGAGATGACCACTTAATCTGCCTTTAAATAAAGACTCCATCTGTAACATCTACTGTGAGATCCATTTCCTTCATTATGGGTAACAGTGTTAAATACCAAAGTCATCAGAGGTAAGAACTTTACCTGACTTTGTTGGCAGTTAAAAGGTTTTATGTGATCTCGGATTCTCTCCTTATATTACCATTATTCTCATATTATAGTAACTTATAATCATTAACCAGTTGATCAATTAAAGTCAGATTTGACTTAATGGATATAACTGATGAGCTGGACTTTCACTATTTTTGGGGCCCTGTATCTGTTTCTTGAATGTTGAATTTTGGTCAGAGGCTGTAAAGGTCTGAGCTTTGAAAGGATGAAGATGGCAGCACTCATAAACACCAGACAAAGCCATGAGTAGCCCTCATTTTAAACCCTGACCATGATCGATATTTTGATTTTTACTTTCTTAGTCTCTAAATTAGAGTTGGTGCCTGAGCTCATCTGCCCTCCTCCACAGGACGAGTTTCAGATTTAAGCTTGTAAAATTCCTTGGCCACCTCGTCAGCAGGCCTTTGGGACAGGATGCGCATCACCGTCAGGCCTGTCTCGTCTGTCTGGATGCGCGGCCCCAGTGGACACCAGCACACGCAACTCTTTCTATCGGCAACATCCCGTAGCTGGACCACAGCCATGCCCACCGGTCGGTCTGCTCGGCCGAAACAGTAATCCTTCACTGTTACCTGGAGCTCGTAGCAGTCAGGAGACTCCTTACCCAGGACACTGCAGAGCACAAGAAGAGGTTATTAATCGTCTTTATTCAACATATCTAAGCAGCTTAGCTCACTCGTGGGTATAAGAGTTCACACTCACAATTGGAAGGCCTCGTTGAACTTCGCCGTCCAGCTGTTGTTCTTGGATTTTGTTGTGAACTTCCTCTTCTTGTCAGCCAGGAATGGACCAACCATGGAGACCTCAACAAACGGCCTGAACATCCCTGATGTTTGCCACTTCATATCATTCACTGCGATCACTACATAGCAAGAAAAAGAGTACAGGAAACAGATATCCAGGGTTAAGATAAGGCAAGAGGGTTTTGATCATATAGAATCTTGAACATTTCAGCAACAAGATGAAGGGCAGAAATCCGATCAAGAGGGTTCTTAAAAATGAATAAAAGTTGTAATTGATCTCAGTAAGGCCAGCAGTAGTGTTACATCATCAAGTCCAATGAAGATATACGCATGGAGAAGTTTTTCCAGGTCCTTCCTCAGTTTTGGTCTAAGTGATAAAAATTTGGGTTTATCAGCTCACTGATTGGTTCAAGTTGTTTATGCAAGGTTTGAATGGGGCCGTGACCTCTTGACCTCTACTTTGTGATGCCTGTGTAGAAACAGTAGCTTGTTTTGTGATTTTCTATTGTCATGTTTGTTGTTGTTGCTTGTTATTTCCACTGTGGTGATATTTATATAATTGCTATTATTAATATGATGATTAATATTATTATATAATGATATATATGATATATATTTAAACCATTAGTGTAGATAAGGGGTGGGACTAGATAAGCTTTGACTTCTTTCCACTCCTTTTTGAACTCGAATAACTTTTTGTCATTTGTTGTTGTATTCTTTACTTTTTTATTATTTCTTTTTTATATGCTCAAAATAGACTTCAATCAATCAATCAATCAATAAGCCTCCAAGTTCTCAGGGTTCCTAGGCTGTAAAATGGCTGGAGGTAGTTGTGTATAGATAGATCAGTTTGATTAAAACCAGATGATTAATGTGGCAGAAATTTCCCACCAGTTCTCCAGTAACACATTATGGTCAATTGTGTTGAATTGTGTAAAACACTGAAGGATTTGGTTGTGAATGTTGTGGGCTGAGGTCTCTCACCTCTGACGTTGACTTTCCGTTCCTTTCCGAGCATCATGTCGATCTGCAAAATAGCCTCTCCAATAGGCTTCTCTATCCCCGACCCTGCAGAAACCACCATAAGATCACACATGCTTAAAAACATCTTAAAACCTCAATCTTGTGTTTTTCTGTCATTCTTATCGATATTTCACTGCTGCTGCAGTGACACTCTCTCTGATCTTACAATTCAGCTTTGGGCGAACTTGTTAGAAATTCCTTTTTTGTCACTATAGAGGATTAAGATGATCATTTGAAGTTGCAGTTTTATCTTTTCTTTCATAGATATTCATTCTGATAAAGTGATTCGAACATATCATCATTTAAAGACTCTTGTAGCACACAGCATGAGGTCTGGACTCTGCTGCAACAGTGATGACAGAAAAATGATGCTGACATTACAAAGTAGAAACTGGTTTAGTTTCACAAACTTCTGATATCTGGGTCTTCCCACAAATTTCACTCCAGTGAACCTTGAAAAGTGAACCTGATAGTTCCCCTAATTTTGGAGTGTAGAGGACTCACCTCTGTCTGGGCGAGTCTTCTCATTGTTGGTGATTCTGATGCCCATCCCATCATGCACTAAGACAACAAAGAAGGACAGAGAGGATTGAGATTTTGGGACGCATTAGGAACACCCAAAATATCTTAAACTGTACATGCTGTTAGTGAGGTTGTGTGTATGTGCCTATGTGTTTGCCTGTATTACCCTGTGAATGCTGTGTAGTGACAAAGGTCTTGATAAGAGCATCTGTACTCTGGGAATAAAGAGACAGAGCGTAACGCAGGGAAGCCAGTTCAGGACTTTTCTCCACAAACGCCTTCTTCAGCCCGTTTCCTCCTGCGTGGAAATATTGCTGTGAGGAAAGAGAAGAGAGCGACAGGATGAAGTAAGTCACTTGATTTCTTTTATGTAAATAACAGGTGTCTTATCAAACCTGAGGTAACATTAAACACAATTGCAAAAACATGAGGATGTCAAGGAAAGTAGGAAAGAAATAATGATAGTGTGCCTCTCTTTTTATAGGTGGAGTAAATGTTAGGCTCTCTCTTAAAAGATACATCAATTTACAAGAAAAACACACCATCAGGAAAGCCCTTTACAAACATTTTCTGTACTTTTAGAGTTTATTTGAATCATTATCCGCAAAAATACAGAGTTTGTGACACCTAACTGAAAGTCTAACAAGCCGATTTTATAGAAAAGTGGTAAAACGACACTGTGCAGTATTTTAGGGTGTGACAGCAAACACTGCTGAGCCAATTTGTTCAGCTATGTGCTGTCAGAGGCTAACACTCTGGGCCAAACCACAAACCGTAGTCTTTTTTTATTGCCCACTGTTGTGGAGGTGGAGTTGGGGCTCTTTATGTCTTGTTTTGGTGAAACCGGCCATGCTTTGCATTACTTTTGAGTTGCAGCACAGGAAGAGCGAGCACA